CTAATATCTTTCATTTTAGAGCATTTCTAGACACTTTTTAAAAAGTTGAAAAAGTGGTCAAAATTGACCAAAATGGTAAGGCTTACCCCTTACCATTTTGGTCAATTTTGACGACTTTTTGAACTTTTAGAAAACTGTCTTAAAATGCTAAAAATGGCTTCCTAAGACTAATATCTTTCATTTTAGAGCATTTCTAGACACTTTTTAAAAAGTTGAAAAAGTGGTCAAAATTGACCAAAATGGTAAGGCTTACCCCTTACCATTTTGGTCAATTTTGACGACTTTTTGAACTTTTCAAAAACTGTCTTAAAATGCTAAAAATGGCTTCCTAAGACTAATATCTTTCATTTTAGAGCATTTCTAGACACTTTTTAAAAAGTTGAAAAAGTGGTCAAAATTGACCAAAATGGTAAGGCTTACCCCTTACCATTTTGGTCAATTTTGACGACTTTTTCAACTTTTCAAAAACTGTCTTAAAATGCTAAAAATGGCTTCCTAAGACTAATATCTTTCATTTTAGAGCATTTCTAGACACTTTTTAAAAAGTTGAAAAAGTGGTCAAAATTGACCAAAACGGTAAGGCTTACCCCTTACCATTTTGGTCAATTTTGACGACTTTTTCAACTTTTCAAAAACTGTCTTAAAATGCTAAAAATGGCTTCCTAAGACTAATATCTTTCATTTTAGATCATTTTTAGACACTTTTTAAACAGTTGAAAAAGTGGTCAAAATTGACCAAAACGGTAAGGCTTACCCCTTACCATTTTGGTCAATTTTGACGACTTTTTGAACTTTTCAAAAACTGTCTTAAAATGCTAAAAATGGCTTCCTAAGACTAATATCTTTCATTTTAGAGCATTTCTAGACACTTTTTAAAAAGTTGAAAAAGTGGTCAAAATTGACCAAAACGGTAAGGCTTACCCCTTACCATTTTGGTCAATTTTGACGACTTTTTCAACTTTTCAAAAACTGTCTTAAAATGCTAAAAATGGCTTCCTAAGACTAATATCTTTCATTTTAGAGCATTTCTAGACACTTTTTAAAAAGTTGAAAAAGTGGTCAAAATTGACCAAAACGGTAAGGCTTACCCCTTACCATTTTGGTCAATTTTGACGACTTTTTCAACTTTTCAAAAACTGTCTTAAAATGCTAAAAATGGCTTCCTAAGACTAATATCTTTCATTTTAGAGCATTTCTAGACACTTTTTAAAAAGTTGAAAAAGTGGTCAAAATTGACCAAAACGGTAAGGCTTACCCCTTACCATTTTGGTCAATTTTGACGACTTTTTGAACTTTTCAAAAACTGTCTTAAAATGCTAAAAATGGCTTCCTAAGACTAATATCTTTCATTTTAGAGCATTTCTAGACACTTTTTAAAAAGTTGAAAAAGTGGTCAAAATTGACCAAAACGGTAAGGCTTACCCCTTACCATTTTGGTCAATTTTGACGACTTTTTCAACTTTTCAAAAACTGTCTTAAAATGCTAAAAATGGCTTCCTAAGACTAATATCTTTCATTTTAGAGCATTTCTAGACACTTTTTAAAAAGTTGAAAAGTGGTCAAAATTGACCAAAACGGTAAGGCTTACCCCTTACCATTTTGGTCAATTTTGACGACTTTTTGAACTTTTCAAAAACTGTCTTAAAATGCTAAAAATGGCTTCCTAAGACTAATATCTTTCATTTTAGAGCATTTTAGACACTTTTTAAAAAGTTGAAAAAGTGGTCAAAATTGACCAAAACGGTAAGGCTTACCCCTTACCATTTTGGTCAATTTTGACGACTTTTTGAACTTTTCAAAAACTGTCTTAAAATGCTAAAAATGGCTTCCTAAGACTAATATCTTTCATTTTAGAGCATTTCTAGACACTTTTTAAAAAGTTGAAAAAGTGGTCAAAATTGACCAAAACGGTAAGGCTTACCCCTTACCATTTTGGTCAATTTTGACGACTTTTTGAACTTTTCAAAAACTGTCTTAAAATGCTAAAAATGGCTTCCTAAGACTAATATCTTTCATTTTAGAGCATTTCTAGACACTTTTTAAAAAGTTGAAAAAGTGGTCAAAATTGACCAAAACGGTAAGGCTTACCCCTTACCATTTTGGTCAATTTTGACGACTTTTTGAACTTTTCAAAAACTGTCTTAAAATGCTAAAAATGGCTTCCTAAGACTAATATCTTTCATTTTAGAGCATTTCTAGACACTTTTTAAAAAGTTGAAAAAGTGGTCAAAATTGACCAAAACGGTAAGGCTTACCCCTTACCATTTTGGTCAATTTTGACGACTTTTTGAACTTTTCAAAAACTGTCTTAAAATGCTAAAAATGGCTTCCTAAGACTAATATCTTTCATTTTAGAGCATTTCTAGACACTTTTTAAAAAGTTGAAAAAGTGGTCAAAATTGACCAAAACGGTAAGGCTTACCCCTTACCATTTTGGTCAATTTTGACGACTTTTTGAACTTTTCAAAAACTGTCTTAAAATGCTAAAAATGGCTTCCTAAGACTAATATCTTTCATTTTAGAGCATTTCTAGACACTTTTTAAAAAGTTGAAAGTGGTCAAAATTGACCAAAACGGTAAGGCTTACCCCTTACCATTTTGGTCAATTTTGACGACTTTTTGAACTTTTCAAAAACTGTCTTAAAATGCTAAAAATGGCTTCCTAAGACTAATATCTTTCATTTTAGAGCATTTCTAGACACTTTTTAAAAAGTTGAAAAAGTGGTCAAAATTGACCAAAACGGTAAGGCTTACCCCTTACCATTTTGGTCAATTTTGACGACTTTTTGAACTTTTCAAAAACTGTCTTAAAATGCTAAAAATGGCTTCCTAAGACTAATATCTTTCATTTTAGAGCATTTCTAGACACTTTTTAAAAAGTTGAAAAAGTGGTCAAAATTGACCAAAACGGTAAGGCTTACCCCTTACCATTTTGGTCAATTTTGACGACTTTTGAACTTTTCAAAAACTGTCTTAAAATGCTAAAAATGGCTTCCTAAGACTAATATCTTTCATTTTAGAGCATTTCTAGACACTTTTTAAAAAGTTGAAAAAGTGGTCAAAATTGACCAAAACGGTAAGGCTTACCCCTTACCATTTTGGTCAATTTTGACGACTTTTTGAACTTTTCAAAAACTGTCTTAAAATGCTAAAAATGGCTTCCTAAGACTAATATCTTTCATTTTAGAGCATTTCTAGACACTTTTTAAAAAGTTGAAAAAGTGGTCAAAATTGACCAAAATGGTAAGGCTTACCCCTTACCATTTTGGTCAATTTTGACGACTTTTTGAACTTTTCAAAAACTGTCTTAAAATGCTAAAAATGGCTTCCTAAGACTAATATCTTTCATTTTAGAGCATTTCTAGACACTTTTTAAAAAGTTGAAAAAGTGGTCAAAATTGACCAAAATGGTAAGGCTTACCCCTTACCATTTTGGTCAATTTTGACGACTTTTTGAACTTTTCAAAAACTATCTTAAAATGCTAAAAATGGCTTCCTAAGACTAATATCTTTCATTTTAGAGCATTTTTAGACAGTTTTTGAAAAGTTGAAAAAATGGTCAAAATTGACCAAAATGGTAAGGCTTACCCGTTTGTTCAAAAACTGTCTTAAAATGCTAAAAATGGTTTCCTAAGACAACTAGAGAAATAGAAGAAAAAACTAGAGAAGAAAAAACTAGAAAAAAAAACTAGAGAAAAAAAAACAAACTAGAAAAATAGAAAAAAAAACTAGAGAAATAGAAGAAAAAACTAGAGGAAAAAAACTAACTAGAAAAATAGAAAAAAAAACTGGAGAAATAGAAGGAAAAACTAGAGAAAAAAAAAACTAGAAAAAAAAGACTAGAGAAAAAAACTAACTAGAGAAATAGAAGAAAAAACTAGAGAAATAGAAGAAAAAACTAGAAAAAAAAACTAGAGAAAAAAACTAACTAGAAAAATAGAAAAAAACAACTAGAGAAATAGAAGAAAAAACTAGAGAAGAAAAAACTAGGAAAAAAAAAGAGAGAAAAAAAAAACAAACTAGAAAAATAGAGAAAAAACTAGAGAAATAGAAGAAAAAACTAGAGGGAAAAAACTAGAAAAAGAAAAACACTAGAGAAAAAAAGCTAACTAGAAAAATAGAAAAAAAACTAGAGAAATAGAAGAAGAAACTAGAGAAAAAAAAAACAGAAAAAAAAAAACTAGAGAAAAAAACTAACTAGAAAAATAGAAAAAAACAACTAGAGAAATAGAAGAAAAAACTAGAGAGAAAAAACTAGAGAAATAGAAGGAAAGACTAGGGAGAAAAACTAGAGAAATAGAAGAAAAAACCAGAGAGAAAAAACTAGAGAAAAAAAAGGAAAAAACTAGAGAAATAGAAGATAATACTAACAGGTTTAACTTTTTTTAGAAAAAATACTAAAAAATACTAAGAGGTTAAATTTAGAATTGTCAAGTCACACAGAAGAACTTGCAAAATAAAAACACTAACACCATCAGACGAAAAAGGTTTACTTCTTAAACTTTACAAAGAAAAAAGTTCTCTTTATAAATCCATGTTTTAAAAACATTTCACACTAAAATATATATTAATTAATGAATCTGGGTGCCTTTCAAACTTTCTTCACCACTAAACAAAAAAAAGAATTTCATCAAAAAAATGATAAGAGAAAATACATTTAGAAAAAATACTAATACTAAGAAATTAAAGAGAAAAGAAGTATAAGAAAAAGCAACTGCCAAAATCTTTTCAATTGTGAAAGCACACGGAAAAACATGCAAAATCGAAACAACAAACACCACAAGACAAAAATCAAGTTTCTTCTTAAACTTTTAAAAAAACATTTCGAAAATACTTAGAGAAAAATTATAAGACAAGAGAAAAATTAGAGAAAAAAATATAAGATAAAAAAATATGAGACAAAACCAAAACAACTGCCAAAATATTTTCAATTGTGAAAGCACATGGAAAAACATGCAAAATCAAAACACTAACACCACAAGACAAAAAAGGTTTACTTCTTAAACTTTACAAAGAAAAATTTCTCTTTATAAATCCAAGTTTTGAAAATTGTCACATAATTGATCACATTTCACACATGTTATCACACACGAAAATATGTTAATTAAGGAATCTAGGATAGGGCTAAAATAACTCAGGTTCTTCAGGGGTGCCTTTCAACTTTCTTCAACTTCATTCATTCTAAAGAGAAAAAGTATTTCATCAATCCTTTTAGGCAAAAAGTGGCAGCAAAGTTTGTATTTTCAACCTGACATCATTATTAAAAGATATTACTCATTATCTTACTTAATCATCTTTCATGGATAGACAATACATTCATGAATGCATTCTGTTTTATGCCAATTATATTTTTGCCATTTTCAATGAAAAGAACGTGTCACATGCATATATTCAACCCAGACATATGTCACTATTTAATTTGAACACAGAAAAACTGGGTATCCCCCTTCCGAGTACCACAGAATATAAATCACATGGAAATCAGAAAAATTTCTCCCAAGTTTAAAATAGTAATTGCTGGTCTTTTTCGTGGATATTTATTGTAAGACCACCACAGAAATTTTAGTAATCAGCCAGACTGGTTCAGCTGTTATAGCAGTTTCATCATTGGTTTCACACATGGTGACCATAGAAGCAAATTACAATTTCATTGTTGTCACCTCAACAATGTAGTGGCTTTTTAAAATCAAATGCTGACCATCCATGACAAAATCAAATTACCTCAGTGCAGATAACTTGTTCCCTTTTTAAATCAATGTACATCTGACAGTAAAGTTCATATCCACGGCTCATGTTGCATACTTGACCAGGGAAAATCTTGAATATTAGAAGAACACATGATTAATATAAAATTCCATTTTGAACTATCTTAATTATTGTCTAGTTTTTGATCAGGCATTCTATGGTTACTTCATCCCTCTATATATATGGTTGCTATATTTATTCAAAGCCCACCACAGGAATTTATCAATGGTGACACATTGGGAGCATAGAAGCAAAGTTCACTTAGCAATCTTGTTGCAAAACTAAATTGTGACTGCCTGACGATTTTCATGAAAAAGATCCCAGTTGCAGCAAATTCCCCTTATACTAAATAACAAAATATATATTTGGGCAGTTGATATGTATTACAAGGTCACTACAAGAATTTCAGCTGCAAGGCTAATATAAATTTTGAAGGATCAATCGAATTACCTCTCTGTAGAAATATTGTTCACTTCCAATTTTCCTCTGACAGTAAAGTTCATGTCCACAGCTCATGTTGCACTCTTTGACCAAGGAAAATCTTGAATATGAGAAGACATGATTAATATAAAATTCGATTTTCAACTATCTTAATTATTTGCTAGTTTTTGGTCAGGTATTCTATGCTTACTTCATTTCTCTATATATAACTATGGTTGCTATATTTAATTAAAGACCACCACAGGAATTTATTACTGGGGACACATAGTGAGTATAGAAGTAAAGTTCACTTAGCAATCTTAACCAAATTGTGACTGCCTGACAATTTTCATGAAAAAGATCCTAGTTGCAGCAAATTCCCCCTTATACTAAATAACAAAATATATATCTGGGCAGTTGATATGTATTACAAGGTCACTACAAGAATTTCAGCTGCAAGGCTAATATAACTTTTGAAGAAACAATCGAATTACCTCTGTGCAGAAATTTTGTTCACTTCCAATGTTCATCTGACAGTAAAGTTCATATCCATATCTTGAATATAAGAAGACATTATTAATATATAATTGCATTTTCAACTATCTTAATTATTGTCTAGTTTTAGCAGAAGGCACATAAACAGTAATGTAAAATACTTAACTTTGACCAGACAGCACAACAATCTTGCTTAGAAAGGTCCGCGAACGGTCCACGTGGATGGTTTTCTTCGGCATCGCCATTTTGAATTCGGCCGGGCGAGTCTTGAACTGATTTCTATTTCGACTGTTCTCTTGACGTTCGTCTTGATAACTGGCAATTGAGATAAACGTTAATGACAAAATGTTCAGTTCTGCTTCAGTCTATGGGTGCGGAAATTGCTCATGACATAAATTTTCAGTAAAAAATTATCATCATTGCAGGCAGAATTAAGCTCGAAACTTTAGATAACCTTGTACGTAGAATATTTCATATTGTATATGGTTTTTTGCTATTTCTGGCCGACAATTAGCAGAAGGCACACAAACATCAAAGTAAAATACTTAACTTTGACCAGACAGCACAACAATCTTGCTCAGAAAGGTCCGCGAACGGTCCACGTGTATGGTTTTCTTCGGCATCGCCATTTTGAATTCGGCCGGGCGAGTCTTGAACTGATTTCTATTTCGACTGTTCTCTTGACGTTCGTCTTGATAACTGGCTGTTGAGATAAAGGTTAATGACAAAATGTTCAGTTCTGCTTCAGTCTATGGGTGCGGAAATTGCTCATGACATAAATTTTCAGTAAAAAATTATCATCATTGCAGGCAGAATTAAGCTCGAAACTTTAGATAACCTTGTACGCAGAATATTTCATATTGTATATGGTTTTTTGCTATTTCTGGCCGACAATTAGCAGAAGGCACACAAACATCAAAGTAAAATACTTAACTTTGACCAGACAGCACAACAATCTTGCTCAGAAAGGTCCGCGAACGGTCCACGTGTATGGTTTTCTTCGGCATCGCCATTTTGAATTCGGCCGGGCGAGTCTTCTATTTTATCTTTTTTCTCTTCACGTTCATCTTGACAACTAGCTGTTCAGATAAACCTATATACAACGAAAAAAAAGGGATCGGCTCAGATACACTGTACTCCTTGAGGAAGGCCTACGGCCTTCCCGTAGATTAGTGTAAAGGCCTACAGTAGGAACTAGCAGCGTGCGGGGGACCAAAACGCTCTAGGCAAACGGTCCCCCTACTGGGGTCGGACAAAGCAACCGCAGATTACGCATATAATCGCCGGAACCCACCTTTTAGTCAACGGCGAACTCCTTCTTCCTCGAACAATCTTCAATCTTGCTGAGCTTCGATCCTGCTGTCCACCTTCGATCGCCACCTATTCAAAGAAATTTTTTTTTAACGTTGAGATTAGTTTTATAGGCGATAATTACCATGTGATCATAGCAAATCACGTGGTATGATAATGTACGATAACATGCCGATCAACTCCGAACATCATCGTGAGCGATGTTACTATAAACGAATCACTATTTAAAAAGCCTAGAAAAAAGTTGCCCTTTACTATATTTCAACATTTTAAAAGAAGTGCATTCTCGGGCAGTCATCTAAGGCAGTCATCTCAGGCAGTCATCTCAGGCAGTCATCTCAGGCAGTCATCTCAGGCAATCATCTCAGGCAATCATCTCAGGCAGTCATCTCGGGCAATCATCTCAGGCAATCATCTCAGGCAGTAATCTCAGGCAGTCATCTCAAGCAGTCATCTCGGGCAGTCATCTCAGGCAATCATCTCAGGCAGTCATCTCGGGCAATCATCTCAGGCAATCATCTCAGGCAGTAATCTCAGGCAGTCATCTCAGGCAGTCATCTCGGGCAGTCATCTCAGGCAATCATCTCAGGCAGTCATCTCGGGCAATCATCTCGGGCAATCATCTCAGGCAGTCATCTCGGGCAATCATCTCAGGCAGTAATCTCAGGCAGTCATCTCAGGCAGTCATCTCGGGCAGTCATCTCAGGCAATCATCTCAGGCAGTCATCTCGGGCAATCATCTCAGGCAGTCATCTCGGGCAATCATCTCAGGCAGTCATCTCGGGCAGTGTTTAGTAGGACCCTACAATTATGCAAAGTAGAACAAAATAGAACTGCAAACATGAAATATTGAAGATGATAGGAATCTTCGAAGTTTACTGAATCATCAAAGACTCACGGTCGGGAATACAGTATTCTATTTATTCTATTTACACAAAGATTCTATTTATTCTTGGAAAATATCCACCACTATGGATAACCTAAGCCACCATCCATGAAAAATAGTATCTTCTTTGTGATAGTCTGAATATTTTACAGATCCTTGAAGAATTTAAGGCAATTAATCAAGGGACAGCCACTTACCGCTATGGATCTTGTCAAGAAAATCTACACAGTATGTTGTCATAAGTTTCTTTTGTGAATAAGAGTGAATATATGCAATATAAAGACTCCAAATCATTCTACCAGGAGAGCCGAATTCACCTACGAAAAGCTGCAGAGAAATTCTTCTCTGCAGCTTCTCTGCAGGTCGCGCGTGTTAGAGCATCTGAAGAAACTTGAAAAGGAAGGAAAGATTTGTAAGTAGGAGCATTTACATCACATGGCAAGCTTGAGTTGCAAGAAAACCTTTAAGTTTATGTCAGGTTGAAAAGATGACAGCTGCTGAGGGACCTAGGTCACCTAACAGTTATATATAGATACATAACCTGATCATTGGGTGTTGTTGCACTCCCATATTATGTAATATTTTGGGAAGCCAAGCATCTCATGAGAGCCAATGTATGGCAGCCCAGGAATTTCAATTTGTCTATCATGGAGTGTGGTATAACAGTTATTTAAAATACAAAATGTTACCACAATTGATGCAATGCACTACGATTGAGAACTACTGGCCCTAAATTGATAATAATACATACTAGTTGTTAAAAACGTCATCTGGATGCTTTATATTGTACTTTTTATGCAGGGAAGTTTATTTTTATTTCAGGTAAATTGTCAGCAGTTGAGGCAATAAGTTCTTCAACCCAATGGACAAGTCACCTTTAAAAGGCAATAATAAATTTTTAAACAATTTTACAATTTTTACATAGTATAGTAAGGCTTTAATTACCCCTTACAATTTTGATCAATTTTGACGACTTTTTGAACTGTTCAAAAACAGTCTTAAAATGCTAAAAATTGCTCCTTAAAACTATTATCTTTCATTTTAGAGCGTATTTGGTTGGTTTTTAGAACAATGAAAAAGTCGTCGAAATTGACCAATATGGTAAGGCTTACACCTTACCATTTTCGTCAATTTTGACGACCTTTTCAACTGTTCAAAAACTGACTTAAAATGGTAAAAATGGCTTCATAAGACTAATATCTTTCATTTCAGAGCATATTTGGTTGGCCTTTGTAACATTGAAAAATCGTCAAAATTGACCAAAATGGTAAGGCTTACCGCTATATGTTAATATTCAATTTCAGCTGAAAAACATTTTCGGTTAAAAACAATAAAAATTTTTCGTGTTGAAATTGAAATTTTAATAAATACATGACGGAAACAAACTATTAACGTATACTTTAATTTAGGAGATATTTTTCCACGAAATTATTATGAAATGTTTTCAAGAAGTTCTACCTTTAAATAGTTCGTTTCCATAGACTTCCCACTTGCTTCAAGGTCTGCGAGCACTGCTGTATCCCAGTTGAAATGTAGAATAGCGGCTGGAACCTGTAAATAGAGACAAATATTCACTCTCTGACTCAACAATTTTAGACTTTTAATCCCCTTCTTTTCTCATTTAATTTCTGAAAACCGATTTAAGAACACATTAACGAGAGGGTGGGCGGTTTCACCCGAAGAATATCTATGTTTGCTGTGCTTTTAAGAATTTCTGTACATTTTTTTCTAGTCACCGGCTTATTTTCAGGTAACGGTTGTATGAAAGCCGGATAGCGCTATCCACCGCATTCAACCGTTCTAAAAATGCTTGAAAAGCAATAAAATTTCAGCTTTGGAGCCAATAATTGTTGATCCTTGATTTAGGAATACTAAGATTTAATCAAAGTCGGTTATACCCTAAACGGGCGATTTTATAGCAATTGAAAAAACACTATTCGATGGATAGCGCTATCCGGCTTTCATACAACCGGCCGCAGTCCTATAAATGGCTGTTTATATAATTGACGTACCAGTCCAAGTTCCTCGAAACTCGACTCCTCGTGAGTGAGTATTCCACCGCCAGGCTCAGACAATACAAAAGGCAGCCAATCATTTTGGAGCTGTTCTCTCACAAAGTTCTCGAGGGATTGACATTTCTCACGAGCATTGAATGTGCCTGAAAAAAAGTTAAAGTCATAATTATTACGTTTTCCGAGGCGTTGCATTCCTAGTATATTTCAGGTGATCTAAAATGGCGGGAGAGGACTGGGACTGGTTGACAAATTAAAATCCATTTTTACTTTTTAGGTTGAAACAACTTTAATAATAACTCTTGAAATATACTTTAATTCGGTTTAAATTATATATCATGGGCCGGTTGTATCAAGCCTGTTTAGCTTAAACGGTGGTTAATTAAGTTCAAAATAGAAAGCAAGTCTATAATTTTATTCAACAAGCAAACTAAATGTTTTTAACCTTAATACAAAGATACTGTTTACAACGACATATTCAGTGCATAATATTCAAGTTGACTCATTCAAAAGAGATGTAAGAGTGTTATTTAATTTTGACTTATCCACCGTTTAATCTAAACAGGCTTGATACAACCGGCCCCAAAACTATAATTCTTAGAATTGAACGTAATCACAAAATCCCGAGTAGTTTTATAAGGAAGTACAAAAAATATAATCGATTAATACTGCGGGACGAATTAGTATTTCGAGCTTTTGAGCGCTAGTTGGCTAAAATATGAGCGCAAGAGCATCTGGAGTGATATGTGCATATCTATCTAGCCTACCTTGTAAGATGTGCCCATCAGGAAACTTCACACGTAATAGCGTGAATCGATATATCCTTGCTGGATTTTTCTCTTCTCTTTCTCTCATCGCACGAGTTCTTAACTGAGAATTACGATCAACTTCCACTAATCTGGTTTTGCAATAAAAAAAACAGCGTTAAAAATCATAAAGTTGTAGATAAATTCTAAGAGGGCAAAACGTAACTTTAATAACTTTGTGCAAAAAAAAATCGTCAAACCACATCGAATATTTTGGAGAAGCAGAACTGCCAAACCAAATTTTCTCGGTTAAAACAACTTAATATCTCTTGAAATATACTTTATTTCTCTTTCAAATTTACGCCAGAGCTATAGTTCTTATAAATAAACGTAATCGTATTTTTCATTTCGACTTGTTTCATAAAGTACAACAAAACTCAAGAGATATATAACCGATCAATACTGCAGAATGAATCTCTATTCCGAGAATCTTTCTGAACAATGGTTGTGTAAAAAATAAGCCCTGGAGATCTACTTTCTATGTCAATTTACTTTCAGAAAGCCATAATAATGTTTCCTATAATAATGGAGCCTAATTGTCGCCTTGATCCCATTGCCTATATCACATTTCAATATTTTGCAATTCTTTATAATTACAAATTAAAGTACAATTATAATTTTCAAATTCAGACATTTTAGTTGGTGCTACTCAAACCTTGCGCAGATTTTGTCTAAATACTTCCAGTCAATATATAAAAAAAATTACCGTTCCGTTTGCATCTTCTTCACTTCATCTGAACTTAGGTCAAAAAACCCCTCAGGAAGTTGAACAGTTTCACTATTACTTGATGACGGCTTGAGTACCTGTATTGAAAAGTATATATTGTACGCAATACCGAATATTTATCTCTTAAACATTCAATTTAGGATAATTTGCAAGATACTAAATTCTGAATATATAGGCCAAACATTGTTATAGGCCATTTGGTTATCTTTGTACAAACAATGAAAGTAAAGACATACAAACCCTGAGAGATCTGTCCAGCTTCGGCTTGCAAGTCTCTGTTGCAACAAGGATTTCCTTCATGATATTTAGTTTCTCTGTCACATCGGTAGCTCCTTCTTCGATAATAAAGCACATCTCGCCTGGGTTATCTATTAATGGCATGCACAATAACATTTTAATTACATTATTACACCATGGAACCCGGACTAGTACATTATTACACCATGTTGAAAAATTGCTGAAAAATTTCTTGCGTTCAAATTATCACGCATATTTGGGCTGCATGTCTATGCAAAAACGACAATATGATCACAGATCATTCATCATTCTGTTGTAGTGAGCGGAACTCAAACAAATTATTGCAACTATAAGTGACTGTCCTTTTCGAACTTGTTTTCATGTTTTTCACTATATCATACTTTGTTTAAGAACCTAAATACTTATAATATTAAGGTTTTCTTTCCAAAGTTATTATTTCATATAATATAAATCATGCAAAACTCAATAAGTTTCTACAGGTCAAATGTAATTAAGCTGTCATCTTCATTAATGATGCAAACACCTCTACTGGGAAACGTTTTGTCGTTTATTTGAAATGTTATATTTACCTGGTAATGGTTGCTCAGAAAAACCACAGGCAAGCAAAAATTCGATGCTTCCTTTTACAGGTTTTACTCTTTCCTATATTCAAAAGGAAAAGAGTAATTTTTTCCCTGATCAGACTGAATTAAACATGCATGTACCAGTTGCCAGATGAAAAACAGTGCCTAAAAATGTATTCATCATTAGCTAACCTGAAAGACTTTATTTCCCTGCTTTATTCTACGGTATTTACTTTCGTCTGGATTCTTCAAAATGTTGTCCAAATATCTGCCAACAAATCAATAACATATGGCAAATGGTGATCTAAGTTTCAACTAAAATTCTTGGAATAAACTTTACCTGCACAGAACATCAACACAACCATCTACTTTACTTTGATCTTTGTTCAAAGACCTGATCATATTAACTGGACTTAATATCTGGTCACTTTTATAGCTCTATAATTAAAAGGAAAATTAAACATTTCACACCTTTGCCAAAAACATATGCTACATGTATTGATTATATTTGGAAAATTTTTAAAGTCTATAAAGTGGATATGGATAACCTAGAGGGTGGATAGGCTGCAAACTTGGGTATTAATTCAAATCAGGTTGGAATTAAGTAGCTAACTTTAAATCTTTTGGTGTAGAGAGTTCAAGGTCTTTCCAACAATGCATGTAGCACCTTATCATCTTTAGCACCTGATATCAACTGTTTATAACCAAACAGCTGGTGTTTCATCCTGACCCTATTGTTGGCAGCAGGTTTGGACCTCCACCCTGGGTCAACAGAAATCCACACTGCATGGATATACACCAAAAGACTGTTACCTCTTTGAGACAGTCATCCATGTGAGCACGAATATCTTGTCGCACATAACTGACGGAGCAGAATGGACAAATGAAGAACACACCGGCGACTGCAAGAATTGGAGCTGAGTCTTGGTGTACAACCTGGGCAGAGAATGCAAAATTAACAAAATTGAAACAACATCTTTTGTTAAATTGAAACAGAATGCCTGACTATTATCACAGTTAATTGTAAAATCCTACCTCCTTTTCAAAATTCTGTTGTTCACCTGACCCACAAGCTCCCGACTCTCTAATAAATTCTGCTTCCACTAAATTGTACAATAAAATAAACATGAATAACAAAAACTCCTTTATACTTGACAGCATGGAGAAAAAATATGCTGTCTGTCTGTAACTGTGATAATATTGAAATTAACCCATTTAAGTTGGCATTGTACCTATATATACACAAAAGTCTTGTACATACATCTACACATTATAATAATCACCTTCACTTCTTAATTTTGATGCATTCACTCCTGGGCCATCATCCAGTTTGCTTGCAGGTTCATTTGAACGTGATTTCCATGTTGCAGTGGCAGAATGTGGTCGTTTAGGCTGTTTCTCTTGCTGCTGAAATCTTGCAATAGCTGCCTGAAAATTTTCAATAAATTAGCATTTTTCATTACCAATATTTTACACCCAGCATTATTCATACCTGTCCGGCACGCTGTGCATCTGAGGTTGGTGCTCTTCGTGGTTGCTGTGGAACATTGGGCTGACTTTGGGTCTGTGATGATGAACTTTCACTTAGCACATGACCTTCACCAGCTTTGCGAAATTTCACGGCTAACTTGGCTTTCCGATATAAGTTCATTGTTCAAATAGCATTACCGTACCCTACAAAAAGTAAGGATATCAATAGGTGTTTATACTAATTAATATATATACATATTATACCTACTTTAATAATAGTCAGTACAGTACTATTATACAAGCAATATAAAAATATGAACTGTCAGATAAAATCATAAAATTGACAAATTATATTTCACCAAACCTACCTGTAGCACTTTGATCCAACAATGAACTGGTCAATATTCCTTACTAAAGCACTTAAATCCGTCTAAAACCTCGAAAACGAAACCCTTACACAGATTATTTTGTTATGTATATATTTGTAGGTTCTTCCATTAATTATTGTTTAATGAGGGAAATGTTTTCCTTACAAGTGGAAGCCCTGTCAAGAAGTCGACGTGTTTCCGATTGGCTGTTGAAAGTTCGGAAAATTACGAAGATGCAATGGTATGCACTGAGCTATATTAGTTATATAACAATGTAAAATTCCACGAATTGTTATATTCGAAAATTCGTGGAATAACATATTATATAGCTCAGTAATCGCATTGACTTCATTGACTAGGTTTTCCAGTGAACTATGCTTATAGTTCATCAGGGCTGCGCGCCTGCGCAACTGTGTAACAGACCAACTATTTTAGATTTATTCCTCGTCTGTCTATCATCCATTGACTTACCACTGGCGAGAATATTTCTTCACAACTGGACTGCTAGCTCTTGAGGTTGGAGACCATATCTATTATAACTATCATCTTCATTGGTACACGTTGGTTAGGTTTATTAATATTTAATATATATTATTTCAATACTAATTTGCACACGTCAAGTGTATGTATGTAATCGTTTTAAGTGTCAATAATTAAGAGTTGTTTTCAATATGAATCATGGAATATATGTACATGCCTGTACAAGGTTGGCTCTAAAAAATTTGCCAGCAACCATTACAATATCTGACAGATGTATTTTTGAAACTCCATTTTTTTTTTAAATACCTTATATTTTAAAATCTAATTTTAATTAAAATATATAATTGTGGTAAAATTATCCAAACATGGCGAACTTAAAATCTCGTCAAATTTAACGCATGTCGCTACGCTTAGGTGACGAACCCTGGTACCAGTGAGAATATTAGACATGACATAACAATTATCAATCTTGCTTCAACTCAACGTGCAGTGAACGATGTTCTTTCTCTGTAAAAATTAGTTAATGCAGGGAATCATCACTGAAGTCACTCCAGTCATCCATATCTTCATCAGAATCATCATCATCATCAGAATCATAGTATGTATTATTTTCCTCAATCAAGCACAGCACTCGGAAGAAAACATCTTGATTTTCGCAAGGAACTGCTAAAAACTGTTCGCCTATAACTTCTTCATCTCGTAAACTACTATCCATACTGTTCAAGATATTGTCCAGCCTTGTCACGCGGGAATCCAAGTCCACACTATTATCATCCAGGAATAATCTCTTTGGCGGTTTTTTAACCTTCTTTTTAGTGTTCTTTCGCGATTTATCTTTTAAAGGAGCAACCTTTCCACGTTTTATCTTCGAGTAAACACCACTGGTTAACCTGTCCACAACATAATCCACGATTTCTATTTCGTTCTCAATCTCAGCCGTCTCTTCTTGTATTTCTGCATAGGAGTCGTTGATAATGGCTATGAACATGTTCATGAGCACCATCACGTTCAAACCAATGAAAGAAAAGAAATAGAGCGTCGCTAACATTGGATTCACCATAAACAAAGCCTCGAAATCAAAGTCTCCCAGAGTCATTGCTAGTTGAGTCACCATGGTCCTAATAAACGAACTGTAGTCTTCAAGTTCCGAGCTAAAAATCGTGAAAGCAAACATGGCAAATGCGAAAAAACCAAATATAAATGGAACGCAGAAACTTAAGATTGGTGAACTGATCCGTGACAATGTTCTACCAATAACAAGGAAGTTTTTATTGAACCGGAGAATGCGTAGGAAACGGATGGTGTAGAAAAAGACAAGAACACCCAAAACGAAAGTCATGAAAGCGTCTGCTTGTCCGGCATACTGGAAGCCAACGTAATCTTTTGGATTTTCCCTCAGCTGCAGGAGATTTCTGTCAACTTCGTAAAGGCGAGCGAGGAACAGAATGATGAGCAAAAACTGTGAAATGACAAGAATGGTCTCAATCCAATTCCAGAAACCTTTGAAGTAGGCTAAGCGTTGTTTATACACGAGTTTGCTCTCTCTGAAAAGGAAGTACAACATGAAGAATATGACAAGCACGTGGGCTAGCGTTTGGCCACCACTGAGCTGAAGATAAAACCTGGATGCTTGGAAATCAGTTTTGGTTATCGCTCCTGACGATGGTAAAAATTCCACGAATATTGTGATTATACCAAACAGATTAGTGTTCGCATTGTACACCGTGAACTCCACGAGCACAGCACGTGATTGAACGTCGACCCAGCCGTTCGAATGTAGGTCGGATATGACCGTGTATGCCGTAACTTGGTCATATCCAAGGTTTGTTGCATAGCCTCCGCCGCTGTACCAAGAGATCGCACCCCAGTTCGGAAAACCCCGTAGCTCTAACATCGTACGATGTCGCCATCTCTCGAGACAGGAAAGAATCTTCCCACTCGGTAATATAGCATTATCATTGATTGTGTAAACTTTCGGATTGGTGCTTGACAACAAGCGTTTCTTTTTCCGTCGTTTTCGCCCGCTACTTCCTCCCATGATTGGATCCAGTGCTCGTTTGCTACGAGTTTTTGATTCGTCGCTTGATGAATTGCTCCCGTTGGACACAATGGCTGTCCACTCGATTTCAGTCCAAGGGATGCTGACGTCTTCGCTGACATCTTCGCTGACATCTCGGCGCTTTCTCGGAGTGTCGCTATCCAGCGACTCCCAGCCGACGTTATACGTGCCGTCTTCTTCAATCGATACGGAATAACCGTCGTAGCAATGGGAGATTTTCCCTTCAAAGTAGCTTGAAATGGGACACGAATCTGAGCAGAAAAGTTAATCATCAGCATATTCATTATCGTGGGGCGAAAAAAATAAGTAATTTAAATATACCAGAGGAACAATATACCAGAATAACAGTCTTAATCTGTGTCTTGTTTGAATTATATTTTCATTCTCAAGATGTCTTGTTTATTCGGAATTTGCTTTTTACTTTAGGAACAATCTCCGTGTGTAGGTTTGAGCTTGGTGCTTATTTAGGCTTAAAAAATTCGGTCCAATATTTCGTTTTATACAGAGAAGTCAGTTTTGCTAGTTTACCTTTCTCCACGCGAAGCAATCGCACTCGCGGAACGCCAACGAGATAGTCTTCCAAATTAGCGATCCAACCTTCTTTGATTTTCTTCCCATTGTACCATTCATTTGCGTACAGGCCAGGTATTAAAGTCTCACGAGCCCACATCCATAGTGTATCAGTATCGGACACCTGGAACATCAATAGCATAAACATAAATCAATGTGTTTGCTCCGTTTGTTATTTAAGCGAGATTACCATGACAGTTTGAGATTCAAACGCTGTACCTACCGCGGATAAGTCAATGCTAAACGCATCGACCTCGTCGAAAGTCTCATATAAGGTTTTTGTCATTAAGAACGAATTTGTATCCCTGTGGTAGTTGGCTACGTCCATTAGCAATATCAGGAAAAAGAAAAATGCCATTATTTCCCATACAGCTGCGTTCGTTTTGATTTCTTTCAGACGTTTCAACCTCGCAACTTTCAGAGTCTCAGCATCTGGAGGACTGAAAATAAATTAAAATAAATTATACACTCACGATTTGCTCAATATGGAAACGAACACAGCTAATTTAAAAAAGATTGCTGATAAAAAGGCCTAAAGGTTCGTTTACACTTGCAATTTTTGCAGCGATTTTGTGCGATTTTCTCCTTTTGAAAGATGTAAACGAGTGAATTAAGATGTACAAATAAGGACACTTATGCACTAGAGCATTCACAACTCGCGAAAAGAGCGAGATTTTAGATTTAAGGATCATTTTTTCAAAGGAAAAAAAGCTGACGTATTTCCCTACTTGTAGTATTTCGCTTTCTTCTTCACTGACGCGGGTATTTCTTCATCCGTCTTGTCTTTCGCAGGGATGTCTACTAATTCAACGTTATTTGATTCATTTTCGGTGTTATCAGGCTTTCGAATGACCAAAGCAAAGATGACCGCCATGAGCACAACTTTAACTGGTTGTAGAAGCAAGGCTGACTGTAAGAACGAGGTTACCATTGCAATCACCCACTCTGTGGAGGTCTCCTTTCCCCATTGAATGCTGGAATGAAAGAGAAAATAATTGTCGAAACTAAATCTCGTTATACTAAGGGTTGTACTCCAGGTATAGGATTAGAGCCAGAAAGTGGAGGCCCACTCTGAACCAGTGACACCTGTCTAATGGATACAACAGAAAACTTGTTAAATGTGCTAACCTGTACAGCAAGGTGAAGAATATTGACGCACCAGACGCGAGATAACAAATAGCATAAGCTATGAAAATAAACCAGTGAGGCAGTTTGCCTTTTGAGGTATTCGAATTTTCTTCACCGTCATTCGGTTTGTCATTCTTATGTTCCTTCCCATGTCCTTCGTCCTTGGGCCTTAAATTGCGGAAAATTTGCACAAGCAACACATTTACCGGGATGATGATGACGCTGCTCTGTAGACCAATCACAAACGGTTTCAGATCGATGACCAAAGAGCCAATGTTAACCGCGAAAGGACTGGGGCCCTGGCCTCCCATGTTATAGAACATTGCGCTCGTAATCATCGTGCAACACAGCAGGCAAAGAGCGCACGAGAGACGTTGGACGCGGGTGAAGTTACTGGTCGGAGGCCTGGAGACAATGGAGAACCATATATGGCCATCTGCGAGGCCTGTGATTGCGCGTTTCGAGAACAAATGACCGAAACTGACCATTTCTTGTTCGTTGGCAACGGAAAGAAGTCGACACACTTTCCCATCTTCCGATTCAACAGCCAGCCAGTTTTCGCAAAACAGAGGCCAGGTTTCGCCAGTCTGAAGATCTTTGACTAAAATCCGGCTGAGGTACCAGGCTGGTGAAGAACCTTGAAGAAAGGTAAGTTACCATTTCAGTATTTTTAAAAAATTCAGGTTCGCATCTCAACCTGCTAGAGAACCGAGTGTAAAATTAGAGAGCTTTAGATCGAATTTGGGTACAGTTACCACCTGGGTAAAGTCAATATAATGAAGGTTGGAGGTTTATATTGCTTTGTTGAGCAAACCTGAGTTATCGTGCCATATTTGAAGATAGGTAAGATCACCGACTCCCTTCGGGTAGGAAACGATGAACGCGTTTTCTTGTCCTCGTTGAAAGCAGGGTCTGTGCCGATCCTTTAGTCTTACTGGTTGAGTCTCACCCTCGTCACCAGTCATTTTGAAGACAACTCGAGCAGTTGTTCCAGCACTTTTCCTACTGCCAGTGTATGTACTGATGAGGTAGTGGTAGTTGCCCTTGGGGTTTGATAGAATCGTAGGACCAAGCTAGGAAGGAGAAATATAAATGGTGAATGATTCAGAATGAATAGTTTCTCAGTTCGCCTCAGGTATAATCTGTGCGCTTAAAGTTATCCTCGAATTTCCTGAGGAAAGGGTGTGGCAGAGGGAGGCTACTGCAGAGGGGAGAGGAGTAGGACCATCGAGTTGACCTGTTGGTGAAATTGGGTTATTGCTTTCGGAGTTGTCAGTAGATAAAGATGGCGTGCACTGGTCTAGGTGGTCATATCAAAGCGATGATTCTAATAACATTTCACCTACCATCAACAAATCTTTTTTATCGGCTCTTCTCGCCCAAATAACTCCGATGATGTAAAAACCAAGGATTGTCGATATCAAAGCCAGCACAGCAACGTTCTCGGCAAGACTGCCAAAATTTTGGAAAACCGAATCGAAATCGATCGGGTTTGGTGCCACAAGTAGATCACTGCCAAACGACGTCAGATGATCACAATAGCACACGATGGTCTCCTTGTTCGTTCCTGGGGCCACCTACGCGGAAAAAACAGGAATAGATTGAATGGGTTCTGTTCTTTTATAGTCAGACCAGGCAATATAGCAGGTATAGTATTAATTTTAGGCCTTACCCTGCAACCATCGCCGGTCCATGTTTCATTCTCAACGTCCCAGTGCATACAACTCGATTCAAACATCGTCGAATTGTAGTTTGGAGTTTGGTTGGGGAAAAAGAACTTTCCATCGAAGCCCAGATTGTCCGCCACCAGGATCTTGATCGCTGGCTTGTGAGTCGGCTTCGGGGGCGCGGGAGGAACGATGACACAGGAACGGCGAACACGTCTTGCTCCAACCTCGCACGAAACAGAACGTCTCTTTCGAGAGGCGGACCCCGCGTCTAACTCTTCGTCACTCGATTCGTTGAGATATTGAATATGTTGAACAGCTGGAGAACGAGTAAATTTATTGTTTTCACTGTTTGAATATCTTCTGAAAAATTCCTTTGAAACTTAATCATGTTCAAGTATTTTCTTAAGGTTACTTACCAAAGCAATGCTTTCCTGTGTCATTTAAGTCTTGATTTGATACAAACACTGTATAAGGGTCTCTTGAACAATTTTTCAAGTGAACATGGATGGCTTGACCGGAGTTGTGATTGTGTGATATTTCTGAATTCATAATAGTTCCTTCTGGGACGGAACAGCTTTTGAGATCAGGAAGGTGGTAGAACAAATCAAAATCTCCCGACTTTATATCAGGTTTTCCTCCACTCTTTAAATATACCTAAAATAACGAAAGAAGTATTTTCACGGGTTTTAAAAAATGCTGTTTGCTTGCTGGGGGAAAGGGATTAAGGATTAACTCTCTGAACACCTTGATTGTCGTTGTTCACAAGAAGCACTTTTATAAAAACAATGATGTACCTTTAGATGTATTCCAATTTCGTCAGGATGAATTTCAAAATTCATCGATGTATAATTACTGCTTCGGTTGAAGCAATGGTACTTCAAGTATTCTTTTGTACTTGCTGTCGAGTTTGTCTGACTTGGTTTCATGTAAAAGCCGTTAGGTTTTGGGAATTGACTTGTATTGCGAGCCACCGTTATACCAGCTTCTTCGCTGAAGTTGGACGACGAAATATTCATCTTGGAGTCAATTACTATGTCGACTACATCAGAAGTGATTGTTTCACTCGTGTTGTCCCAGTTGAAGGGATTTTTGTTGAAAACTGCGAGCTAGTATGAGAAAGATAGTTAAGGTAGTAAGCAAAGTTACACGTACTATGTCACCTTCACTAGCACATACCATACCACACCACATCACACCACACCACCACACCACACCACACCACATCATACCATACCATACCACACCACACCACACCACACCATACCATACCATACCATAGCCATACCATAGCCATACCAAACCATAGGCATAGGCATGTACCATACTGTAACATACCTTTATATTAATAGGTTGCATTTGAAGAAAAGTGTTGTTCGGATTATCGATTACTAAAAAATTACAGTCAAATTCTTCAGTAAAATTTCCAACCAAAGTTACACAGTTTTTGTGACTTCAATAAATATTAAACCAATCGGACTGAAGTATAGTTAAGCAGTCAAAAAACTCACTTTCTTTCATGCCAAGTGCATTAGCCGATGGAGGATGAAAGTCGCAATTTTTCAAGGTGTTCTTCTTTTGACCAAAGTCCTTCACTTGAACCAACTCAGCTTGAATTGAAAATGTTTCTGTTTCAACGCTCAGGGGACCCTCGCTAGTGACCAAATTATCGACAACGATGTTTTGAAGATTGCCAACAATGTCCGTTGTACGTTTAACTTGATTCTACAATAAGTATAGTCGAAGAATATTGACGTCTGTATTCTAAATACTCACTCGCGCTCTCACTTTGGTGCTATTCAAATAAGTTGCACTCAAGTAGAATTGAAGTGCGAGGGACATTCACCATTTAAAATATCAGGTAATTTGTTTTCAAAAAGCTCACTCGAATGTGAAGAAAATTAAGTGTAATACAAATGAGAGATCACGTACTATAAAGCAACAATTGACATTGAGAGTCGTAAAAGACATAGAGAATTGTAAAATCAGTATAACTAATTGTAAAATCGTACTGGAGATAGTTCAGTTTCCTTTGTTGAACCATTATTTATTTGTCCGAGAGATCCAAGAACAAACCCGAGTGATGTCACAATTTCTTCAAACCCATTATCCTTGTTTGACAGTTCCTTCAAATTCCCAGTTAAAGACTTGCATATATCAAGTGCAGTGTCCTTGAGAGCGAGAAAGAGAGGAATTTCAAGACGATTGAAGCAAAACAGGGATAAGGTCTTCATAAACCCAATGACTTCTGGCAGAAAACCTGAACTAACATGCACATGCCTTAATTTGATCTATATCAGTCCTTAAATGTCAGAGTGGATTTTATCGATAGAATCAGACTAAAATAGGGAATATAAGCTACTTTTCCAAAGGGAATGATTTGAATCTGGTTGAAGGAAAAATGACGCCTTACCTGACTATCGGGTGTAAGTTCGTCTGGTTCTTCCGTTAAAGTGAAAATCGTAGAGGAGACTTGCTTCATTGCGGAGGTGTCCTTTATAGACATATTAGCGGATGAAATGCTTTTAAGAACTGTTTCCTTCACCTAAGATTTAGATAAATGTTTTAATACTTAAGTTTATCAAATATCTATTCATCGACGTCAATTTCTCACTCATTTTGCCAACCAAAATTGGACAAATTTTAATTTAGAACCAAGTAACCTTGCACGGACGAACTGTTTAGCGAAGGATACGTACATGTGCCGATGATATTTCAGAGCTGTTATTAGTTGTATTTTTCTGAGCGATGTGATTTAATATTAACCCAACTGTTGAACACAAGCTCAAGGCTTTCGGGCTTCTTTTTGATCCGAAATAGTGTTGAAGTAAGCTGTTTTCTCCCGACACCAAGCCCAGAATTCTGTCCATGTCCAGGCTTGTTACTGGTGGAGGAAGTACCTAGGAAATATGATAACTTTTTTAAGCAGTTGTCACCCCGCGGTGATAAGATGAGAGAAATGGCGTCGGACAATGGAAACACAAAGGCCGAGTTAATAAAAAATTCATCTGGCTAAAAAAAACGCATCTCAAAATATAACTGATCAAGCTTAGCATATCTTGGTATGGCTGAGCGAACTTGGTATAGCTCAAAGCTGAGAAGCTTAGTAAAGCTAAGCGTAAAGCTGACCAAGTTAACCTGTTGTTTATAATACAGTTCATTGTTTTTAAAGCTTATTATTAGTACCATAAGCTCTCAGTCTTCGCCAACTTTCATAGAGGTTTAAAAGTTGTTTGTATTACCTGAACCGTCATGATATGTCTTGATTTTGAGCCAAAGAAGTCTTTAACAACCACAGTAACATTCAGTCTGTATTCATCTCTCTCGTCTCCTATCCCAAGCCAATCTGTTTCACTTATACTCCGTCCAGGACTAATCGTACGATAGAATAGTACGACTTTGATCCCTCCTGTTTCGTAAAAGAACTCGTAGGAAAGAGGCGCATCCTGATCAATCCAGTTTTCACAAGAGATCGTAAAGTTTGTCTGCGCGGCCAAACCAGAAAATGGAAAAATGGAACAGTTTCCTTGAAAGGTATACAAAAAAATCTTCAGAATAAAAAAGGCGACGTTTGTAAGATAGAAGGGAGTTTGTAAGATAGTTAGCAGTGACTACGAGTAAACAACCATGAAAGCCCTCTAAAATTGCTACCTGTGTCCAGAAATGAACAAATATACTTTACAATGCACTTTTGCTACTTAATGGTAGGAAAACACCCAGAGGGAGGATGCTGGATAAACCATCCTAAGGGAAGATACAAAGGAACTCTCCCCGTCGGATGACACTAAGGAACTCCCTCCCCCGAGGCATGACACTGTGGAAGCTCCCAGAGGGATATTGATTGTTTAAACAATTTCATACCGTTCTTAGGAGGAGTATTTAGTAGCATTGTATGCCTCATTTCGCCGAATACACCACTGGCACGCGTCGCCCTGAAACTCAAGATGTACTTCTTTCCGGGGTGAAGAGAATTTGGTTTGATTCCTATATCCAGCTCGTCGATAGGATTAACAGCCATTTGCTGAAATTCGTCATTTGTAATCTCGTTTAATTCCGTCAAGTTGTAAGGCTCTGGGGTATGAATGTCATCGTATAAGAACAATTGCCAACCGAATTTCAGCGCCCCATAGCAACGTTCGTCGCACGAGGATTTCAGAATGATCTTCTGGTCATGAACGACTTTCGATTTGCAGTTCTTGTTGCAACTGTAAGTTTAAGAAATAAACCAGTACAAATGAAGTCACTTAGAAACTATACTAACCGTAATTTGAATTTATATTTCTGCATGTAAGTGGGTACAATTTGTCCTCACCCCTAAGGGCCGTGGAGCAATTTTAGATTAAGAAAGCAAGAGCGGCTTCTTTCGGGGATGAGGCAGATTTTGGGAACCTTTAGTTTGTCAGAGGCACCAAAAAATGTTTTGGAAGGGACGTCACCAGGCCTCTCCGTTCCGCGATCCTTGACCACCTGATCTACCACTGCTTATCCTGGATCATTCCCAATCCCCTTTCCAAACTCAATTTAAACGTAACTTAAGTACTTATAATGTTGTGATGAAATCATTTTTTGTCTCACCGCATTGTAAGGGAAGGTGGTAATCCTCTCGCCACGTAGAAGAAAACGTTTATCAAATGCTGTCTGAGACCAAATTCAGGATGGGTCTTTCTGACCAAGAGGGAGATCGTATACCTGGGTTGAAATATGGACAGTCAAAGAAAGTGTCAGACATACAATTGAATACTTCGTAGGTGGAATTTAAACATATAAACAAATAATCTAAATGCTTCAACTCACGCTTTGTCTTCAGTCATTGTAATGGTATTCAGTTGAAGAGTGAGATCAGTGGAGTTCAATCGACCACGCCCAGTTCCGAAACAACCAATTAGCTGCCGAAATCGAGAAGATTATTTTACAATTAATATTGTTACTCGACACACGCAAAAGTCTCGTGAACGTTTTGTAGCAACCTAGGCATGCATGATCATAACGTCACTGAAAGATAGCGGAAGAATTCATAGTTGATAGAATGCGACTGTCTCAATGAACTATATGTGCTTTTAGCAACTGGATAGCCACGCCTTAGATTGCTGGTAAATCAATTCCTGTGTTAGCATAATTAGTCGACTCTTCACAAAATTATCATAAGTTCCCGCATTTCATATCTATGTTGCAGGTGTATCAAGGTGTATCCTACCTGGGTGGTGTTGTCCATGGTTGGGACAGGTGCTGTCTCCGGGTCAGGTACCTCGGGGAATGCTAACAATGGTTCAAAGGTAAAGTTTGACGGCAGAAATTCATGATCATCAACATCTCTGCAGAACCAAAGAAACTCCATTCCATCTGTGCCAAGAAAATCCGGATCTATTGATGACGATGCGTTCAGAGCACCCTAAAAGTATAATATATACCTGTTCATGAAATGGTTCGAACCTGTCGTCTTACAAACATACACAGTATCCAAGACAATGCATTTGAATAAATCGGGGTTTTCGCGTTTGCCTTTAAAATATATACTAGACACACTGTTCTGATATCTTAAAAAACTAATTCATTGTTACGACAGGGCTTCCTATACACACTGCACTATATCTCTTAGAAACCAGGTGAAGTTTTTGTTAATAATGGTGCATGACTATGTCTTATACAAACACAGCAAACCTACAGACATTCCGTATGGTACAGTATGGAAGGAGCCCCCAAGTACGCCAGCATTTAACCAAGGTGTCTGCACGATTTCAACAAAGAATGAATCGACTCCAAAAACGCCAGGTAATCCACTCATTTCAACACGAGCAACGATTTCATAGAAACCGTATGGCAAGTCCCTCGGTGGAAGAATCAGATCCTCAGAGAGAATATTCGAATGGTAAACAGCTTTCCGTAAGTTGGACGCTTTCAAATTCGGGATTGTGTTTAACATGCGTGGATCATCCACAAAATCAAATACTGTCCAGGTCACTTTGGTTGCTTCGGTTTTTTCACAGTCTAGTTGTAGTTCAGGTGATAATGAGATTGAGACCGAACGATATACTTGTGTGGCGTTCAAGATATTGGACGAGTTTGGAGCCAGGCCTACAGAAATATAAGAATATATAGTAATGAGCTGCAGAAATATCAAGGATTGAGAGGATTCGAATAAGCATTAAAGGTGCTTTTACTATTTTTTTAAGAATTATTGTCAACATTGTAAGAGTAAAAGGTTTACCCGTGATAGTGATGTTCGGATTTTTGCATTCTAAAGCCAAGATAACAGCAACCGTTTCTTCTGCAACCGCGGAGATATTATTTGACGCGCTTACTCTGACACGAAACGATCCAATGTTAGGATAAATATGTTCAACAATAACTTCTTGTGTGTTTGGACTTCGAGGAAAGAACTTCAGGAGAGGTGTGGCAGCAATGTTTGGATTAATGTCAGCAACGACGAACTTTGTTTGACATGAGGCGTCGCCATAAACCAGGAGAGAACTGTTGTCTCCGACGTCGATCCACATACACGTTTCTGGTGCAAACTTTTCGAACAAAATTGTGAGTGTTATAGTTTTGTTAAGCTTGACAGGACCGTCGTTTGATAGACTGGTGAAGATCATGCTTTGTTTAAGGATAATACTACCATAAGCGTGTACAGTACTAATGCTGTTTTTTAAGGTGACAGTAATATCACAGCGCTGGTTCACATCCCCTGGAAAAGATTTCTCAAGTTGATAATGCGATGCATCGCTTTGACCTGAAGTTTCGCAGTCGAAGTTCCACAAAACAGATGTAGCCGGACCGTTTTTGTAGCTTGCATTCAACTTTACGGGATACTCGGCTGGGAATATATTGGCAAGCTCTCCTTGACCCTTTACCCCAGAGCCAAAGAAGGAAAAACTCGTCAACATCGAAATTACCGGATTTTGAATGACTTTTAAAATTTCGAGCGTAAAATTCAAAGTTTTGTTTGAAACTGAATTCCGAGCGAAAACACGGATATCCACGATCCCGTCAGGATCGAAAAGCAATGGGTCTGTAACATGGCAATCGCATTGTCCACCAATTCGATTTAGATTCGTCACATTGCAACATATGATCTCGTTGTAGTAAACATCTACGGAAGTGTATGAGCCATCGTCCATGTCCCAAATAATAGGAATATTTTCACCAAATGCCTTTGCGGTCGGTACAGATTGAAGTGTTAGGTTTTCAATCGGGTATAAATTTTCTGTCAAAATTTAGGATGCAAATAATAAAGTAAGGTGAGATATGATGAGATAAGGGTAAGGTTGATGCAAGGTGGAGTAAAGTTGAGGCAAGGTGGGGTAATGTTAAGGGCAAGTTAGGTGAGAGGTGAGGTGAGGTAAGGTTAGAAAAGACAAATGGGCAAAAAGTCCAACGCACTCAATGTCTAACATTAATATTCTTACCAAATTCACAATTAACTCCATAATATCCCGCGGGACAAGAACAATTGTACGCGTTAACAAGATCTTCACATGTTGCGTTATTCAAGCACGGATACGAAAGGCATTCGTTGATTTCTATTTGAGAGAAGTTCAAAAATTACGACAAAGAGCAATTCCTTTCCAGTCTCTCCAAATATTTCCAATAATATTTACCTGTTTGGCAAGCATTTCCAATGTAACCAACAGCGCATGTGCAAGTGAAATAGTTGAAGAAGTCAAAATGGTCATGACAGGTGCCACTGTTTTGGCAGGGTGACGAGTGGCAAACATCGAAATCTAACAAGAAGAACAAATGCATTTTTGTAAAAGCTAACTGTGACCAGATAACTGTGATCAGATAACTGTGACCAGATAACTGTGATCAGATATCTGTGACCAGTTAACTGTGATCAGATAACTGTGGACAACTAAGTGTGATCAGATAACTGTGACCAGCTAACTGTGACCAGTTAACTGTGATCAGATAACTGTGGACAACTAACTGTGATCAGATAACTGTGACCAGATAACTGTCATCAGATTACTGTGACCAGCTGACTGTGACCAGATAACTGCGACCAGCTATCTGTGTAAAGCTAACTGTGGTGAGCTAACTGTGACCAGCCAATTGTGGCCAGATAACTGTGATCAGATAACTGCGACCAGATAACTGCGACCAGATAACTGCGACCAGATAACAGCGACCAGCTAACTGTGACCAGTTAACTGTGACCAGATAACTGCGACCAGATAACTGCGACCAGCTAACTGTGATCAGTTAACTGTGGACAACTAACTGTGACCAGATAACTGTGGGCAGCTTACCTTCGTAACGGCCGTAAAATTCAGCACGAAGGGAACAGGCGACAGTGCACACTCGTAGTTTAATTTGAATAACTGTGGTCAAAATCGCTGGAGTCAAGGTTAAATTTGTCACAACACCTTGTTCTGTACTTGCATTAAAAGTCTGAAACAAATTACAAATTTACCATCGTCAGAAGGTTCAGAAGCGAGTAAGCGATTAGATAATACACATGTCATACAACGCAGTCACACAAGTCGCCATGTGCCAATATTCAACAATTTTGCTATAATATTATCTATTATTCGAATATGTCTCCCGCCTGGCACGTGTCTATGACTCTGGCAACAGATATAGTTAAATGAATAATCACGATGATTTTCAAGGGCCGAATCTAATGAGAGTTCCAAACTCTATGAAAGCCCTAACTGGTATACGTCATAGGTTGTAAGTAATTAGAAATAGGCCGACAATCGAAGAAGGTGAATGCATGGAAGGATGATCCCCTAGTTGGGTTTCACTTACCCTAATGGTGGTCCAACCTACATGTTTGACATAGTTATTTTGTGCATCAGTATCAGGATCATAGTAGGTCAGTTGAAAGTATTCGACTCCAGCAACTGAGCTTGTCCTCGCTTGAATCTGGACCATCGTCACCGTGGTATTTGCGACGAAATCAACCACAAACACTCTGCAAAAGTTCAGTGTAAAAATCATTTCCTGTCCATCAGTAAATGACGCATGCTTTTAAAAAAATTCTTGTGCATGATAACGTCGACTTACGCGGGAATGTCAGACGGCATAACCATCCATTCGCCTCGATTCACGAACGGTTGACCATTTAATCTTCCACGCTTGGGTGCGTATGTTTCGTTCCGGGAAGAGCTTGCTGTAATTTGCGAATCCAAAATCTGTCCGCTTTCCATACCCAGCGTGTGGGGATAATAACAAGTGAGAACTTTAAAACAAAAAACCGTTTGATGTCATTCAGAATTACATTCCACCCCTGTCCTAGCAAATGTTCGACAGCCCTGCTAACGCGGGGAAGAAAAGCAGAGCTCTTAGACATTATAAATGTATTTCTGTATTCAAAAAAAAAATTAAACATACTTGCATAACATCCCTTGAACTCGACTCTAAGACAACCTTTGTGTGCTCCAGTGGCAGTGTTGGGATGAATACGAATATAACGGGTGGAGATGGGATTCGAAAATGTATTGGGGGCAACAATGTCAGGTGCCGTATTCCCGTTAAACATCTGGAAATATAACTTCATATCATCACGTTACACGTTAATGCTTCTTTCATGACATAGCAAAAGAAATAAAAGCCCTGTTTACACTACACTGAATATATTGGTAAAACACGGATAAAATGAGAACCCGTACTGATTTCATACATGCTCGGCCTTTGTTTTGGTAACCAGGGGCCAGTTGTATAAAAGACTAGTTAACTTTTAACTGCATGTAGTTATAAAATAAGGACAGAATTAGCCAATGAATCAGAGTCGTGTATTTCTGAGTTACCTAGGATCTAACTATACAAAATGTAGTTGAAGAGTAAAACGGGGCTATGGAGGGTAAACGGGGCTATGAAGCAATGAACTATGAAGTTACACAGTGAGTACCTTAACAAACCCATTTTGTTCATAATAAGCAAAGCTAACACCATCTAAACTATAGGAAATTTTAAACGCGGTAACTCTCTCGTCGACATCTGTGGCAGGATTCCCCTGGATGTGAACGCTGGTGACAGTCGTGTTCACACGAAAATCCACCTGAAACCACGGATCACCATCATGATCCCCAGGGCACCAGCAACCTCTGCTGTTTTCCAATACGTTGTTCAGTCTCCCATAAGAAGCGTGATACTCGTCACTGTATTGTTTATCGGAGGTAATCTGGTTGTCTGCAATTTGTCCATGTTCCATGCCAAGCGCTCTGGGTTCAAAAATTTCTAAAGAATCAAAAATGTGGTGTGATCAGCCGTTGATTCCGGGGGCTGGTTGTGCGAAAACTGGATGGTGCTTTCAATCGGATAGTTTTCTTTTCAATCGCTCTAGAATTGCGCGTTAGTTTGGTAAAACGTGCATGGTTTGAACCTTTGCATTCCTAAACTAGGGGTCCCTTTCATAGCCATGATTAGCTCAAAATATGTTATCTCGTTGCTTTTGAGGTTTATTTACGACACTAGAATCGCTATCCCGTGATTGCTTCTTAAAAATCATTAAATAATAATAATAACAAATAATAATAGCTTTAATTTCGATCGAGGCGAGGGGGGGTCCATAACAAAGGCCTAGCTTTTGGCTAGTTAAGAAAAGTTGCCATTGTGGTGAAAAGATTTGAAAATAAATCATTGTTACCTGACTCGCAGAAGACTCCCGTGAAACCGCTTGGGCATGTGCAGTTGAAAAAATTATATCCATCAAAGTAGTCGTGACAAATACCCCCGTTCTGGCAAGGCCGCGATGAACAGACGTCGATATCTAAAAGGTGTCATAAATGGTTGAGCCTTGCTATATTATCCCCATTATAACAACTGTTTTATGTCGGGATCTTTTCTGTGTACTTTAGTTGTTTAAGGTAAAACGGACAAACATTAACTTGAGCATTGAAACTTAAGCCGAAAATTAGATCCAGGTGATCACCAGGTGATCTCATTTCTCTCCATGATTTCTCTCATATTTTAGCCGATCAGCGCTCACATAGTTTGCCAAAATAGAGATCCATTCTGTAGGTCTCAATCGATTGTATCTTTGGTTATTATTCTTCACGAAACTAGCCGAAATTTTGCGATTTTGTTTGATTGTATTCAGTTATAAGAGTATAACTATAGTTCTGAGATAAATTTGAACGAGAAATCAAGGACATTTCAAGAGATATTAAGTTGTTTCAACGGAGAAATAAATTTTTATTTGACAACTTGTCCTTTAAATTTCCCCCCATTTCAGATCTCCCGCATGGATAATATTATACAAATGCAATCATCGGATCATATGTGGATTTTTTTGAGATATAATGACAAGCAGAGTAGGGACAGCGATGTCTCAGTAAGGAAAACAATATCCCCATGCATGGGAGAGGAAAGAACTACTTGGGTCATCTTTTCCTATTTGCATCAATATAACCCTACATGGGACAAGCGATGTTTCAGTAAGGACAGTACATATTAATACAAATTTGTATCAATATGACCTTACATGACACATGCATGACATGATGAAGTTGATCCCAACCCTCTGCAACAACCCTCTCAGCCATACATATCTTACAATACTCTCATTGTTTCATGTAATACCTTCATAACAACCGTAAAGTTCTACTCTTAAACCAATTCCTTCGCCAGCAAATGAAAAATCCCTTAAGGTGAATACTTTCGTTGCAGCTATGTCCTCTATATCAATGGTCACCACCGTATTTGAATCACTGTTAGCGGTATACTTCTGTAGAAGGAAAAAATAAAGAAGGTAGGATTGGTAGAATTGTGACTATAGGCGTCAAATGTGGGGGCATATTTATATCCTGAAGACACAATTTTTTTCGTTGATGACATGTGAAAGTACTTTCAAATCTGAATTTTTTCTTTCTCACATCCAAACACAACTTAGGCTGAAATGACTTCAACTTCTTATTACCTCGGAACAGAAATATTTTCGAATAAAATTTTCGAAGATTTTTCTGTGCCAGCATGCGGTTCACGGAGAAATTTTCCCGTCGTGCAAATGCAGCTTTATAATATAACGAATGATATCATCAATGGCTAGTTTACCTTCCCTTTTTTCCATCCATAAGTGTGCAATTCATAATGGGGTTGGAATTTGGTCAGCCAAGCGTTTCGATTAGCCGTTCCTTGAATCTTGATACTTGTTACTACTGCTTGCGCGTCGAATGTGATAAAGAAGTGTGCTGCCTTCGTTGTAGTAGTAAACCAACCTTAATGCAAGATAAAACATTTCAAATTAAATTCAAATTAATCGATGATGGTAAACCCAACAATTCCAGCTTCTGGATAAGAAACTAAGCATCTTAGGAAGAGAAATACTACAAAGTTTGCTTGCAAAATGCTGAAACTTGATGTGCAAAATATAGCCATGCGAAATTCACTAATTTTGCATCACAGCTAAGTACGGGAATAATAATTATACAACTATCTGAAAACTGGTTATTTTTATAGTTATATATGTTTGCAAAACATACAAACTTTGCCGGGCCATATTTTCCACTTTTTCAAAATTATAAAAATGGCAGTTCTATACTACTCATTTTTAAATGCTTTTTCCACCAGTGAGACGAAATGTTCAGCGCCTGGCTAAGCTAGGTAACTCGGTCTCGATCCATACAAGTCGCCCCTTCAAGCCACTTCTATGGTCTTATGATATGCTTACGGTTAAAAGCACCGATATACCTGTATTGGAGAACAGCCTTGCAGTCTCCGGGCTGTTGTCGCCATATTTTCCATCGTGTGCCCAAATTTGATGATCTCCGATTCTCCTGTTCCTCATTCCCAATTCCCTCGGCGCACGGCAGCCTAAAAATATAGGAATATTTCATATCAAAGCGCGTTGTGAGAGCAAAATCCCGATAGCCAAGGGCGCGTTGTACGAAGGCTGTATATCTATCCACCGGATAGTGATTTTTTTAACCGTTCGGCTAAAAATGCTCGAAAAGCGATAAAATTTCATCTTTGGAACCAAAAATAATTGTTAAAGAGGATTCTCGATTTAATCAAAGATGTAATCAAAGTTATAGCAAACAACCGGTGATATTGACAGCGATTAAAAAAAAATCACAATCTGGTGGAAAGCGCTATATCCAGCTTTCATACAACCGGCCCCAGGTATTGTAACCACAGTCTGCGTTCGACATTTTTTTCAATTTCATATTATGGAAATAGCATGGATTCCAGTGAGAATCAGTTTCTGTACGTACCGCAATAACAACCAAAAAGTTCCATTCTTATGGCGGGAATGCTCTTCCACACTTTCGGATGAATTCGAATCATGCGAGCAAAGATTACACGCGTAAAACGATGATGGATAATATTATCACAATCAAAGTTGCCGTTGAATTCCTAAAAAGGACAAACACCAATGTTATTATCTGCACTATATCAGTTCAGTTTTTCAGAGCTCAAACGAAAACATTTTTTATAATTCGAAGTATTTCTAACGAAATTCAGTGTGGTTTTGTTAAGTAGGAATGACCTTCAATAGACTCTCTCTTTATAATGACGTCAAACGCGGGAAGCCTGATGTTGTTACACGAAGTTTGATTGGCTCGTTTGTTTTGTGGAGCCAATCAAATTTCGTGAAACACCAGGAATTTGATTAACGTCATTATGAGTAACACCTATCCACGATAAAACGATTATCACGAATTAACCTAAGAAGTAGTCGCAAGTGCTACTGCAAATGTTCATTCTGATTGCCTATGCCTACTTGCTATCTTTCAATTGACAGATCACTGGAAGAAAAAAATCATTCCTGATTTGATATAGATCAGAGCCGGTTGTACGAAAGGGGTTTTGCTTTAAAGGGCGGATAAGTTCAAAACGGAGAAAAACAAAACTATATATTTATTAAAAAACTAAGTTAATTGTACATAATTTATGCATAGTTGCAGGTTCAGTCATTCGCAAGATATATGAGAATATTTTTAAACCATGGCTTATCCACCCTTTAAGCTAAACGCCTTTCGAACTCACACCGGCTCCTGGTAAGATAAAATCAATACCTTAATCCAACCGAATTCTTTATATTTTTCGAAATTTAACATATCATTGCTGTAGGAGACTTCAAATAGGATCGTCCAGTAATCTCCAGCCAAACCTCCCGGATCCTGTTTGCCTTGCATTGATAAAGCAACCACTTTTGAGAATTGCATGAGATCAACCTAATAATAAAAAAAAATCAAAGAAAATTGCTGAACGTCTGTCATACATTTCATGCACTGACCTGTATACTAATGGACTGAGCGGGTGAAACTATTTTTAAAACATGGTCTCGATGTCCACACCAGTGGTCCACACCACTGCACGTCATTTAGGGATAGGTCCGTTGCATGCTGTTATGCGTAAATTCGCTGACAAAAAAAAATAAACGTAACGGGCTCGTGACTTGGAGTAATGCGAAATAGTTCTAATTTAGACCGCTACAAACCAAAAATATAAAAAATACCAGCACTCGGTAAATAATTTTCATCGTACACGGGAGACCTATACTCTGTCAGCAACGTTGCGGGCACATTTCAAGCGCTCAGTTCATTTTGTCGATTTTGTGCAGATCATATTGGCTTGATGTTTAACGGTTTCAAAAGTTAAAAAAGATCGACGTACTTGCAACCATGGCAATGGGTCTCCCGACAACTCTGGCAGCCAGGCTTTTCCGTTATTCAAACGCGCATTGTGAGCGGTATATTTTGACGATCCACTTAACGTCGACGAGGAACTATACTGGTAACCTTTAAGGGTTTCTTGTTCGAGCCCAAAAGGTTTCGAATCAACACAACCTATAGTAAAAACCAAAATAAAACAATTAGGATGGACTGCTGCGGCTATACACATGCAGGTGAATATTGCCAGCGATCTTCTCTTTCTGGCGTATGTTATTGAGTGAATTAAGCAAACAGTTGTGCCTATAAGCTTGAAGATTAGTCTGCACTGTTAAATTTGCTCAGGCTGGTATGTAACTTGTTAAGTTCCTGTTTAGTTCGAATTGTTCCCACGATCCTAGCAGTATTTTATTATCTCCTGAAATCATTTTACATTTCGTTTAATCTCGGGATCGTACATAAACAGGTCCTATACTATACACGGTTATGAACTCAGGATAACTTCACGGCGATAGATTCCATACCTTCATAGCACCCGAAAAATTCTGTTCTCATTGCGCAAGCGCTGTGCCAGGTCTTGGGATGGAGGCGAACATATCGGGTAAAGACTGCTGGGAACATATAATGTTTGACCGTCGTGTTTCTGTCGGTGTTCGCTTGAAATACCTTGAAAAGAAGAATCGCAACCACAAGGCAAGTCAGCTGAGAATTTTCATTGGTTACCTATGCTTAAAATCTTGTGAATTAAACCAAGTTTGTGGAATCGTATCTTCCTTATTAGCTCTACACTTCGGTAGCTATATCGAGCATTCTACTATCAGAGGAATATATTACCTTAGGAACGTCATTCTCTTCGTAATATTCATAATTGCTCGAATCCATACTGAACGACAGTTTGAAACTCGTTACCCATTCGTCAGCATCGTTACGGCCCTGTGTCGCAACGGCTGTAAGTGTTACGTTAGTGATAAAGTCAACTCTCAACCAAGGCTGCGTATCTGTGTCTAGAGCAATCCATGCACCAGCTGTCCCATTGAAATTCTGTCTGGCGTTCATTGCACGTGATGTTTCATCTTTTTCAGAGGAAGAAGTCAGTTGAGCATCACGTATTACATAGTTCTCGAGGCCAAGAGCTTGTGGGTATAAACACGAGGTTGTAACTACATAACATCAAATATATGCAGGATGATATACGATTAATACACAGGATAATGATTAGTATGCAGGATTATACGATTAATACACGTAATTCATGTAGCATACATGATTAATATGCAGGTTAATACGATTAATACACAGGATAATGATTAAGAAGTTCCAAATTCCAATATACCCTCGTATCATCCTGCATATTAATCATGTATGCTACATAAATTATGTGTATTAATCGTATTATCCTGAATATTAAAAGAAATCCCAACTTACCCTGCTTTTCCGGATAAAGACACTGTAGTTTTTAAAAAGACATCAAGTCATTAAATCCTTAAACTCACCAATGGGACTGCCATAGACCTCAATTCTTAAACTCGGGTTATATTGAAACTGCAAGGGATAGATCCGAATGAATCGGGCGACGATAATTTTTGCGAAGGTTTGTTTGACAACCGTGTTTCCATGGTAATTTCCAGGAATATACGATTGGAAAATCTAAGAGTAAAAAATAATGGACTAAAAAATTAGCAGAGTTTCTAACATTTATTGATTAGATCTCATTGAAGATTTTTTATTCTTTCATTACATTTGGAAATGTTACACGCTTAATGTATGCTCCCGAGGGAAATAGTGAGTTTTGTTTTCCCAAGAGCCTGAATGTTTACCGAGACGAAGTCGAGGGAAACATTGAGATTCTAGGTAAAACAAAACTCACTATTTCCCGATACATGCAGTGTACATTAAGTGCTTTGTTATATAGGAACAAGAACATACATATTACACATCAATTTCATTAAAAAAACCACTTTACTTTGTTTCCTGGCGGGAAATATTGCATTTATTCAAAGTCATGTGACTACGAATGAACCAATCACAGCTTGCTGCGAGTGCTTGCATGTAATCAAAATCAACATGAAAGCATTTTCATTAGATGAAAACCCTCGCAGCTAGCGAGCTTGCAATTTCGATGAGTGAAACTGAAGGGGCTAGCTTTATTCTCGATCTGAACGAATTCTTGTGATATCATGCATACACGAGGAGCTGTGACGTAACGCACGACAAGCTAGGTGGGGTTAGGAGTTAGGACAAGATCTAGGCCTAGGGGCCCCAAAGACTGGTGTTCCAAATGATTTAATCTAGGTCAGGATAGGATAGAGTATTAGCAACAACACGATGGTATAAGTAAAACATATAATTATACTGACGCATTCCAGCCGAGTGCCAACTGACAATGCATGATAAACGCTATGCTTCGCTATGATACTGTTGAAATCGAAAACAACTCTAGGGGTTGACAACCATTCCAGTTTGTTAGTGTCAGTTTATTTCATGGACACTTACTTTAACAAGCGCAGACTCAGTATAGCTTGCAAAGTTTTTTCCGTCGTTACCAGTTGACATTTTGAACGTTTTAGTATAGCTAGGCTTATCAGGATGACCTTGAGTGGCTACACCTGTGATTTTGGTTTGATGTAAAAGATCAACTTGCAACCAGGGATTTGTATCTGCGTATGCATGCCTCCAAGAGCCACTGCCCGTACCATCGGTCTGATCTTGGTTGTTGAGGCGACTGGATATTGCATGCTTCGCTACATTCACACTACTTGAAGCCGTTAGCTGTCCGTCGCCTATTGATCCATCTTCCATGCCTAATGGCTGCGGGTTTACGCAATCTAAAAGTCATTGAGCAAAGATTGTTGAGCAATAACTACAGTGAAACACGCAAACTGGTTGGTTAATAGCCGTGCTGGATGAGGAAATCCTGCACAAGCAATTCCATAGACTTTTCTCACAATGACGTCAAATGCGGGCGAAATAACCTTTACCAGTCATTTCCCTATCGGGAGGGTAACATTTATGCAACATATACCTTCATAAACATCAAACCGCTCCCCGTAAATCGAACAAAACTTTCGGCATTTCAAACCACCTTTCCCGATAATCATCACGAAAACGTTTCAGGCCTCACTTTCAAGTCTTAACAGGCTAGGGGATTGACTAGGTATTTAGGAGTTTGAGGTTAAATGACGTGAAAAGAGACTTGCTTTAACCAATGCCGCAAAAGGTCTCCGTATTCTCTGCGGTAAATTCCGTTTACAGTTGGAGGTTTGCCGCAAACGCCAAGCTAATGGTCTCTAGTATTATCAAGGTGATTCATATCTTACCATATTTGCCATAGAATTCCACCTCCATGGCGAATTTGCCCATCCACGTTAATAGTTGAATTCGAATGTATCGAGCAAATATGAGAGGGTAGAAGTAATGCGATACTGCGGCATAATCAGCGAGGACGTGGTCGAAGAAAACCTTGAGATAAGACGAATAAAGGAACCTTAGTTTGGCAAAAACAATAATAAATACATCCAGCTGATGTGCATGGCTAAAAAAAATCACCGGTTCAGAAGTCCTCAACAAAAGTGAATTATTTTTTTCTTCACTTTATATAACTTAAGCCTCAAGCTCGGTGAATATTTCTGAATAAAGATCTCGAATTCGAAACCAAGGTTTTTATTCAGCGATATTCAGCTCGCCTTCAGTGAGTAATTTAGAAATATTACGTCTTGTTTCATCGCATGCATACCTTGGTTGTCGAGCCATCCTGGGTGTAATTGATGAGCTCACTGGAATAGCCGTAGGCGACCGTGAACGAGGTCACCCGATCAGCCACCGGAGTTGCCCCAGTAATATTCCCTGACACCATTCCAGATATTGTGACATTGGTTAGGAAGTCGACTTGAAGCCATGGACTGGGGTCGTTTTCATGGGCCATCCAACCCCCTGAACCGACTTTGGCAGACCCTGCACTTCCAATGCCTGATTGCTCGGATGACGCAATCAACTGACCGTCCACAATCTGAGAGCTTATCTCATTGTAAACAGCAGGCTCTTTCAGGAACTGCGAATCTAAGTAAAAAATGATAATTTGAGCATCTCATGAGTTTCCAGGCATTTCTCAAGTAAAACAGGGTGTCCCAAACAAACCAAAAAAACCTCGCGTCGCTGTTAGCTCAGCAAGTTACTCTCGTGTGCGAAATTCGCCTCGAGAGACAAGTTTCTCACGTCGTATGCGGATGGTTTTTGGGCTGAGCCAACTGCTTCTCGATCGAGGTCGTTAGCTCAGCGGATAGCTCTCGTGTGCGGTGGGCTTAAGGTCAAGTATTTCAGTTCGGGAAACCACGACAGCTAAGGTAAGCATGCCCTTCTGAATGGTTCGTTATCCTCCAGTCGTGAAATATTTTGCTGACTCAACAGATGGGAATCTCAATCCCATAGTCCTTACCTAAATAGCATCCAATGAACTCCACACGCAACGAAGGCAGACGATCAGACGGGTGCCATACGAGTGGGTACAAGCGAATAATTCTAAGGATGAGAGGATTTGCCAAGCGAGAACAGGCGACATTCACATTATTATGATTTGCAAGAAACTCCTTAAGAAAAAAATTTTGATACAAAATGAAATAATGAAGTGGAATAAATACCACCGCACGGGGACACTGCATATGGGGAGGCGGGAATCGTTTAGCTAACTAACAGACTATACAGGTCATGAACTAAAAGCCTGGGTACAAATCTATAGAAGGAATATTAGCCAATCAGAATCGTGTATTTTCGAGTTGACTACTTAGCTACTCAACGTGTGGGAAAGGTTTTATTCGATAATAAAGATGTAATGATTGCCACAATATATAATTCATAGCAGTAATTTATAGTCCAGCTGCAAAAACACTCCTTGCCTTGGGTATTCCCTGTGAGAGGAATCCCGGGGTTCAGAGGGGATGAAGGCATTGGGCAATATTTGGAAGAAAAAAAAGAAATATTCTGCTTTCTATGTGTTTTCTACGTGTTTTTAATACCACAGCAAACAAGAAAAGCTTTCCATACAACCCTATGATGCGATCTTGTTGAAAAGAAATCCACTTGCCGATTAAATTTTACAGTAGGAAATATAATGAAACTGGTTAAAATTTTGTCACTATGTGTAGAACTGCATGTAGTTCTGGTATCAATTTAAAACAAAATGAAAGTAGTTACTTCTCAAGAGATATTTAGTTGTCTCAACGAAGAAAATAATGGATTTTATTTCATGACGCAAAATATTTGCATATTTTCTTTTGAATGTTGACAGAACATTAATTACATAAGTTCAACTTCACTGTTCTAATTTCAAAAGAAATATGAAAATATTTCGCTAGCGAACTTGTTGCTACCCCATTTCGCAGATAAATTGTAGTTAAACCCGCCGCACACGACACACGACACACGACACACGAGAGCTATTAGCTGAGCTTAAAGACCTCACAAAGCTATCAGCTCAGCAAATTTCTCTCGTGTGCGGACAGTTTTCATGAGGAATTCAACTCGCCTCGAGAGGCAAATTTCTCTCGTGTGCGGCTGGTTTAATTTCGGGCTGAGCTAACTGCGTCGCGAGGTCGTTAGCTCAGCTGATAGCTCTCGTGCGCGGCGGGCTCGACTGAGCTCCTCAATTTGCGCTAGGTTAACTTTCGCAACTAGACCGCATTAGGCGAGGACTTATTTCGTATACGAACCTTCTTTGCGCCGTATTCTTTGTAAATAGTAAATGCGATTCCGTCAAAGGAATACGATGCGCTGAATCTACGCACATAATAATTGTTGTTTCCCCGTCCTTGCGTTAGTATTTCGACAATCTTGGCAAATTTGAGAAAGTCTGCTTGAAGCCATGGCTCGGCATCATTTGCAGCAGGCGACCAACCAGCATATTGGTGGGTTGAATTAAGCCTAGCCCTTTTTGCTGGATGGGCTGGTGAATCGCTTGAGGAGGATATCTGACCATCTTTGATCGTATGATTTGCCATGCCCAGAGGTCGCGGATCGTCACAAAAGGCTGAATGATTAAAGTGGAAGTTAGTTAAAGCATATGTCACACGGTGCAATTATTCTTGCAACTTGCAATGCAATTCTACTTTTAAGAGATGTAAATTAGTGAAGAGTCTTCAAAATGTAAGTGTAAGAAACGCCATGGATTGTAATAAAGACAGACTGAGTTCGGTAGTCATCTCTCAAAAGAAGAATTACATTGCAAGTTGGAAGAAAAATTGCCCTAAGTCCGTTTTGCGCTATGGTTCTGCTCATAGCAATGACCCGATTTGTAAGAGACTTGAGACAGATTCCACCTCTGACAAATCATTCGTCTTAAGTGAAACTGCACTTGGATCGAAATATTTCGCCATTAATAAGTTGGTTAGAAGGTCGTAATGAGCTTGTAATGACCAGTATACATACCATCGTATTTTCCATAAACCTCCACCCGCAAATAACATTGTCCTCCACAAGACTTTGGCTGGATTCGAATCAAGTTGGCAACAATATTTGGAAAGAGGTGATTTACTGAAATATTTCTACCAAATGCATTTGCTTGGAATATCTAAAATTAAAACGCAATAAGAGCGTAAAAATTTGAAGCCGATGGCAAAGTGGTGAAGGTACGTAAAGGCCACGTTTCCACTTTTATGTGCGATTTCCCTCTTTTGATGCTCTGGGGCCGGTTGTTCGAAAGGCGTTTAGCCTCAACGGTGGATAAGCCAAAGTTTAAAAAGACTTAATTTCAGGCTTCTTGTGAATGATTGAACCTGTATCTCATTTAATATGTACTTCCATTGACTATTAAACTATTTACATCGAGATATTTCAGCTTAGTTGTTCAATAAATAGATGATTTTGTTTTCCATTTTGAACTTATCCACCGTTTAAGCTAAACGCCTTGCAAACAATCGGCCCCAGATGTATTATTACCTTACCTTAATTTCACCGTTGAGTTTGTAGTCCTGCCAAACATTGTTTCCATTGGAAAAAGCCAGTGTATAGTTTTCCACCCAGCCGTCAGGAGAACTCTGAGTAATGATGCCTGCAATAGTCGCTCTCGTTGTGAATTCGATTTGAAACCAGGCGGTATTATCTCCTTCAGCTGGTCTCCATCCAGGCGAATTACTTAGGCTGTATCTGCCTTTCGAGGCTCGGAAGTCATAGGCCATCGTGGATGACGCGGTCAGCTGAGAGTCAAGAATCAAAGACGACTCCATTCCAAGAGAAACCCTCTCAAACCAATCGGTGACTAAGGTAAAACAAAAATTACAGAGTTCTGGTGTAGTGAAGCCATCGTAGGGTGGCTCGGCGTGGCTAATACACACTGCATGGACGCCATGCGCAAACGTAACCGATGAGTGTTCTTACGATTCTTTCAGTTTTCATTAAACAAAGACTAATCTTCTGATATTCTTGTATAAGAAATGTCACGGTCGTAGCAATGGGGGGGGGGTGGTATTGGGGTGGCTAATCCCTGTCTGTCTTGCATTAGCCTATATCCCAGTCCATACACGGAAAAGTACCGGCGGGAAAGTATATAACGTTCCGTGTATGGAACAGGCTAGTTTCCATGCCCTCGCTCTAATACTAATTTCACTTCCTCGACTTACCAACATAAAATCCGAAGAACTCAACCCTTAACGCATAAGCATTACTCTTCTGCGTTGGATGAAGCCGAATAATGCGAGTGAAGATTGGGTTTCTAAGTCTTTGTCGCACGGCACTTTCCTTGTCATAGTTTGCCTCAAAATCCTGCAATAATATTTATTTAATAAAACATTTTTAGCCAGAGAGATAAATGGAATAGAGGGGAAAACATACACTGAAGAACATATTTTGCAAATCGAAAATTAGGTTTTTAATAAACAAGACAACAATATTACGCCGTGAAGTCACTGATATTCTATTTGTAAAGCCATTCAGACTTGAATAGAGTCGATTCAATATTGCAAGGAAGTACTGTAATTGGGCCACAGAATACCTATCAGAAGTAGAACTCCTGTACTTTTTTCGTAAGTGTGATTCGTCATGATTCGTCACTTAGCAAGTGCATTTTTTTGAGGTAGTCACCCCCCTGCCAATACTAAATATGGCTTGATTTTAGACATTGGCAGGGGGGTGACTACCTCAAAAAAATGCACTTGCTAAGTGACGAATCATGACGAATCACACTTACGAAAAAATAGTATAGAGTTATTCTTCTGATAGGTATTCTGTGATTGGGCAATCGTTTGCTAGCACACCGATGCACCCCCCTAGGAAAATTTGCACCCGTGATCCGCCACTGAATTTCCCCCTAATATACACACGTTACCTTCGGTTTTCCGTATTCTTTATAGGTTATAAAATCGAATCCTTTTATACTGAATGAGAGTTGGAATTTTTTCGTAAATTCATTATCTTCGCCATGACCTTTCGTGATGAGACCATTAACAAACGCGAATTTAATGAAGTCAACTCGCAACCAGGGACGAGATTCGGATAAAGCAGGCATCCAGGCACCTTGATAATAAAAGAGGGATTGATCATTGACCTAACAGATTCTAAAATCAATCTTCCTACGGAATCATGGGTGGGATTAGCACAGCGTTGGCAAAAACCTGCGGGTACGCGGGGACCACCCGTGAGGAAGGTTTACTTTGAATGAGGATGGTGCATGTAAACAAATATTAAAAAAAAGGTACTGTGTATTATTAAAGGTAATATTAAAAAAAAGGTATTGTGTTGGTTACCAATGCGACCAGCACCAGGTAACGAATATTCTTATACTAGATAATACCTAGGAAGGCAGAACGAGTCATGTGACTGATGTAAGTGACGTGACGTCATTTCCTGAAGGAAGGTTGAACCCTATGTTGCAACTCAGCAGTGAACAAATTGATCTCTTGTTCTCACCTTCGACAACGTTCCGAATATATTGGTGATTTAATCGAGAGCACGCAGGGAGTGCTTTTTGTTGTGCAGTGGACGCTGATATTTGGTTGTCTCGGATATAACCACTTTGCATCCCAAGCTCCCTGGTTATTCCTTTCCCTAAAAAAACAATGTTATAATATAACGTTTATCAGTACGCGCGTGCTGATTGATTGAGAAGTCTGTTTACCATGAGCGAGACAAACAGACAGACAGACAGACAGACAGACAGACAGACAGACAGACAGACAGACAGACAGACAGACAGACAGACAGACAGACAGACAGACAGACAGACAGACAGACAGACAGACAGAGAGAGACAGACAGACAGACAGACAGACAGACAGACAGACAGACAGACAGACAGACAGACAGACAGACAGACAGACAGACAGACAGACACAGACAGACAGACAGACAGACAGACAGACAGACAGACAGACAGACAGACAGACAGACAGACAGACAGACAGACAGACAGACAGACAGACAGACAGACAGACAGACAGACAGACAGACAGACAGACAGACAGACAGACAGACAGACAGACAGACAGACAGACAGACAGACAGAAAGACAGACAGACAGACAGACAGACAGACAGACAGACAGACAGACAGACAGACAGACAGACAGACAGACAGACAGACAGACAGACAGACAGACAGACAGACAGACAGACAGACAGACAGACAGACAGACAGACAGACAGACAGACAGACAGACAGACAGACAGACAGACAGACAGACAGACAGACAGACAGACAGACAGACAGACAGACAGACAGACAGACAGACAGACAGACAGACAGACAGACAGACAGACAGACAGACAGACAGACAGACACAACCCCAGATGTACATAGCTTCCAATTGAGAATTTGCTTTTAGAACAACTTATATGCTTTTAAAAACAGAAAATTTGCTCGGGCGACTCACGTACCTTCATATCGTCCGTAAAACTCCAGTCTCATGGCACAAGATCCATTCCACGATTTCGGGTGAATGCGAGCATAGCGAGCAATGCAATGCGGAAATATATACTGTTTTACTGTATCGCCACTTTCATGGTTGGCTGAAAACATCTAAGATTTAGAAAGAATATTAACATCTTATATCGTAGATGAGAATAATCCTAGAAGACAATACAATCCTGGGTGATAATACATGGACTAACAACTCAAAGGTCACGGGTTTGATTACGACCATAGTTAACTGCTAATTTTTCAGTTCGCTCATTTGGCAACTTAGAGTAGCATCGTCACAATATTAACATTGTTGTTCGCTTTCTCGGCTGTTAGGCTGGGGCTGCTAGCTGTAAAACGCTTGTATATTATAATATATACTATATAATATATAATTGGCCTAGGCTATTGCGGTCACCAGTTGTCATTTTCAAAAAAAATTCATGATAAATAAACATGAACTAACTAAGGCAAAGTTCACTCTCTTCCATCTTACCTTCAAACGTCCATTCTGAGTGTAATTGTTTAAGTTCAGGGGATCCTGTCCATACGTGAGTATGTATTTGGTGACTCGTGAATTGCTGCTGTATAAACCTTGTGTTTCTATCGCCGTTAACTTGAAATCAACTATAAAGTCAACTTGCAGCCAAGGAGCAGTGTCATGATCACCTGCAATCCAACCTCCTTCGTATTGATCCTTTTTGATTGAGTTAAGTCTGCTCCTACGACCATCACAGTAAATACTGAGATCAGATGAAGTCGTTATTTGAGTAGCGTATATAAATGAATTACTCATTCCAAGATCGTATTCATTAAACCAGTCGATGTCTAGAAAAATATTCAAGACAGAAAACATGAAATATACGAAAAACTTGCTCGGATAATTATAATTTACAGGTCCTATGTCTCGCATCATGTCAAAAAAGGTAATCCAACTTCTGCATGCAATTAACCTTATACACAATGACGTATCTAGCTGTGGCTTCTGCAGGGAATTCTGGTTTTAGTAATCACGGCGAAAAATTCAAACTTCAAAATTTCCCGCCGTGACTACTAAGACCAGAATTCCCTGCAGGTGTCAGTGGCTTGTTACGTCATTATACATCAGGTCTATTGTGCGCAACGCACTTAATCCACGGACGTTAATTTTAGATGTCACGAAAGAGTCAGACTTTCGTCTTTGATTGATATCTTTTTCAATCAAAATCGCATGGACGAAAAATTAGCGCTGTCCTATATTCGATACGCAACATCAGTGACGTAACTGGGGGAGGTGTCAGGGTGTGACAGGGTGGGGCAGTACGCTTTAAGGAGCTCTGATAAAAATAACGCAACCATGCTAAAATATTACCAGCGCACAGGGGAATAGAACTACGACCGACAGACAGATACGCAGCTAGCTGTTGCCGGATTGCTTAAAAAGTTTTAGAATAATTATATAATAAATTTTAACAGGGTTTTCCATTTTCAAACTGCTTATAATTAAAAATACAAATGTTATTTAATTTCTCAGTTCAAGTGTTCTCGGACGAATAATCTCAGCAAAGTAACAGAATTTACTCTGTGACAAAATATATAATTGAAGTTGGCGATTGTGAAGTCTAAAACTGCAGAGGGGGCTATCAAGAGAACGATTGACGGAGGGGGGGGGGCGAAATGATTGACGGGGGGGGGGGAGCGGACACAACGGTTGTTTTATGCCACTGAGTACAATAGTAATTGGCATTAATAAGAAGTTGCTGTTCGATTGGTTTTTTCTTTGATATATAGGCTACCCTGTATATTAAAATGGATTCAGTGATACCTACCACTGTCAGTTCCCCAGAACTCCAGTTTTAATGACCTTTCGGATTCGAAGGCCAATGGATGAACCCGGATGAAACGAGAAAAAATAGTTCTTGACAAACGTTGCTTATTTAATCCATTATCATCGACATTCGCAATGAAGACCTATAGGATTGACAGAAAAATTTGCTTAGCATGTACTCATGGAAATTTACTACAAGTCATGTATAAGGATTCGTTATGGTTCAGGGAGGTTTGTATTCGGGACTAGCATTGTGGGCACGTCCGTAAGACAGGCGGCCATAATTCATTGTCAACAACAGCTATATCCTTCCTTTAGTTTACATAAATTTTAATCAGATTGCTCTGGCCGGCTTTATTTGGCATGCAACTCCAAATAATTTCAAGGCATGCACTCATGGAAAAGTGCAGTGGCAGGTTGTTGGAAAGACATTTAGTTCAGTAAACGGTGAGTAAAAGGCAAGAAAAACACTCTCATGCATCTTGTGAGTGACTGAACCTGCATCTTATGCATTAAATATGTACTTTAATTCAACATAACAAACCATTGACGAGCTTTTGAACCGCTAGCTACAGAGACACTGAGACAGGGTCTCAAACACGCGACAATTGACTTTGGTATGAAGTGAAAACATTACCTTACGACGGCCATCTTCTTCATAGAACTGATAGTGTAAATCATCATTACTGAACGAGACGGTGAACGTTTCTACGTAGGAACCATCGTATCCCTTACTATCTATACTGCAAACTTTTGTGGGTGCAAGAAAATCAACTCTAATCCATGGATCATTGTCATCATTATTTGCAATCCAGGCGCTTGACATATCCATTCTTACAAAAGGATTATCATTAGCGGCCTTGTTGATGGACGAACCAGTTATTTGGCCGAGAACAAATTTGTCAGAAGACAAAAGTGCCTCTGTCTCCGTACAACCTGCATTAAAAGAACGGGTTTGAGGGTGAATATATATATATGAATGAAACAAATCACAGGTTGAGATTGCAAACTGGTTGAGATTTCGATTCAACTTCATTTTTTTTATTTAAGATAAAGTCAAAAATTTACCTTAGGCTTATCTTAACCTGTGTTTGAATCATATATTTCGACTCTCAAGATGTCTCGTTTTTTCGGATTTCTTTGATAAAATGGTTTTGTTTATTGATACCGATTATGATAAACTTAAGTTACTGAACGATATATAATCAAGAAACAGATGGGAGTATTGTTCATAACAGACATTTTGACAAGCAAAATTCTTATCATCAGGTATATAATTACCTTGATAGTGACCGTAAAATTCAAATTTCATAGCGCTGGAATGGGAGTAATTACTCGGGTGCATTTGAAGGTAACGAGCTCTGATAGAAGGTTGTAAATAGATTTTGACGTCCCCACTCGTCGCATCAACTCCATAAATCTTCTGTTAATGGGAAATAAGAAACAATAGACTTTTTTATAATGACGTTAAACGCAGAAAGTCTAATCTCACACGAAGTATGATGGCTCGATAGTTTTATGGAGCCCGTATACTTATTCAGGCAGTCTGTACTTACTCTGGAAAGGCCATTCTCTCTGCATTTCACCAAGCTACTTTCGTTGTTGCCATAGGAGACGTTGAACGATGTCACTTCAGCGAAGGATGGGATCACCATTTGTATCCTTATCGCCGTGACCGTTGTTTCACCAATGAAGTCAACTTGCAGCCAAGGATCTAGGTCGTCTTTTGCAGGCATCCAACCACCGACTGAGGGGTTTGTGCTGTTTAGTCGTGCATTTGCGGCTGCAAAACTTGAACTCTTCGAGGACGATGCACTCAACTGCGCGTCCAAGATAAGGCGACTTTCCATGCCAATCGGAAAGGAATTTTCCCAGTCGTTATCTTAATTAAACGGGACAAAAAATGAACTATTTATGCATCTCGTTTATTAAATTTTTGTATCTTGCTTTGCTTTCGAGATATTTAAATCGAAATTACTGAGTTAGTCGCATCTTGGATTGCTATAAAGATAGATTGTTATTATAGTTATAAGTTATTACGTAACAATAAAAGGTATAACGCCAACTTTTTATCGAGACTATTTTGTGACACTGTGGCCCAAAAACATGCTTTTACCATCGTGCCTTAAATTTTTATATGAAAATATTTAAAGCACTTTAGAATTGTTATGTATATAGCCGCCATTGTTCTGCGGTTGTAACGCCATCAAAAACACAGTGACACCGAATAAGATCAAATACTTATCCAAGAATACTTTGTCCAAATAAAGATATTTCAAAAAACTAGATAAGATTTAAAGAACTGATACAGGGGGTTTATCCATCATTTTAACTGTTTTTCTATATGAAATAAGATACATTTTCCATTGTCCTTTAAGTAAAACGTAGTCAAAGCGTTATTAAACCCACCGATACGACATCCTTCGTATTCCAATCTTGCTGCAGCATTATAGCTCCATGTCAATCCTTTCAGTCGCACAAAACGTGCGAAAATCGCTGGTTTTATTGTGTTCCTGACAATATCGTTATTAGTGACACTCCCTGGAAACTCCTAGTAAATGGGTGAGGCAAATACAGTACGTATAGGCAAAATATGGGGAAAATATGGGGGTAAAAACTATATGTATAGCAACGTAACTTAGATATCTAAGTCCTATATCTAAGATTATAAGAATAACCGTGAACATAGCACCTTATATTAGCAACCTAAGTAATGCTCCTATATAGTATGTAGATAACTCACAAATAGTTATGCTCTTTAAGAAGAATGGGCATTAAGAAATGGGTATATCTGATTAGATGCGACGAATAGACCTTTCCCTTTTAGCTTTCAAGCGCGCAATGCGTGACGGTAGTTGATTATCAAGGTCAATTTAAGGTTGCTATTTTGCCATGTTCAGGGGCGATTTAGTTTAACAAAGAAGCAAAAAGAATCGGCAAGGTTTTCTAACAAACAAAATCGCTTCTAAGTAGAGCGATATCACAACTCGAAGTTGCTTGATAACCAACTACCATCACGCATTGCGCGCTTGAAAGCTAAATGGGATCTAGATCTATTGATGAGCTGCCTCCTCAGTTTACCACTGAATTAAGCCTGTTCAAATTCTACAATAGGTCAGTTTCGTAGCGGTTAGTTCGGACACAGACAAACAGAATCATACAATTCTTCTTAGCAGTAGCAAAAGATGTGTGATGAAGGATATTAACTGGTGAAACAACTTCGAGCTTAAATATAAAAAGCTACTATAGTACCATAGCTAGTACCTTAGGTTTACCGTCGTCATCCAGAACTTCCAAAAAGTTCGACCCATCGTTGCCGAACAGTAAAACGTACTTGCTTATCCAAGCGGGGTGGCTACTTCGACCTTAGATATATATAAGGAAAAACGGATTGAAAAGATTCTTGGAATAGGTCCTGCCACATGTTAATTTCACTGAACATCTTCATCTGACACATTGAAGTTTTTGCATGCATGAGTTTCCGTAGGGTTTGTATACGTACGAATGAGAAATATTAGCCGTACCTTGGGTTAACACAGCAGTAACCTTTGTGCTTCTCAGAAAATCGACTTGAATCCAAGGCTCATGATCATTATCACCTGCTCTCCAACCTTTGCAACTTGCAGGAGGACTAAGTCTGGCATTTCGTGGTGATAAGACAGAATTTTCATAAGTGGATGCTTCAAACTGGCTGTCAAGGATCGTCGAACGATTTGCAACGTCAAGTCGTGCAGGGTTTGAACAAGCTAAAAAGAGCAGAAAGTTGTCAATACTAGTACATGCATGACCTTTTCACGTAACGTATGGCGTATATCATTGTTTCTTGAGTTCTCGAGTGCAACTAATGCATTTCAAAGTTCAAACAATGAGACGCTGCATTTCGCTACGACATGGCTGAAGTGGAAAACGGCTTTAATATCTTCAAAATTTTACTAGCAGCAAGATGGCTATACAGATTGCCGAAGGTGCACGACTCTTTCCAGCTGAGTCTGGTTTTAATTTACAAACATATTCTTCAATCAATTTTTCTTAATCTTTGACATTCTATTAGCAGCAAGATGGCTATGCAGATTGCAGAAGATGAATGACTCTATCCGGCTGCATGGGTCTGGCGCGAGCCAATTGTGTAGGAATTCAGCGTAGGTAACCCAAAATCACGAGTGTCCAAGTTAATATTACGGTCTGTGACGTACTGAACAAGGCATGCAGAGTAAGTGTATGAAGTCAAAGAAGGTATATAAGGTTAGCCAATAATCTATAATAATTTTATCTGTCGCTTCATTTAAAACTATCCACGAAGAGCAATAATATAAATATACCAGACAAACATCACAGACGGCAATATTGAAACTGGACGACGCCCGTTTAGGGCTACTTGGAGTCATCCCTGCACTGGTGGTAAACTTACATTCGTAACAACCGTACAGCTCCATCCTTAAAGCACCGCGTCCAGCCATTCCGATTCTAATCGGACAGAATCGGAAAAAACGAGCGACAATTGGCGGATTGAATGTATGCATTGGAGGAGCGTTTGGAGACTTTTTTCCAGATAATATCTGAAAATAAATTAAAAGACAAGAGTGTCGTTTACAAGACCCGTTATTTCAGTGGCTGGAAGCACCGCGTCCAGCCATCCCGATTCTAATCGGACAGAATCGGAAAAAACGAGCGACAATTGGCGGATTGAAAGTATGCATTGGAGGAACGCTTGGAGACTTTTTTCCAGATAATACCTGAAAATAAATTAAAAGACAAGAGTGTCGTTTACAAGACCCATTATTTCAGGTGATCTTGCGCTCATATTTCAGCCAATCAGCGCTCGGAAGGGTGTCGAAAAAGAAATCTGTTCTCTGGTATTTTTGATTATATCTTTTGTTATTATTCATTAAACTAGTCAAAATTTTGTCATTACGTTCAGTTATAAGAACTATAGCTCTGGCAGAAGTTTGAAACCAAAATAAAGTATATTTCAAGAGATATTCAGCCGTTTCAACGGAGAATGGATTTTCTTGACAACTATAGTCCCAGTCAATATATATACAATATATTAGAGATTAATAATGACGGAGTCTTTGTTGCTTTAATTCCGTGATTCAGTTTTGGTTTAAAACCTGACATGCACGCAAGGGATTCTAATGATAAGGTCTGTCTATAATTTCAAAATGTTCGCAGGATATGGGGTGGTTACAGATTTCGGATTCATTGTCAATAAATTGTTATACATTACAGGTGAACAGAATAAAACATTAATAAGAATTGAATTGGATCCAATAAAATTGGATCGTGAACGCATCATCGGTTTCTGTGGCGTGGATTGGTCAGAGCAAAATTTAAAGCAAATAAGTGGTGTTTCCCCTCTGGAAATTCAGTCTATATTTCTCTGAGAGAAAGATATTCAAAATGAGTATACACACCTTTTTCTTTCCATTTTCTAGGTAATCTTCAAAATGCTTTCCATCATAGCTGTACATGACAGTGAAATTCTTAAACGATATATTAGGTACCGTTGGCGATCCTTGTATTGCGATAACCTTAAGAATACACCGAAAGATTAGAATCAAAAGCCATATTTACGTTAAATGACGGCATTAAACGTGTTTTGGCCTAAAAAGTTGACCGGGCTTAGAGAGTCTAGGTCAAACTATGCTTCATCGTCTTTCGTCAAAAACTTACTCAGTCAATGTCAAAGAGCAATGGTATTCCTTATACGAAGGTAAATTCAAAAGGTCATGATTGGGGGCACGGTAATTGATGGATAGATCATTAAGCAGAAAGTAAAAGTCATAAATGTGCACAAATTTCCATACACGAGATCAAACAGGAACAATAGCGTACAAAAGAGATCATCAGGGATAAGACAGATATATGAATATGCCACCGGTCACCCAAAGAAGCTTCTAGCTACGGTCCTGTCTCGACCATATAGTGTCATAATGCGAGTTTGCCAGTTTGAGCGAACTCTTAGATAAACTGATCATAACAAAAATCATGATGTAAGACTGGCTCAGGACTTCATATACCTTCACAGTAGCATTCGTTTTAAAATCTACTTGATACCATGGATTTTCAATATCTCCAGCGGCTGGTCTCCATACACCTTCTGTTTTGTTATATCTCGCTTTGTTAACCTCGTACTTAGGCTCCTCGCTGGAAGCTGACAACTGAGAATCCTGTATTGCACCACTTTCCATGCCCAGTGGCTGAGAACAAACTGAAATAGGCACGAAAAAGTAGATTAAGATTCAAAATGGAAGAGCTTTCAATGAACCGCTTGCATAATAGACCAACATTTTGATTTAGGCGACAATTTCGACACAAACAAACTTAGTGACATCGAAATATTGCAAAGTATATACCGAAGCTAGGAAATTTTGTACACTTTTGTATTATAACCAGAAGAGTGTAACCAAATTAATTACACACTCTGTAATACAAAAATATACAAAAATTGCCTATACTTTGCTATATCTTTTGTACTACTCAACATTTTGCAGCCAAACTTGGCAATTATACTAATTTCAGTATGCTCTTTATAGCTGTGGTGATTTTGCGCCCTCTTGTTACCTATACTTCACAAGTTGGTCTATTATGCAAGTGGTCCAATTTTTCCTTTCAGTTCAGTTTAATAGTGGTTTAATTCATGTCAGTCCTGTCAACAGAGGTCAGTTTTTCACTTCTCTAGAGTTCGGCTAGGCCTGTTTAGTTAATTCTTTTCCCAATTTTTAAACACTCTCGCAATGAAAAGAAAGCTTGGTAGATACATACAATGATAGCAGCCCAAATATTCAACTCGGAACCTTATTTTCGAAAACGCCCAGTTTCTTGGATGTAGTCGTACTCTCCTCGCAATGATCGGTGGGTAGAAGTAATTGGTGACGACAGACGAGTCATCGTTATTGCCTGAAAACGTCTAAAAGAAGTTGTAAACCGTCAATAATTATGAAACTTTCTTTCAGTAAATTGAGTAAATAATCAAAGTAAGTTCCCTAAAGTTCCCTAAATCAAGTCTAAAGCCTGTATTCCATTAGGCGCGCGCAGCGGAATTTTTCATTGTCGCCACGCTTTTATGCAGAACTGATTTCAGAAAAAGAAAGAAAAATTCAACTCCGCGCGCAAAATTCCGCGTAGTGGAGAACAGGCTTAAGGGAGTCCAATCCTAGTAAGTAAGTAAGTAAGTAAAAACTTTATTTGACTACGCTAACCCCTACAGCATACGCTGGTTTCCAAGGGGGGCGTAGGTTAAAAAATGTTACAAATACGATATCACCTTTACAAACAATGGACGATTTGCGCTTTAAACTAATTTTTGATCGAAGTAATTAGGAGAAAATAAATCACCACAGCTAGAAAGAGCGTACTTGAATCAGTGCAAATGCGAAGTCAGTTGGCTGCGAAATTTGGTAAAATAGGGAAAATATAGCCATGCGAAGTTGGCAAATTTTGTATATTTTGTATTACGCGCGGAATTGTGTAACTAATTTAGTTACAAACTTCCAGCCGTAATACAAAAGTATACAAAATTCGACAACTTCGCATGGATATATTTTCCGTAATTTACAACAATTCGCAGCCAAACTTGGCAGTTTTACTAAATTTAGTCAGCTTTTTCAGAAAGCTTCCTTTTTATCGCTGAAATAAGAAGTTAGTCTAAAGCGCAAGTCGTCTATTACAATCCCTACAATACGAGTCGGCCGGCGAGCCTTCTATTGTCGCAATAGTTAAGGTGAATAGTAACATAACGTGAATTATTATCCAAATTAGAAGCAATTAAATGTGAATTGGAACTTGGAAGTGATTAGTGTTCATATGACCCAAAAAATCGTAATACTCCATCGCTCAGATTCATCTTAACAACAGCTCATTAGAGGAATTGAATTTATCAACACTTGAATTTGGGGGTCGATATCCTTCAAGCAAGGTTTCTCATTTCAAGAATTTCGTAAAATAGATTTTCTAAATTAAGGATAAGAGTTAAAATGGAAGTCAAGTGCGCATCAGTTCTGCTCATCATAACAATGTGAGACCTAGATAAAAATTTTACCCATAATTCGCATGTTTCAAATTTTTCTTATCAAAAACACTAGTTCATATTCATTTAAATCGCATAGCGAACCTATATGTTGTTAGGCAATACAACGTATTTCAGAAAGTATAGGAGTTCACAATGATAACAACCTCGTACCCAGGGTCTTTGCCCTCCCCCCCCCACAATTTTCCGTTCATTTGTGATCAGTTTCGGACGGTATCTTAAAATTGAATGGAAATTGAGCGAAAAAATTTCGTTCAATTGAATAATTTCTCTTCGTAGAAATAAAATTATAGGCGACTCTAACGCTCATATTCTGTACCTTATTATTTCCATTTTCTTCAAAATATCTAAACTCGTTTCCATCATACAGAAATGATATCTGGTATTCTGTCACCCACCGGGCACCACACCCTGGAGAAGAAGAATATTCCACGATTATCTCCTTCGACAACGCTCTTCGCTATCGCTGGCAATTTTTATTTTGTTTTAGCGCCAATACGCCAATTGGTTTTAAACGAAATTCCCCCCTTGTTAATTTACCTTGTGTGCTGACACCCATTACGATAGTTATCATTATAAAGTCCACTTGTAACCATGCTTTTGTATCCGTTGACATCCAGAAAGTGTCATGATTTAATCTTGCACCCGAAGGATTTCCGGCGAGGCCTGAACTCGTGATCATTTCGTCGGAAATGAGCCCGCTCTCCATGCCCAGCGCCAACGGAGAATGGCATTCTGGGAAAAATAACACGGGTATGAATACGGTTAAGTCAAAAGGTGAAGATCTCTCTTTTCCCTTTGTATTGACTATTGAGGAATTGTGGCATTATTTATACAGGGGTTGATGTAATAAAATTAAGGGCCTGTTTACATGCAGTGAGTTATCCCGGCTAGGCGAGGTGGAAACTGCATATAATGAAAGACTAATCAGGTTAAGCCTTTGATGCGATATGCGCTTTTTACCTCGCCTAGCCGGGATAACTCGCTCCATGTAAACAGTCTTTTAGGTTATGGTAGGAAAGGAGAAGCAAGCGAACTTCTTTAATAAAGCGAACGGCTTTAATGTCATACCAAAAAGATGGGCTTCAGTTATACAAAAATCTAAAATGTAATTTTAACGTGTCCATATCTTCTAGTCGGTTCACTTAAAGCTGTCAATGCACACACAAGACTACTAGCAATCGGCTAAGACAGCAAGCAATTCAGGACATGTATTACTGTTCTATGCTTAAACTGACAAGTCTTATCCTAATGATTTATACTCAGAGCGTTTTCATTTTGAGTATAATGAGCAACTATGGATATGTTGATGTATCACACAGTGTACGCACTCACCGTGATAGCATCCCACGAGCTCTATCCTCAAGTAGCAAGTATTGTGCCATGTTTTGGGATGTATACGAATGAAACGCGTTCGCACAAAGAGTGCATTAGTCTTTTGGGTTTCCGTGTCAACGTTGGCAGAGAATACCTTGAAAAACGAAGAACCGTGATAAGTGTCATTTCCGGAACGTATGCAAGAAAAAGCAAAAGTACGAAGGGCATCGTTTTTTTTTAGTATCTAAGATCTTCTTCTCTTGATGGATGTCATCGAGTGGAAAGTTATGAATGTTTTGATGTATAGAGCCCGTTTTCCACTAGGCGAATTTGTCCGCGCGAACAGATAAAAAATAGCAAGCGATCCAACTTTTTTGCAACGAATTTTTTCGCAAGCCATTCACATTACTGGATTTCAGATATCGCTTCGCGTCGCGCGAAAAAATTCGCTGCCAAGTGGAAAACGGACTTAAGTGCCAATATTTGCGCATCCGTCACTCATCCACTCGTTTACATCTATCAAAAGACGAAAATCGCACTAAAAATAGCAGTGAAAATCGCACGTGTAAACGGCTTCAACTTCAAATTATCTAGTCGGCAGGTGGTGTTCACGAAAAAGAACATTTCATGATCAAGCGATATTTCTGCAAGGCAGGCAAATATGTCTGGCTAAGATAAAAACACCCGTTTCAATGTCCCTCCAAGTTGTATGTTGAACTGTGAAAAATCTTTGACCGTGGTGAAAGGTTAGCTAATAGAATTTCAACGTATGGATTTTAAAGCCATATTGCATCATTATAATATTGTTTTACCTTAACAATTCCGTCCACTTTGTAGTCTCTGAAATCGTTCTCCATGTAACCAAACGAAACTTGGAATGTCTTGACGTAGCCTTTTACCCCGTCCAAATGTTTCCCTTGGGTTATTATTTCAGTCACTGTTGTCAACTTGTTTAGATCAACTTTGAACCATGGGGAGGTGTCAGTGTCTTTCGGATTCCACGCGTAATTATTTAGAAGGCGTCCTTTAGTCGCCTTTGTGTCTGGCTTTTTAAAGCTGGATGCTTGGACTCTTTGAATCGGGATTTTGACTTCTCCGCTCCTCATGCCAAGAGGCTGGCTCGTGTTACACTCTTAAAATGGCGTAAAGGATGCCACTACTTTCTTTGTTTCAAGGGTATGATGGGGTGTGATTTGGGGTGAAGACAGTGACGATGGTTGACAGTGAATGATAAGGATGTGGTGGATAATCATGGTAATATTTGTGGTAATGTTGATACCGATGACGGAGTGTGGTTAATGGGGGTGATAATGATGGTGGCAATGGTTTGGTAGCGATGATTAGGATGATGGTGAATTATGGTGATAATGACGGTGATGATAGCTGATAGTGGTGATAATTAATCACGAGGTTTGAGTGAAGACCAAAAAATAGCTTGAACGCCGGCGAGCCGAGCAATTTTAAACATTGTTCATTACGAAGTTTTCATTGCCACACGGCAAATTTGGGAGATATTTTTTTCTGTTGGTTTTTAGAACTGCAATGACATCAGTGATGACAGTCGATAATGGCCATTCATCTTACTCAGATTTTTAGATACAATGCAATTTGCACAAAACAGCTAACATCTTACCTAGAATAGCGCCTACATTCGCAGTTAGGAATAACTGCAAAAAGAAAAGAACAAAACATTCTGATGAGCAAACTAACAAGCAAATTATAACGTACAGGTATTCCAGTAGCCCTTTCTGGATTATCTAAAACTCACCAAGACGAGTGCGTAAGACCGCTGTGCCAGCAAACTGCGGGAACAGTCATGCGCCATTGCGCTTGACTTGAGGTCAAGGCACCTGTAAAGCCAAAACACAAATCACGTACGTCTTCTAATTGTACCTGTACCTGAAGTTTATCATTCTATCACTTGGAAACGCAACCTTGTCGCATCCTTTTATTATTATTAATTCGTTTTATTATTCTTTTTTATCGGCAATTGGAAGGAACGCGCAAAAATGCACGCTTTTTTGAGCAAACAGAAATGCAACGAAAGAGACCAAAGATTTTAAGAAATGAGTCCCAAGTCTTAGTTTTCCTGACTATCTATGAACGAAACGATCTAAATTAAAAGAATCTACTTCAGCGTAAATTTTTTAGGTAATTTTTGAATATCTCACGTTAAGTCTTTTTTTAAGTTTACAACATATTTTACAGCCATGGAGACGAAATTGAAGTTTCAGTCTTACAAGCGGGTGATTTTTGCAGAAAACAAGTTTAACACGCACAGCTAGCGTAGTGCAATACATACCTGGCCTTGAAATCAAAAAGTCTTCGTGAAAATTTCCTTTTGGAAAGCTCTCAACTCGATGTTAACGAGACAAAGTTCTCGTGAGATAGCTTTAACTTGTCTATTACCTTGTCTACCAAACCTGTCTATTCGAGAACTTGTTTGAATAATTAAAGCTTCAATTATTCAGTTTGTTGGCAAGGTAAACTGGTTGCGGGTTCTTGCCGTGTAAACATCATGAATTTAATTGCGAATAATTAATATTCGGACAGGAGAATGTAACTGAAAGTACAGCTTGTGCATGCCTTTGGCGGTCAGCATTTCGGGCAAGCTTCTGCCTGGATTCGGAAAATATGGAGAGTAAGAAGATATATTTTTAAATGCATACCTAATCATAAATTTCACAGAGCAATGAATTACAACGAATTTAAATAATGGCGCGGAGAGATCGAACTGGGTAAGAGCAGAATTCATCCCGTAAAGGTCTGTTCCCACGATCCAATTTTGTTGGATCCAATTCACTTCTGACGTATGTTTTATAGTCTGTTGACTTGCAATGTATGTGGGCAGCAAATCAACCTAAACCAACGCAGTACTGCTTTATTGATAAATGACTTCATTCCATACGTCAGAAGTGAATTCGATCCAACAAAATTGGATCACGTGAACAGACCTTAAGGACATTTGGTTTTAAAAGAAACAAATAATGCAGAACACGAATATATGAATATCTGCCCATGTCAAATTATGAATCGAGACCACATGTTGTTAACTGCGTCTAATTACCAAGTTAGCAAGTAGCAGCAAATAACAAATACAGAAATACCTCGTTAGATACAGTTCGTACACGATTCTGGTAAAAGAAGTTAGGATTAAACAGAGAAGGCGACAGATTATATGAAATGATTTCCCCCAAAATCTTAGTCGACCAAGGTCTGCGACTTTACATGACTTCACGTCGGCCCTTTCCAGCAAGACTACATTCAAGAACATTGAGAACTCGATATTCGTTTCCAACAGTTTACAATTTTATTACAACAGTGCTCCACTTGAAGTCATAAAAAAACCCATACATTTTTCAGTTTTTCTAACAAAACTCGGCCATGTGAACCGACCGACCGAGTAATGCAATTTGTTTACCAGTTTGATAACGTTGAATTTCCGTCGCATGAAATGAGAATAAGAACAATGGATGGTATGATAAAACTCATCAAACTTCATTATCTATTGTTTCAGAAGCACACGATGCAACCAAAATCCGACGTATACAAAACAGGGCTTAACGGGAAAATCTAAGGGGCTGTTTATATGAGCCCGGCCGGTTACCGAGATTTAACAAAGCGTGAAATACTAAAATGCACTTTGAGGTATTAAAATGAGTAAATAACACGATTCTGGTTGTCGTGCAATCATCTTAACAATAGCACGTGATTGTTCTGTTTCAAAGACTTATTTCAATACTTCAAAATCAACCCCTAAGGGGTTGTTCACATGCATGAGCCCATGCAGTTACGGAGATTTATAACGAAACGTAAAATCGACTTCCAGGTGTTGAAAAAAGTCTTGAAACAAAACAATCGCATGCTATCGTTAGGATGATAACACGACCACCGGTCCAGAATCATGTTATTTACTAATTTCACATTATGCGGAATATAATTGATAATTTGTTATCTTGTAAATACTGCTACTAGTGTTAATTTCAGCAAAAAAATGAAGTTAAGAGGTGGTATATATTTCACTAAATCCTGTTACAACTTATTATTTTACATTATAGTAATATGCTTACATCGAATACATTTGAGAACATAATAGCTATTTAGTGTACTCTGGCCAGTTGTATAAAACTCTTTAACTACATTTTGCATATATAGTTAAATGCTAGTTAACTCAGAAATACACGACACTATTTGGCCAATTCTGTCCTTAACTACAGTTAGAAGTTAATGAGACTTTTATACAACCGGGGCCAGTATTTTCATCAGGATATTCACACAGTTTAGCCTCGGTTCATATCATGCGGGAATCAACAACCCATTGTGTTGGCTCATGAGAAAAGCTTCCCTATGGCATGGCAGGATCACATAGTGAAAATTACTGATTAAACATGCAAAATCTACGTCTAAATTTATCAATAAACAAAATGTTTTGGCCTGAATGTCTTGTAAATGCTACGATTCTAAAACCGATATCGAGATACAGCATCGATGATATTCCAGCGAGTCCTGGTTACGAAATCACACACAAAAGAATCCTTTCTAGTCCGGAGTATAGCTCTTCCTGAGTGGATAGTAGCCTCATTGAAGTCAGATAACACTTCAAAATAAATGCGTTCAGTAAATACAAGGTTCGTGCCAAAATTCTGTGCCAAAAGTTTTATAAATTTTTATTGCGATGCTGCAATACTTGCAAGTCTTGGGATTTCTCATACCTGGTATGAGGTTCCTAGAAACAACTTATTAAGTATTTCCCAGAATTTTTTATACAAGCATTACCCAGCTTAATATTACGTTAAAAATATTTCGATTATTACCCCTGACTATCCTTTCCCAACTACTACAAAAGAAAATATTTGCAAAAGTACGCGACTATTTCGCGAAAAGAAATTACAAAATAAAGCGATAAAGATTACTACTCGTTGCACTGAAACCTTACTCTCTATTTCTATGATACGTGTTAATGCGCTCAATACAGCTCCCGGTATCCCAACTACAGTGCCTAAGAAAAGTAATAGGTCGCAAAACACAACAACGTCTCACAGAACAACTCCCCTAGAAAAAAAAAGGAAAATGACACCCTTTTTACAAGAACCAAACTATCAACTTTTACTATCAATTTTCCCGTCTAAGATGAGTTTCCCGTCCCCAATATGAATTCGGCTATGGCTATAAACATCACGGCAGCCGATGCAAGAATCATCAGCGCGTCCAGCTACATACACGCCTATTCGAAAAAGATTCTTTTCCATACGAAAACTTCAGATTTTAGCAGTAGAAAACCATCGCTCTCCTTTAAAGTTGTGCAAAAAAATTCACAACTGTACGCGCAATCAGATTTACATGTAGCTACAATAAAGCTACAATAACCAACCGATTATTTACCATTAAATCTTTATCGTCTACACGAGGTCAGCCCTGGGTATCTCCGCGACCCTGCCATGATCAATAGCTGCATATTCGGTGGGTTGAGGGTGGCCTTCATCTCGTTTCTTCGAACCACCTGAGGCCAAGGCAACCGTATCGAGTGTTGCATACAACTACACAAGAGAAAAAATATAAGATATATTTTAAAAATAAAGCCGCAGCATGCACATCGGATAACGTACACGAGATTTTGTTTGTATCACAAGCTGGCTTAATTTGCTGAGTTATATTACCACGTGCACTTCCACTTCAACGTACCGGTTTTCCCTGTCTGTTTTCCTTATCTACTTGTGCATAGACAGGTGCAGGATTCTCTTGCTTGGTTTTGCCTCTACCTTGATGGGCATCACGGCTGCTGGTAGCGCCAACTGTGTCGTATTGGTTCCGCTCGTTTTCTTCCTCGAGTTCATAATGGTTGTCATTTCTACCAGGGTTCACACCAGCTTTTCCTCTAGAATAACACAGCAACAGGTGCAAACATTTAACACTTATATGTTAATAATTTAACACTTTTTATTGCAGTAGAATTATATTCGAATTAAATAGATTGACGTCAACAACAACGGTACAAACTACAATTTAATAATTAAAACGCAATGAAAATCAATTTTTTTTAAAAAAATATTGACTTACCGGTATCCATCTTCTATGATAGAAAAAATTAAAAAAAAACATTGAGTTAAATAGAATCATACAGTTCATCTTTGATTAATCATTCCTTTAAAATGCTTGGTAGTATACAGTAGTTCAATTTTCAACTCTAGTTCCTTGCACAGCACCGCCATAGACCTAAGGTTTACCAATCTGGATTATCTAGTCATGTTACGAGGATAAGTTTCTTCTATTTGTCGCTACGTAAAGCGTGCAATGCATACATGCATGTGCCAATCAAACGTGTTTCAAAAATTGTAGTTGCATGCGGTAAAAGACATAAAAAATGAAACTTAAAAAGAACACTAAAAGGCTGTTAATATGGAACTATACGCTGGTCCGGTAAGCGAGACAGCAGACAAATGGGATTTATCTAGAGAGCAGTATATGTGGACAGACCAATGCTTTTTTTTGTTTCTCACTTACCGAGCTTTTCTGCTCTACCGGTCTCGTCGGGTTTCATATAAGCAGCCCCTTAGTAATAAAAATTACTCAAAATGTATCTGTCACTGAAATTGAACTCAACTAGAATATAGCATTGAAATAACTTACTCTCTCCTACTGCACACCAGCAATAATAAACCACGACAACAATAATCACGATCAACGCCAACGCGCCAATAGTTATTCCGGCAATTACACCACCACCCAGACCATTATCGTCATCTTCGTGTTTAACTGTTTTAGTTAACATGAACGAACTGTTTTAGTTACTTGTGGCTTCTAACATAGCAGAGAAGGAATTCGCTTGATTTTCCTTTATGTAGAAACATAAAGGAAAATCAAGCGAATTCCTACTTTGTTATGTTAGAAGTCACAAGTATAATCCATTAATTTGAGCTGTATTTTGTTTCTAACGCAGGATTTTGCTCGATTAGGCTATCAGGCCTAGGAGGATGAGATGCAGACAATTGTCATAACGATTTTTGCAGAAAACTGAGAAGAGTAAAAAAAGAACATAAAAATGTTTGATTCAACAATAATCGCAATGAGGATTTTAGGCTTGATTTCTGTCCTTCATTCAATATCTTACGATTGAAGGGATGAAAATAACCCGCCACTTCTGTTCCGCGGGTACGGGTAGCGTTATTTCATTCAATGAATTATTACATGTTTTTTGCTACAAATGTCGTTGAAAAGAATTATGCTACCCGCACCCTTAGTCCAGAACCGGGGTATCATAACCCTGTTGAACATTTCTTATATAGCAATAACGAAAAAAAAACAACTCCAAATTAGCTGCCGCATATATGCTTGAATTAATAACATGTGATAATATCTTGTTACCTGTTCCGTTATCACCAATGGTTGCTGTGGTTGTTGATGGGTTTGTAGGTTTGGTCGTTGTTCCTTTTGCTATTTTACAAAAATTAAATTTCCTTAATTAAGGGCTGCTTTCCACTTGCGCGTTTCTCATACGCGCGTACACGCACGTAGAAGTCGAAATCATTATACTGTATATATGACATATATAGTGGAAATGCTTATAAATAATAAAAATTTAGAAGCATTTAAAATTTTCCGCGCGTAAAAAAATGCGTAAATGGAAAGTCACCCGGTAACCAAATACACCTGATAGCAATTAATACCTTATTATATCTCTTAAAAAGAGATATAATAAGGTATTGCTATCAGGTGTATTAGGTATTGTCTTTATTGTCGTGATAGGTCATTTTGACCGATGAGAAATAGTCCGGATGTATATATTTGTTTTATTTCTATATTCTAATAAGCCATTATTGACTACGTAGAATTATTTTATCACATCAACCACCTGGACATGTTCACGACAATTTCGCCAAAATGGAAATCAGGTCTAATTGAAAGAAAAACTTTGGTCTATAATTTACATACAAAATTCAAAAAAAAAATTCAACCTTACCTGCTACGGTTAAATTGGCAGAGCCTGAATAACTTCCAAGTTTATTCCTCGCATCGCATCTATATATCCCAGCATGTTTCCACTCTACTTTTGGGATCCTGAGGGATCCCATTTTTGAACTGATCTGAGAACCATTATGAAATATGGAAAAAACTGGTTCAGGAAGACCATTTGATACACATGATACGACAAATGATTTACCAAGAACAGCTTCTTCTGTTTCGAACATGACAGATGTAACATTTGGTTTATCTGTTAAAACAAAACCTCTCAGCTATAATGTACATACATGCAGTAAAAAGACTCATATTAACTGGATGAATTTGAATTTCTTTATAAGTAACTTTTGCCATTTGTCGTAGAGTACCTGCATATGTTGATTAATTCGAATAAAACACGAGCATCAACCTCAGGGAATGCGTATATTGGGGATATATACATGTATAGTTTTCAAATTCTGCCGCGGTGTAAAGTTTAACTAGTAATCGTATTCTATTTGCGTCTTTTTATAAAGTGAATTTGTGTAAATATGATTATATTATTCTGAATACCATTAGGTATTCCGTTTTTTCCCAGAAGTGAAATTTAAATGAAATCAAATTTGCTGGTCATGCGTAACCGACACCTGTTTCAATGTTATTCACAAAATTGAAAAAAGATGACATAAAAATTATGTAAAACACTGGAAATACTGTATACTTACAATTTAGTATTACCATTACTTCAATTGATTTGTTATTTGACAAAGTGTGACTTCGGGCCACACATTTATAGGTTCCACTGTCCTTTCCACTAACATTTTTAAGAATAAGTGTTTGCTCATCGTACCCATGAACTAACTGTACTTCATCTTCATTATACCAAGTGACACTGGCTGGAGGGTTACCATTTTCAGCTCTGCATGAACATGCGAAGTTGCTTTCTTGATTTAGTTTGACCGGACTGGAATGATTCAGTCTCGCTGTTGGTCTTTCTGAAATTTTGGAAAACCAGTTGAGATGCTGAGATTCATTTTTTTGTTAACAAACACTTTTTCTACCACTTCAACTCTCAATGTCAATGTCCGTTTTACACCACACTTAATGGCACGGCTGAATTTGGTATAAGCGTGCCACTTCAACCGTATCGTAGTGAACCGTAGCGAGCGTATTTCTTTGTTTTAAAGTCATTAATTCTATCTGAGTGCCCAGGAAAAAATTATATACGCTACGTGTACAGCCCTAATTTATCCGTGCTCGGACTACCAATAATAGTAAATTTAAATATAATGCATAGTCGAGCACGCTGATAAACTTGGTAGGGGTATCGATTTGTACAACTTGATTAGGCAATAATTTCATACAATTTGGCGTGGATACCTGGAGCAGCTGTCAACAATTGCAAAATGAAGGAATATAAATATATTTACAGGGCTGATATTAAATATATTTTCACAGAGAAACACAGGGCTGTATTTCACATTATTCAGAATAAAGTTTATTAGGTTTATATTTCAGCTACTGGACTAAAAAAACAATGACATTGTCAATGTATATACATATATAAAAGTTATTACTTACTATAAGTTATCACTCGCATTTTAGAACCTTACCTGCAATGAATACAGCGACAGCAGACCTTTCAGGGTTTATAACAACACCAGATAGTTTAAGAAAAAACTTATATGTTCCATTATAGTTTTTATCAACATTAGTTAATACCAATGTCCCTAGATCTTCAACGGTAACACGAGTTAAGCTGCTGCTTTGTAATTGAGCTTCGCCAACAGGATATTTTGTAGCAAGATGCTGCAGAGGTGAACCATCACCAGGTTTAAAATGCCATTCTAGAGTAGACTTTTTTGGATCATCAGTAAATGTCCAGTTTATTGACACAGTCGATCCAGGCAACACAATCGAAGTGTTTCCGCTAGGCGGTAGATTGATTTTTCCTACAAAAATATCAAAAAATCTAAATAATTGTGGTCTTAAATTTCTAATATTACAATCCTTAATCTCCTATGACCCATTATGTAAAGTGCAAAAAATAAAACATGTACTAGTTTGTTGCCCTTTTAGTGCAAGAAGAATATAAAGTGAAAAAGGCAAGAAAAATTTTTACCTTCACATAGAAAAGACAAAAAGTTCAAAGCAAAGAAAATAAGAATACCATAGCAAGTCATCTTCAGGAAATGAGATCTAAAGGAAAAAATGTAATATTTATAAAGAATTAAAAGTTGTTTTGTTTCCCTCATTATTTTAATGTAATTCTTCAATTTTTTTTCTTATATACCAGGCAGGGCCGTGCCTCCTGGGGGGGTGTGGGGGGGTGTATCACCCCCCCAAAATAAATGCTAAGGGGCCCTGATTTTGGGGAAGAACTTGCCTTATTTCAGTTATTTGATTTAACAACAAAGCTAAAAATAATTAACATGTATGAAGTTCTGGAAGCAATATACGTGTTTTTCAACGCAAGTACAAAACGTTCAAAGGCATTAGCTGATCTACTGAAAGAAGTTGAAAATTCACTACAATTAAGGAATCTGTCAAAAACACGATGGACAGTTCGTCCTGAGTAGCCGATCTTATAGATGCGTCTGTGTCATTTGCTTCCAATTTCGAAGTGGTTGCAATTTCTGAGTACGAGAGATATCATCGAACTAGAAGATTACCTAGGCGCCTTGACGAAAGACAAAACACCACTGCCGAGATAGAAATGCCTAAATTTTATAGGAAAGAGTTTGCTCTTGTTCTGGATACCCTTCTTTTACAAATACGAGAGAAAGCTGAGAACATAAAGTCTGCATTTAAACCTCTGTTGGACCGTCTGTGCCCAACACAACTGCCGACTTATGAACAAATTGAAAAACTTTGCCAGATCTAGCCAAATGACCTCCCACACCCAGCCTTGTTGTTTGCCGAATCTGAAATGTTCCTTCCATACCTTCATGAACATGCGAAAAGTAATAGCATCTCAGAGTCAGATATTACTTACAAATACGCTGCTGATCTAGCCCTTCGCCAAAGTCGTGTTAGCCTATTTCCCTTGCTAGCAAAAGCATACAGGCTTTTGCTCACCGCAGCTCCCACAGTATGCAAAGACGAGAGAAGTTTTAGTAAGCTTAAGTTTGTCAAGTCCCGCTGTAGAAATTCAATGGACAATAAAAGACTTGATTCTCTTATGCTTTTGGCATGCGAAAAAGCTCTGCCTGAGAAGGTTGATCTCCAAAACCTTGGCAAGGTGTGGTCTGGAATTAAACACAGGCGCATTAAATTGATATGACTGTACATTCCTTCGTTTGGGCAAAATTAAACTTGCAATGGTTAGATTCTAATTATTTGTAACTGTAAAAGATTTACTCAAACATTAAATAGGTTGCGACTTTTAAGGGGGCCCAAAAGTCGATAAAGTGTTGAGGGGCCCAAAATTTTGTGACACCCCCCCAATAAAATATCGGTCGGCACGGCCCTGATACCAGGTGGTGTGAAAAAAGTGTCCAAGTGCACACCATAGTAATTCTGTTCTCATCCCACTGATTTTTATCTGATTAATGTATATTCAAAGTGCCTTGGGAAAGTATGTGTTTTGCATAGGTTATTCCCACACATGTAAGAGGTTATTCTCTGGTATTTGTTACAAATTTAATTGTTGAGAATACAGTGCAACTGTTAACATTGCAGTACTTCTAATTTCTACATCTTGGGTGTTGAGTTTCTTTCCGAACTGCCAAGGTCTGTCTAAACTAGTGACTTGGCAGCACTGCAAGTCTTAATCGATAAACTCTAAATGTGACTACAAAACACCTTGAAATCCATCATGCTTTTCTGCCATTACTTGGGTATATAAAAACAAAACCAAACTAAATGAAGCTGAGTGGCCCTACACCTTACACTATATTGATATTTAGGAAAACCAAAATTTAAAAAATATAGAACTATGGTCAGATCCAGGGTTGTGATTAGGGAACAGCTTCAGTTTGCCCCATTATCAAGAAAGTGATAAATTTGTGGCTTCACCAGATGCATGATTGTTCATATTGAAAGGTGTAACAGGGTTAGAACGTCGCAAAATATACACGGTACCCAACTGTTAGAAACCGTTTACATCCAACCTACGCTTGATATCTACTCGCATATTTATATTGCCTTGGATTAGTCAGCTTCTGTCATCGGTCAATACAAGGACGGTATAAAAATTATGTAACATAACAATCTTTGTCACTATTATATTATTAGGTATACACGAATATAAAGTCATTATTAATACATACGCATCTGTACACTTGCACAGTGCTTTTAATACGAAAGACATGCCCTCGAATTTACTTAGACAAAGTTTGATCCTACTGTCAGACATAACTTAGAGCGAAGGTTGTTGTTTATATTCAAGGAACGGTGGCAATGGATTTCGGAAGCCGCTTCAAGGAAGGTTGTTGTGACACAAGAAAATATGGAAACCATCTCAAATTGCCAATACTCCTCCCAAGTTAATAATATATATTGTCGAATTACGCTTTTTGGATCTCAAAAAAGTCAAATCTAAGAGCTTTTTTCGATATTTCGGGCAGGATTGAGCTTACTCAACAAATACTGGCCGACAATGAAACCGATACTAAACAAAAATACTGGCAATGGATTGTTACTTACAACTACGTTCCCTGTATTTCTTTATTCCAGTGAGTTTCCGTCTGAAATTGGACTAAAACGTCAGACTAAATATTATATTTCGTTGCGAAGAATGTTTATTAGTATGTATACAGGAATACAGCTCTGTATGTAATTTTCTTGAAATGAATTTTCGCTTTTGTTGCGAGGGAAGTAGCCTGAAGTTGAAGTGGAAGTCATCGGAAGGGAGTGGCACGAGCAGTGGGCAGTGGAATTGGGTGGTGGTGAGCAGACAGGGCGGTGACTGGTGGTGGTGGTGGGCAGTAAACTTGTGGTGCGCAGTCATGTGGGCGCATGGGTGGCAGATTCACCTGTCGACAAAAGTGGAATGGAAACTCAGGAGAGATTGAAGACTGTGTCCTGTGTTTGACGCTAAACTAGGGCGGTATACAGAAGAGGGACAGCTTTCCCCAATGAATATTCAACATGTAATTTTTGTTACTAAGGTCTTTATCTTTGAAAGGAAAGAGTGAAGATAAAAGATAAAGTCCCTAAGTACCTGAGATCTGGTGTAGTTTATTTATTTAAGTGTCGATGCTGTTCCGCGTCGTACGTGGGTCAAACCACGCGTCATCTACATACCAGAATATCAGAGCACTTGGGAATATCATCTATCACTGGTAAACAGACCTCAAGCCCTGTTATGTCCAGTATACATTCTCACTTAAAGGCTTCCGGACACTCGGCTAGCTTTGACAAATTTAGAATCCTCTCCTCCTCATCTGACTCTTAAGAGCTAATGATACATGAGAGTCTCCTCATTACCAAACTTAAGCCTTCTCTTACAGGGACCGCGGGGGGGGGGGGGGGGGGGGCTTTAGCCCCCCCAATAATTTTCAAAATACATGTGATTCCTTTATAGCGATTTTTATATGGCCATAATAATACGAATAAAAACTCCTTATAGTAAGTTGTGTAATCATAATTATGTGTTCACTATCCGTGTTGGTGAACAATGTTTTCATTGAAGTGTTTACAAGAAAAATATAAACAGATAAGTATGGTCCCCCCCCCGAGGGTTCACTCTTTCGGCTTCGCTAGCCCCCCCAACCAAAAAACTGCTCCGCGGTCCCTGTCTTAATGTTCAAGGCAACTCTATCCCTCTCAATTTATTTTAGTCCTTACTTCGTATTGTCATCGTGTTTTGACGTCTCTGTTCCTTGTCCTCTCATGTACTGTTTGTCCTCATTTTGTCCTTGTTATCACCCTTTGTAAATTGATACCTTGTAAATATATTACTAGTCTACATATTCAAATTATGATGTAATTTATCATTTAGTCTGAAGATGTCTTAAGACGAAACGTTACTGTCTATCAAATATATTTTTATTAATCTCAAATGGTTTAAATTGTCTTTTATGGCTTTACTGAAAGCACTATGTTGGGCTTTTAGCTTTAATATTTAAATAGCAATAATATATCGAAACGAAAGGCCATAGTACACTCATTATCTCATTTTTACCATCCAAACTTGCATTTGCGATATAACTGAAGTTTCGAACATTACTCTTATACTCGCATATTCAAGATTCAATACTCTATTCAACATTTATTTTATATTTTAATATAAACCTTGCTACTGCATATTTTACACCAAATATTCTTAATAATAAGGCCAATTACACCATCGAGATAAGTTGCAATTCACAAACGACTTCAGCGCTGTTTTCGCTGCTTTTTAGGGGCTGTTTATACATGAGCCCGGTTACCCGAGATTCAACGAAGCGTGAGAGGACTTTGAGGTATTGAAATAAGTCTTTATGACACCAAACAAGCACATGCTATTGTTGTGGTGATTATACGACTGCCAGAATCATGTTATCTGCTCATTTCAATACCTCAAAATCATCTCACGCTTCGTTGAATCTCGGGTAACCGGGCTCATGTAAACAGCCCCTAAGCGTGTTCAGAGCTATATTCACCCACTGTTAGATATTTCCATGCAGTTAAGTATGGCAGTACAATATATATATCATGACCATTATCGCACAATTGTTTATAACTAGCTACTTTAAAAAATGTGCGCATGCGTGAACACGATTCGTGATTTTTCTACACTAGGATATATTGCAAGTTGTTACTACTCAGCAATATATATATTCAGCATCCCACAAGACGTTTCCTCTATAAAAAGACAAAAAACTTGTGGTTTACAAAATATAAATTTTTAATTCATAAAACCGCCATAAAATGTTTACAGTCGAGTAGGCAAAATTATGCCCTGTTGACACGGGTATCGGATTGCTATCAGAACAGGTCAAATTTCGTAGTTAATAGTTGAAACATGAATATATATCTACCAAATTTATAAAAAAAACAAGCATTTGCTATATAAGTGTTGTCCATAACAGCATGAACGAGAAAGTCGTGACGAGCAATTTGCTTTAGTTACCGTGTAAACGGAGCCTAATTTAGCCCGCCGCACACGAGAGCTATCAGCTGCATGAGCTGAGCTAACCCTCGGAGAGGTTAGCTCAGAGAGAAACTTGCTGAGCTAACAGCCTCAGGAGGTCCTTAGCTCAGATAATAGTTTTCGTGTGCGGCGGGCTGAACTTTACGGGCTAACTATACCTTTGATGACTTACCCAGATGAAATAAAGTCGAAAATTTACTCAACCTGCGTCTTGCGTATTCATATTTTGACTCTCAAGATATCCTGCTCATTCGGAATTTGTTTTTTATTATACCCTCCATCGAAATGCTTTTTAATCATCATAGTTAAAGCTGTAGCGGGACAAGGCGCCGACAAGGACAACCCCCAATTATTTTTTAAATCCATAAAATTTAAAGTATATCAGCAACAAACATTTGTACTCCATTCAGCTGCAAGTTTATAGTTACCTTTTCCCATCTACAGTTCTTCTGCTCACACTAAGTCAGCCTTTGGCGCCTCGGTGGTACGACTATGGTCAATAGCCGCATATTCGGTGGGTATACGGCGATCGTCAGGTCGCTTCTTCGAACTGTCTGATGGAGTGTTCAATGCGGCTGTGTCCAGTGATGCATACAACTGCGAAAGTGATATAAAGATATATTAGCCTTGTGATATGAACATCATGTCTTGAAATGCAAAACTTAAGCAATTCCCCAGGTATTCCCCAGGAAAAAAATGCTGACAGTCATGCTGGACCCACCCCACCCCGCTTTTCATTCAGACCAAAATTCTAAGTGCTTTAAAACTGGGATAAACGCCCCCCCCCACTTATTTTGTATCCTTAGGTTGAGGGATTCAGGGTCTGGTTTGTACATAGGCGGGTAGCGCTATGCACCTGATGGAGTTTCTCAACCGCTTTGAAATGCCCGTGTTTTTCTACAATTTGATTTGGACCTTCTTATTCTTGAAGTAATGTTTCTGTTTATTCAATATCCACAATTTTATTATACTTTTCAAGCATTTTTGCCCAGTTTAGAAAAATCACTCAGATGGAGTTATGTAGTAAAAAATAAAAAGTTTTCAATATCCTCACATACCGGTTTTCCTTCTCTGTTGTCCTTGTCAACCTGGGCATACACAGGTGGAAGAGTTTCAGGGATTGGCTTGCGAGCTCCTTCATTACGAGTACTGATGGCGGTGTCGTACTCATTATCCCCTTGACTTCCACGTGCGTTTTCTCCAAGCTCGTAATGGCTTTCTCCAATTCCACCTGATTTTACGTTCGGATTTCCCCTAAAATAACACAGCATGCAGCATATCTATTGTACCTACTGGCTCTTGCAGCAAAACGCCTATTTCTCAGAACTCAACCATATACAACTTTTGTCTTCATCTTTGGAAGTTTCGAAATTTGTTGGCATACACCATAAGCCCGAAATATACTTAAATATACTACAACATAGTAGCGAGTGCTTACATCTATAACTGTGAACACTTATTCAAATTTGGTCCCTACGCATGGATCCCAAAACGTCCTTCCACATTATACGGTAAAAGAGAAGCCAATCGAATTTAATGCAATGTACTAATCACCAACTTGTAGGACGAAAGAACATGTAACCGAAATTTATCAAAATTTAACTTACCTATATCCACTTTCTAAAATGACAAATGAAAAGTATTAAAAACATCAAATTACAGAATGATTTATTAATAATGTTACGAACTTTGGTATGCCCGTGTTGGATAATTTGAATTTAAGCTACAAACAATAATGCATAACTTTATCATCGGAAATATGGACGATCTCAAGTCAGTTTAAAACTTATTATTTATTTATTGAATTTCAAAATTTAGGTATAAGTACTTTCAATAGAACCGCCTCAAACATAACACGTAAACATTCAGAGGGTTAACATACAATTGCGGGCAAAATGCACCCGATATTTTATACACCCGTGTTTAATCATTATATTATTTGCCTTGTATATGACTGTATATTATTCACCTAAAATAGGCAATTCTGAGGCTGTCTACATGGAATCGGGCTGGCATGGTTGGAAAATAATAAAGTGGAATGGACGCTGTCGTGTTGTGTGTATTCGCGTACATGTCTCATTAGGTCTGGCGGAAAAATTTGACAGTTTTCAAGAAAAGTTCGCGTGGGGTATGTGGGCAAAACCAACCAAAAGATACTTGCTCGTGGGCTTTTTGTGTGTCGATGTGTGGGAAAGTCACAGGGTAAAATAATGGCTTCTCGAAAACAGAACCACAACAGACGCGGTTTCTGTCTCAAAGACCGGGACCTAGCACTGTAAGCCGTTCCACAGTTTCCACTTTTATTTCGCTTGAACGCTTTAAAAGAATTGATCTTCGTCTCATGCTCATGGTCTCGACAGAACCTCTCATGTGTGTGTATTATGCTTCACCAACCAAGCCTTAATGTAAGCAGTTTTAAAGAGCTGAATCTGGTGTGCAAGCTAATTTTACTTTGTGATATGATACTGAGTCTGAGAAACATTTTTCAAGGCACTATGCCGTGATGGGAGGAATCAGTATTTCATGTTTCGTTTTTTAGAACTGCACTAGCCTAGACGCGAAAATTAAATTTTGTGATATGACCGAGAGAGCCAGCCCGGATGTCCATATAAACTACACATTTTAGCAAATAAAAACTTTATTTGTTTACAATATTTTACGTTATATAGTTATACATGCATAACGTTTTAATAAAACTTACACGTTACTTTTATATTATTTATGCAGGAAATATCGATATATACACGATTCCTATTTACAATATGGTTTACGTGAGTTAAATGTTTTAACTAGAAGACAATAAGATACAAATACAACACTATAGGACTCGACTAAGTGTAAAAACATGCAAAACCCTGCGACAACTGTTTTAAACATACGCATGCCGTGCATGCATTTGAATATTTTAATGTTGTTTACAGTTATATATTTCGAGAACACGCAACAGACAATGTACGGAATATGCAGCTGGAGTGTTATATTACCATATTGCTGAGCAGAATTGATGTATACTGCATGAGTATACACGATACAATGCTGTGCGTTTGGAAGTTTTAACAAGTTGCCTACACGAAGCTGCACAAATTACAGTAGATTGTGCTTTGCTACGTGGCGTTAAAACCCAATATTTTCTCTCTTATAAAATCAATTTCTATATGGATGCCGTAGCTATAATGGCCGTCAATCTAACCTTGCGCACACAAGTTCGCGACAAACTAAAATGTGAGAAGTTACCCAAATTACGATTCGGTATCTGTGTTCGTTCAACAGAACTTACTTTCTTTGGATGTACAGAAGAAAAAGTACACCAGAAAGGCAACAATAATAATAAACACCAAAACACCAATAACGATTCCTGCAATAGCACCACCGGAAAGACCACCATCATCACCTTCGTCATCATCGGATTCAACTAAAATAGATCCAGATGAATTTTTAAATTTTTAATTTCGTGAGGGAATTTTCAATTTCTTAAGAATTGCATTCGTTATGTTTCGCAACGCGGACTTTGAAAGTCTGCTTGCTCTAATGAACCACACTTGGTTTTCACTTTCCGTCTACGATATATTGCTAGATATATCACAACTTTGTGAAACAGCCAAACATTTAGCTTTCTTTCTAAATTGAGTAAGGACTTGTCTCAAAGTCTCAGAGTTTTGTATACTATAGTTTTGCATTCTTTTGAGAAAAGACAAAAACAAAGTAAAATAGGTCCTTCAGACCGTTATTCGTTTATTAGACCATTTCCGCACTTTTGATATAGCGTCTACACTAGGAATCAGTATAATTTTAATATCGCATGTGCAAAAGACAAAGAAAACGTTATGTGCCGTATAATTTAGCTGCTTCACAATGCAGTAAATAGAGTTAAAATGTACGACCGTGTCGTGTTATACCTGTTCCATTGCCTTTGGTAGAGGTCGTGCTTGTTGTTGCTGGTGGTCCTTGAATTGTCATAGAAATGAAATTCGCAAACATCCTTTTTTCATAAAGACAATTTATGAGAAAAATACATCTTCGTTTCTTGATTATTCATGTAACCTCATATTTTGTAAATCACATTTTAATTAAAAGCTAGGATTCAATTGATTTGAACATTCAGACCAATAAAAAGTGACATGCATGATTTGGTAAAATTTCATCATATGCATATTCAATATTATTTAGTATATGAATACTCTTCCTTATTAAGACGCTATATCAATTGCTGAATTACATTGAATTTGCATTTGGTCTACCACTTTCAGTAACAATAACCACAATCAATGATTTTCGACATGCATCGATTACATAAATGAAGAATAAAAATAATTTCACTGTACTACATAATTGTGTAATCAACAGGGTGTATAAAAAAACGCAACACTTAATATTCATGAATATTACTACTTCACATCAAATTTGTCCAATCACAGAACTTGCTTTATACCACATGATCACGGTATTTTTCAGCGAATACCATGGCCCGGACTGATCGTACCCTGGGTGTTTTTCCCGGGGCTTGAGCGGGGTATTTGACTTTCGAATATCTCGCTCGTACCCAGTCCGTTGTCTAATTTTCGCAGCATAAATGGCAGAAGCTGGATGTCAACAAGAAGTTGAGCAGGAAATTAAAAGTTGATGCAAAATTTAGTTCGTTGTCAAAACGGGGTTCGGTATAAAATAGCTACTAGTTATAGTTACTCCGGGTATTCGACCAAAAATTACTCCTCGGGATAAAATCTTCCTCGGGTTTCGCCCGGATTATTTAATTGTTAGCTGGGTGTGGATAAAATTATAGGCGAAAACTAGCCTCATCCGCAGGGATCTTTTACGTATATATTATATTAGGCATGGGTTACCATGTCTAATATAATTTAAAACCTAAGACATGCCTGCGGCGGAGGCTAGGCGAAAACATGAAAAGCGTTTTTAATACTAGTCGTATCATTTTAATACTAGGGTGTACTTGCATGTGGGAAAATATTTTTCTACTCCTAGTCAGCAATGTTGTATATAAATGAGCTAATAGGCAAAGAATGGCAATTTTAGAATACAATTATCCAAAACTCTCAAAAAACCCATTGCATTTCAGACAATTAATCTGCATATCTCCTACATCTCGAGAAAATGAATAGCTTACCTGTTATGGATAAATATTTTGGCTGTGAAGAATCAGCTCCAAGAATGTTCCTTGCAACACATTTATAATATCCAACAGTATCATTGTTCACCTCAGGTATTTTATAGGTAGTGCTACTGGCCAGTAACTTAGTATCATTGAAGAATATTTTATAGCTTGGTGCAGGTTCCCCCTGAGCTGAACATTTTACAGTAACTGATTCATCAGCGTTTCTTGTCAACGTTATTTTTGTCTCTTCAGGTGGATCTACAAAGAAATTTATTTGAAATGTTGTTGTAAGGATGTCATTAGACTATGTCCCGGGGTTAACACTGCCCTTTTTTTATACCGGGTTCCAGGGTTAACACTGCCTCTTTTTTATAAGATAAATATACTGTCATATATATGATATGGTGTATAAAGAAACATAGACTACATGTGATAAATGAATATAACAACTGCCAAATTATATATTAATTAAGCATCATTTTCGGTGCGATATTTGATTGAAATAAAAATTATAAAAACTTACAATTCACAATCAACTCAATAACTGTTTTATTCACTGCGTTTTCGTGGCTTTTAGCTTCACAAGTATACTCCCCACTATCACTTTTACTGTTGACACGGAACATTAATAATTGACTTTCTTTTCCTGTGTCGCTAATCTTTTTATCTTTATACCAGGTAACTCTGGCAGGAGGATTGCCACCTTGTCCTTCGCATAGACACGAGAAGACATCGCTTATATTTTTTCTGACATAACGGGAACAATTGACTGTTACCAATGGCGTTTCTGAAATACAATATCATTGAAATATTTCAAATGTTAATGTAACTAATGAAAATTCAATCGTTTTTTAGCTAGCTTGCTAATGGTATGCCTATATCATATAACATATTGCGTTTTCATTTTTCATATATCTATGTAAAGTTATATTTCTTTTAAATAAATCGCAAAGAAAGAGACTCTTGCATGCTGTCATTAAACATGAAAATTTGTAAAATCAACTAGTTTTAGACGTAAAAAGCGACAGTTTTAATTAATAATAATTCTCGAGAAGTAAAATTCGACACAATAAAACTGAGCAGCCTGTCTTATATACGTTATATTATAATTTTGTATAATAACTAGCATAATATTTTGTGTTACATTTTTATATAATAGTATATCCAAAATGATAAGTGCTTATAGATGTTTTCTCCAGGTTAAAGACTTGACATAGGAGTTAAAAGTTAAATGCAAGTTAAATGATTTCGAACATATACCAATATAGATATGTAGAAACAAACAATTAAGAGGGGAATGTCAAGTCAGCTATGGTCATAACAATCATCTATCAACTTCTTAACATTTATAATACTCAATAGCAAATAATCTCCATAGTTCACAGCGGTGTCCTCATTTTTACTTGACTTTTCGACTTTATGGTATAAATAGTTATTGATAATATTCTGCATTGGGAGTTGTAAAAATCCATGCACATGTATATGTATGTACTGTACATATCATACTGGCATCAACTGAACTTACATTGGCATTGCATGCAACTATAAAAAACTTACTTGTGATAAAAACCGAAACAGAAGATATCGTCGTTAGAGCTGTTTTAAGTGCAAACTGATATGTTCCATTATAACTTTCATTAACTTTGTTTAAAATCAATGTTGCTGGTTTTCGTATTTCAATCCCAAGCAATTTATTGGTAAGTATTTTTGGTTCGCCATCGTTTTGTATTTCTGCCAGTGCTTGTATTGATCCATCACTACTTAGAAAACTCCAATCCCTGAAACGCACTTTTGTTATTTCATCACTGAATGACCAAACTATTTCTGCTTTTGATTGGTCAGGTGAAAAGAACAATGTGGTTCCATCTGGTGGTTGTGTGATTATCCCTAAAAACAAAAAACTGTGCTAATATTTTTTATTTTTAAAAGTCATATTAAATTGAAAATGAATTGAATATTTTCAATCTTACTAAAATGAACAAAACAAAACAAAGTAAGGCAAAGTAGAACAATATAATTTCAAAATATGCATTGCAGGTAATTACTGATTTTATCACCAGACTCTTTTATCCTTTCATATAATGATATAAAATTTTCCGTTTTAGCTTTTAGAATCTTTGGCATAGGTAACTATTTATGAAATTTAAAGTCAATAGTACACCAATTACAAAAATATCAGCAACAAATCCCCTTACTTAAATATTATTAGCGTAGTAATTATTGAATTCTGATATGGAGGATTCCAATTACTTCATTTATGTCTTCATTTATGTCTTCTGTAATCAATGGAAGACTTGCGCTTTAGACTAATTTCTTATCTCAGCGGTAAAAAGGAAATTTTCTGAAAGAGTTTACTTAAGTTAGTAAAACTGCCAAGTTTGGCTGAGAATTGTTGTAAATTACGGAAAATACAGCCATGCGAAGTTGACGATTTTTGTATACTTTTCTATTACAGCCAGAACTTCGTAACTAATTTAGTTACACATTTCCACACAATACAAAAGTATACAAAATATGCAAACTTTGCACGGCTATATTTTCCGTACTCTACTAAATTTCGCAGCCATACTTTGTATTTGCACTAATTCAAGTATGCTCTTTCTAGCTGTGGTCATTTATTTTCTTTTTATTACTTGGATCAGAAATTAGTCTAAAGCGCAAGTGTCCGTTGAGTTTTGTGATTTTCTTTTTGTAACAATAGAAAACAGTGCTTATGATTCATACTTTTGGAAATCAATTTCTATAGTGCTTTATTGTTATCATAAACCAATAGCAAAAATTGTTCACATAGGTACATACCGCACAATTTCACTGGCTAAGAGGAGTGCAATTTGAGCATTAATCACACTCTTTGTGAGTAGTATTTTAGATCTAGCCAATTACTATTCACATACAAAACAAATTGGAATTTACAAAATAAATTCCAATTATGATAAATTTTAATCATTCTAAATTGTACTAATTACCAAGTATAGTTGTTGTTAATAAATTGGTAAATATTATTAATAATAGACCAAATTCTTATTCTTTAACTTGACCTAACACTTGCAAAAAAATTTGTTATATAGACAGATTTACTACAAGTACCTTCACATGAGAAAAAAACAAGGCTTATAACTCCAACAAAGAAAAAAACACCAAAATTTGTCATCTTATGATTCAAGTCACACCTACAAACCTACAATAAGATATAGTAAAAAGCAACTTTATACCTTTTTAAATAATATATAGAAAGCATCTATTAGAATTTTTATTTTTTAGGGCTTATCTAATTTTATGTACAAGCTGCAATTGACACTAAACTAAATTAATGCTTGAAATTTTGGAGTAAAATTTACTGGTAATCCACTGAACATTAATTTTAACTAAACTATTCTACAAACTCTCAAAGATTTGGAGATCTTTGGCAAATATTAAAATTTCTCTCTCTTTATTAACTGCATGTGGTTCCACTGACATGTCAAAATTAGTGTAAAAATTTTGATAGGTCAGATAAATGGTAATCTGATTGGTCAATGGACAGGAGTTTTATTAGGTTTTTTTTTAAATTGTTAATTCGTTTGGAACACTTTTAGCACTTTAGTATCCTATCAATGTAAAATAAATTCATCTAGCATTAGCCAAATACTAAAGCAGAGCACACCATGGTAGCTTGCCAACTGATGTACAATTATTATTTTTAGACCTGCAGCAAGGGGGATTTGATGAAATTTACCCCTAAAAAAGATATATTCTGGCCAAAAGATACATCATTCCAAGAGGGTAATATTTATAAGAATACAACAAAATACATATAATATCGAAACAACTACCAGAACAACATCTGGCTATATCCTGCAACATACAGTATGTCCAACCACACAGTGGTAATAATGAAACAATTCATTATCTCCAGGAATTCAATTGTCAGTGATGAACTCTAATTGTTGTAAAATACCAGTACATCTTTGATCAATAAATGCTAAAAAATCTAAGAAAGACTATTTTTGCCTTTAATACATATAAATGCTGTGCTTGCTTGCTTGCTGGATGTGTGTGTATATATAATATATGTGCTCTTAAATTGGCAGTTGTTGTCATAGTATAGACAGTTCTCGTCAACTATTAATAAGCACAGAATGCAAAACTAGATGACACAAAATAGGTATAATTATATAACTTCTTCAACAAACGTCCGAAATAAGGAAATATTGACGCATTTTGGCTCAAAAATGCTTCGCAGGAAATAGAACAGCACAAAGAAATGTGTCTGGACTGTGGTTTATTCCATTTTTCATTCGTGTAGCATATATATATCATATATAAATATGAACAAGACGATATAACACATTTAGTAAAATTTCTTAGTATGGTATAAAAACAAATAACTTGCGAAGTAAGGGCTTTGCTTATGAAGTTTTAGTCAATTTGTTTGATATTTGTATATATTAACCATTTTCGCATTTTAAATAGAGTCGTCACGAGAAATTTTGTTACACCTTAAACCCAAAGTCTTGCCATATTCCTATCAAACACTATCATTATCCCTTCTGATTTTATACTACTTGTTACCAGATATAACTTTATATAACCTATATTTTCCATAAGGCCAAAATTAAGAGCATCTTTCGAGGCATGTTTGAACCAATGGCGCACGCCCTCGAAGAGAGTTTCAAGAAAATCCTACGTTTAATACAAATGATATTGAACAAATACTGCCCCAAGACGAAACCAAAACTAAAAATATAGTAATACTGATAAAATGTTACCTACAACTTCGCTTTCTTGGTCTAGTATTAGCAAAAATCCACGCTAAAATTTAGCTAATTTCCGATTCACAATATGTTGTGTCTTGTCGCCAGGCGGGTATGTACTGTTTATACCACCTTCAATGATAGTGCGTGTTAGCGACTTAGCGTTTTCGAATTTCCGTTTTCGATAGGAGTGGCCCACTGAGCTATATTAAATTTTCAATATAGATCATTATATTGACGCTTCCTTGGCAAAACTTTGAATTTCCTTAGTTTTCCTAAGATTGTCATTCATGAGAATCCAGAAGACATCTTCTGGATTGTCTATGATTGTCTATGATGAGGCCTATGATGGGGCGTACCGTGCAGAAGGGTTCGCTTTACAGTCAGTTGTTTTTCACTTCAGCCCGCGTGGTGTCTTACGCGTGTTCTCCACTTGGCGCATTTTTTCGCGCGAACAGATCAAGCGATTCTACTTTTTCCCGGCGAATTTTTTTCGCAAACCAATCACATTCCTGGATTTCAGATTTCGTTTCGCGTCGCGCGAAAAAAATCGCTTAGTGGGAAACGGGCTTTACGCGCGTTTTTTTAATAATGACTGTAATGTAACAAAAAACAAAACAAAGTTTGACAATGCTCGGTGGCAGTGCAACCGGAAAAATTGCCATGAGGGTAGAAGGCCCCCACTACCCTTCGACAGCGCCCAATTAAGCGGTCTAGCTACGACCCTGGTTATTTGAACACGTCAACGCCTCGATAGAAATACAAAAACTGATATAGGCTGTTTTAAAAAAAAATGTTAATTCACCATGCTTGATATAAATACTTACAATTTAGAATTAGTCGAATTGATGTTTCGTTCTTTGCCTTGTCGTGGCTTTTTGCTTCACATCTATACGTCCCACTTTTACTTTTATCGTCGACATGGACCTTTAATAATTGACTTTCTTTTCCTGTGTCGCTAATCTTATTATTATCTTTATACCAGGTAACTTGGGCAGGAGGATTGCCATCTTGTCCTCTACACAGACACGAGAAGTCATCACCTATATTCACTCTTGGATAACGGGAACAATCGACCTTCACTGATGGTGTTTCTGCATATAAAATGTATACAATAAAATAATGAAAGTGAGTAATAAGTGATAATTGTGCCTCTCTCCCAAGAATTAATCTTTGTTTCCTCCCATGCAGTGAAGTTTCCTCCTATTTTTCAGTGTATAACAATTAATTTTAGCCTAATAGACCAACCCGTTGTACCCAATTCACTATTTCGAAGAACTCATATGCATAGTTATACTTTTGTTCTTAGTCATGAACAATGAATAGACAAAACTATCTAAGTAAAAATATGCTAAGAAGTTACTTACTATTGAGGGTATTTTTAATTGATTATATAAATATACAGTATATACGCCCGTGTCCAGAGAAACAAAAGTAACAAGGCAGGTTATTCCGATATTGTGAATTGGATATAATTGTAAACTCTATTGGTTTTATAGAATCATATTCAGAAGAAAGTAATAATATTCTTTCAACAAACCTCGGTCCGTTTAGATGGGCTATATCCCTTATTATATACGGTACCTGTGCGGTGTCCTCATTTTTACTTGACTTTTCGACTTTATGGTATAAATAGTTATTGATAATATTCTGCATTGGGAGTTGTAAAAATCCATGCACATGTATATGTATGTACTGTACATATCATACTGGCATCAACCGAACTTACATTGCAACTATAAAAAACTTACTTGTGATAAAAACCGAAACAGAAGATGTGGTCGTTAGAGCTGTTTTAAGTGCAAACTGGTATGTTCGATTATAACTTTCATTAACTTTGTTTAAAATCAATGTTGCTGGTTTTCGTATTTCAATCCCAAGCAATTTTTTGGTAAGTATTTTTGGTGTGCCATCATCTTGTATTTCTGCTAGTGCTTGTAATGATCCATCACTACTCATAAAAGACCAATCCCGTGAACGCACATCTGATATTTTATCACTGAATGACCAAACTATTTCTGCATTTGACTGGTCAGGTGAAAAGAACAATGTGGTCCCATCTGATGGTGGTATAATTGTTCCTAAGAAAGCAAATCAGATGCATTTAAAATACTTTTGTTTTCCAAGATTGTGTAAAATAGTTAGAAAGAAGTCCACACAAGTTTTGGTATTACAGTTGTATTTTACGCAACTATTTTACCCACTGTTTTATGCATGGGTTATGAGTATTTATTCCAGCAAAAGAACAAGGAGAACAACTAATGGGCGTAGACAAGGGCAAATCCCTCTCAAATTATTGGAAAAACCATATTTTGGAAATGTAGAATTCCAGGCGGAATAATACTATATAACAGTGATCATTATTTTCCCCCGCGCAGGAATGATGCCCGACCCTCTTTAATTGCGACCGCCCCCTCCCATTGTCAGGGTCTTAGCCACGCCCTAGGGTTTAATACTTGAAGAAGTACACAGAAAAGAAAAGAAGCAATCCATATTACTAATTGAAAACTACGACCTTATTTTTCGGGAAAAAATTATGCGAGGGAAACTTTATTAAACTATATTCCACCTTCACACGGCAATGAAACAAAGCTAATGCCAAAAGAAATGAAAAAAATAAAGCCAGTCATGTTTACAAAATCATACCTACAAAAAATAATACAAATACAAATTATTATAATAATAATGCATATATTATTATTCCTTTGCGTATATCAGGTTTGATATAGCGAGGCTCATATATAAATCAGTATATGTACCCGTGCAATTGCATAGTTGTTTATTTGCCGTGCCTGACCAATTGAAATTAAATGAACCGACCAAAATTTTAGCATAGCGAGGACAAAATTTCCAGGCTGGCTAAACTACTGAGTAAATAATTTCAATCTATACATCGTTTAAAATAAAAGGGAACATAAAGGGTCATCTAGTAGTGGAATATGAATATTGGAAGCGTGAAACGGGGTCTGGGCACGATAACAAATAAAACAGCCAATACAATTCTACCGAAATACTAACGAGGTTGTGCCGATTATTATAATAACAATACAAATTAATATTCCTTTGCATATATCAGGTTTGATATAGCGAGATGTTCATATATAAACTATGTATCCGTGCAATTGCTTGTCGTTTATTTGCCGTGCCTGACTAATTGATAATAAATTGAATGAATTAACCAGTGGCGGATCTAGGGTAGTCAGAATAAATTACAAAGTTTAATTTTAAATTCAAAACACCTTAATAACAACGCTACTGCATGGTTATGGATTTCATGGGAATATTTTAAAATAAAAACCAACCAATGTAATCGCGATTTGAAGCTGTAGTAATTTTTCTGACTACACCTAGATCTGCCACTGGAATGAACACTAAAATTTTAGCATAGCAGGGACTAATTCCCCAGGCTGGCTAAACCACTGAGTAAATAATTTCAATCTATACATCGTTTAAAATAAAATAAAAGGGAACATAAAGGGTGATCTAGTAGTGGAATATGAATATTGGAAGCGTGAAACGGGGTCTGGGCACGATAACAAATAGAACAGCCAATACAATTCAACCGAAATACTAACAAGGTTGTGCCGATTAAGCAGAGTCGCCTCTCAAATAGAAGCTATTCCAGCGAAAAGGATACCATTCACGCAGTTAACTGCAGTCTCTACGGTGTCTTCCAGGTCTCAGGATTCTTGTTCTGAAACAATGACTTGCGATCTTAGTGTAACTTGTGATAGAAAATACAACACAAAATCTTAATAATTTTCAAGCCAGAATATGTCAAATCTATATATGAAAACACAGTCTATATATTGTGACAATATTCCAATTCAACACTAGCTAATAAGCCAAATTGTATATACCTGTTACAAGTAGCGTTCCTGTGAAATATAATAATAATTTAAAATTTATGTTCTGTTGATAATTTGTACGCCCGGTGTGCAACACTTCCGTCTTTCATCTGAAAATGAAATTTAGTCATTCTATAGGGCTGAGTGATAATGAGTACTTAGTATTCGATACCAGCGATATTGCGGACAGCGGTATCGGGTGTCAAGTAACTGCCAGTAATTACTGCGTGTTATCATTCGAAATCTTTCTTATCTACCTTTTCCTTTACATACTGTAATGTATGATGAAAATCACTCTCACGCGATGAGTTGTGGATATGAGAAATTCTAAATTGCTTATAAACCCATTCGGACCCATTGCCCTCCAAATGCTTCCTGGTCTTATGGAAAAGAATTATCGTACGAGCGCGGTGAAGGCTCACGAAACCAGCATGATATACCACGCAGCTGTTATCTCTGAAAATCAAGAAGGACGCAAATCTTGCCGTTCTAAATAAATTTCACTATTACGGTAATTTAATTGGGGAAAAGAAGGTTGCCAACCATCAGATCAAATGACGAATGAATGTTCATGATCTCATGGAAATTTGCTGACAAAGATAAGCACTTTTAAAGCACTTTTTTTCAAAAACTTTTTTGACTCTATATTAGAAAACGTTGCTGTACATTGCCTCCTCTGACGTGAAAATACGTGAAAATATACGTATATTTACATCGGACGCTATTAGAAGTTTCACACCGAGCATCAACGTGCATCTTCTCAGGTGAATACCATGTTGAAGCTCTGAAACCTGAGGTGTGGAACTTGGATTTTCGTAAAAAATTGCTCTATACTTTATTCAGGCAGTGCGGGTTAAGGTTAAAGTTAAGGTGATGATGGATTAGATTATATCAATTTTATCGCCTGGACGATCATATTTATGACCTAAGGTCCTTGGTCAAGACTCAAGAGATTTAGGTCGAAACTGATGGCTCAAATGCACCGATGCGACATGATTTGCTGTGAAGCTGTTAGCAGAAATTCCCAGAATAAAACTGTTCAATGGGGATATCTTCATTACATGCACTATGTTATGAATACGTCACCTTTTGCAGAAGCTTTTGACTTCATATCAAGAATCTTCGTTGCTGTTAACTCTGTAAATGAAAATGCTGGACATTGTGAGAGCATGCCTGAAAAATACTGTGATAGCTTTCCTGTATTCTAAAATATCTAAAATAGATTTAGACTACATCCCTACTAAAATTTTCACGCCTGTTCACGTCTTCACGAGACTTTCATCAGGCAAGTGTACGTATGGGACTACAGCTCAAATGCATTGATGATCTATCTTACCAACAACAGACAAATTGAAGGTCTGTGAACTAGTTCCAAATTGATTTGTTGCAATGCATTTGTAGGACCCAGCCTGACTGTACTTTAAAACTGTTATAGCTAATATACGTCTTGTGGGTACTGACGACCACAGTATCGTTATGGATTTGGATTTGTATAATAATTATATACATAAGATAGTATGCGGTACCCGACTTGACCGGGCTGCGCCTGCCCATGTTTTCGATAGGAGTGGCCACATTGACGCTTCCTTAGCAAAACTTTGAATTTCCTTAGTTTTCCAAAGATTGGTCTTAATTAAGAATCAATTCATGGGCGTACCATGCTGAAGGGGTTCGCTTCACAGTCACTTCAGCTCTATAGACGTTTTTTACCCGCGTTTCTTCAGTAAAGACTGTAACGTAACAAAAAACCAAACAAAGTTTGACAATGTTCGGTGGCAGTGCAACAGGAAAAATTGCCATGAGGGGAGAAGGCCCCCACTACCCTTCGACAGCGCCCCTGTTGCGTGTTGAAATACAATTTATTTGGTTATAGAGAAAGTTATGACATCACGATATTTGACAATGATCACGTTTACGTAGTGTGCTTTGCGTATATACCATGTGTGAATGCGCCATGCAGGGAATTATTCTCATTCTAGAAGAGATGGTTCAGCCAATGTATGTATCACTGACCTAACACTGACCTAAGGGACATGAACGACGAGAAAAATTTTCAAAAAATATAAAGCATTCCTATTTTAAGTTAACGATTGATAATTGTTTTCTTGATCTCTGGTGCTGCTTAACTGCGTGTAAGTAGAGTCATCGTTCTTTGCACCGTCGTTTTTTGCTAAAGATTGATAATTGTCTTCCGTGTTGATTTTTCTAAGATCAAGTTCTTGATAGTTTGTATTAACTTCAGATGTCGCAGGTTCAGGGTTTGTATTTTGAGGTTTTCTATTTCTGAACTTAAGACGAGAACATGAGACAATGTAGGAAATAATAACGCCAATGATAATTCCAGACACCAACGTCACAACAATGATATGCCATTTCGTTCCAGAACTGCCGTTACAATTATAACATGATTGGTCTAAATAAGAAAATGGACATCTGTAAAATTATTATTCACTTATTAAATAATTTGCCTGGCCTGGACTGACCAATGAACAGTTTTTATAGAAAATTTCAGTTGTCCAATTAAATGCATTAATCAGTTTACTGACTGTCACAGTAATTAATTTACCTGAAACGGTTAAAAAAGACGAGGCTGTGACATTCCCCAATGTATTCTTCGCGAGGCATTCATATGTACCAGCATCATTCAGCTTCACTTCACTTACGGAATATGCCATTTCAAAACTGACTACACTACCATTATGAAATATAGTGTAAGCCGGTTTGGGGATACCATTGGAATTACACAATACGACAAGTGATTTACCAAGTACACCTTTTTCTGGTGTAAATCTAATAGACATCTCATTAGGTTTAACTGTGAAAAACAAAATACAAATGGGTAAGCAGATACTAACGACTAGTTATTTACACGTCCGTACCTCTTAGAAATACAAAAACTGATATAGGTTGTTTGAGATATTCCTAAATTCAACTTTCATATGTATGTATAGTAAATATAGCATAGAGAGGGGGTTAAATCGGGGCTATTATCCCTGGCCCGAGTCCCGTATAATTTGGCTGCTTCACAATGCAGTAAATAGAGTTAAAATGTACGACCGTGTCGTGTTATACCTGTTCCATTGCCTTTGGTAGGAATCGTGCTTGTTGTTGCTGGTGGTCCTTGAATTGTCATAGAAATGAAATTCGCAAACATCCTTTTTTCATAAAGACAATTTATAGAAAAAATACATCTTCGTTTCTTGATTATTCATACCCTGGGTGTTTTTACCGGGGCTTGAGCGGGGTATTCCAGTTTCGAATAACTCTCTCGTACCCAGTCCGTTGTCAAATTTTTGCAGCATAAATGGCAGAAGCTGGATGTCAACAGGAAGTTGAGCAGGAAATCAAAAGTTGATGCAAAATTTGGTTCGTTGTCATACGGGGTTCGGTATAAAATAGCTACTAGTTATAGTTACTCGGGGTATTCCACCAAAAATTACTCCTCGGGATAAAATCTTCCTCGGGTTTCGCCCGGATTATTTAATTGTTAGCTGGGTGTGGATAAAATTAAAGGCGAAAACTAGCCTCATCCGCAGGGATCTTTTACGTATATATTATATTAGGCATGGGTTACCATGTCTAATATAATTTAAAACCTAAGAGATGCCTGCGGCGGAGGCTAGGTGAAAACATGAAAAGCGTTTTTAATACTAGTCGTATCATTTTAATACCAGTCGTAAAAATCTTAGATAATTTAAATAGGTTTAGGGTGTACTTGCATGTGGGAAAATATTTTTCTACTCCTAGTCAGCAATGTTGTATATAAATGAGCTAATAGGCAAAGAATGGCAATTTTAGAATACAATTATCCAAAACTCTCAAAAAACCCTTTGAATCTCAGACAAATAATTGATCTGCACGTGCTCCTACATCTCGAGAAAATGAATAGCTTACCTGTTATGGATAAATATTTTGGCTGTGAAGAATCAGCTCCAAGAATGTTCTTTGCAACACATTTATAATATCCAACAGTATTATTGTTCACCTCAGGTATTTTATAGGTATTGCTACTGGCCAGTAACTTAGTATCATTGAAGAATATTTTATAGCTTGGTGCAGGTTCCCCCTGAGCTGAACATTTTACAGTAACTGATTTATCAGCGTTTCTTGTAAACGTTATTTTTGTCTCTTCAGGTGGATCTACAAAGAAATTTATTTCAATTGTTGTTGTAAGGATGTCATTAGACTATGTCCCGGGGTTAACACTGCCCTTTTTTTATACCGGGTTCCAGGGTCAACACTGCCTCTTTTTTATAAGATAAATATACTGTCATATATATGATATGGTGTATAAAGAAACATAGACTACATGTGATAAATGAATATAACAACTGCCAAATTATATATTAATTAAGCATCATTTTCGGTGCGATATTTGATTGAAATAAAAATTATAAAAACTTACAATTCACAATCAACTCAATAACTGTTTTATTCACTGCGTTTTCGTGGCTTTTAGCTTCACAAGTATACTCCCCACTATCACTTTTACTGTTGACACGGAACATTAATAATTGACTTTCTTTTCCTGTGTCGCTAATCTTTTTATTATCTTTATACCAGGTAACTCTGGCAGGAGGATTGCCACCTTGTCCTTCGCATGGACACGAGAAGACATCGCTTATATTTTTTCTGACATAACGGGAACAATTGACTGTTACCAATGGCGTTTCTGAAATACAATATCATTGAAATATTTCAAATGTTAATGTAACTAATGAAAATTCAATCGTTTTTTAGCTAGCTTGCTAATGGTATGCCCATAATGGCCATATCATATAACGTATGGCGTTTTCCTCTTTCATATATCTATGTAAAGTTATATTTCTTTTAAATAAATCGCATAGAAAGAGACTCTTGCATGCCGTCATTAAACAAGGTATTGCCATTTTTGATATTCTCCTCCAGATGGCTTTTCTTCCATTTGTCCATCTAATATTCTCTCATTCATGAAAATTTGTAAAATCAACTAGTTTTAGACGTAAAAACCGACAGTTTTAGTTAATAATGATTCTCGAGAAGTAAAATCCGACAAGATGAAACTGAGCAGCCTGTCTTATATACGTGTTATAATTTTGTATAATAACTAGCATAATATTTTGTGTTACATTTCTATATAATAATATATGCAAAATGATAAGTGTTTATAGATGTTTTCTCGAGGTTAAAGACTTGACATATATATAGGAGTTAAAACATGCAAGTTAAATGATTTCGAACATATACCAATATATAGATATGTAGAAACAAACAATTAAGAGGGGAATGTCAGGTCAGCTATGGTCATAACAATCATTTAGCAAATAATCTGCATAGTTCACAGCGCTGTTCTCATTTTTACTCTTTATGGTATAAATAGTTATTGATAATATTCTGCATTGGGAGTTGTAAAAATCCATGCACATGTATATGTATGTACTGTACATATCATACAGGCATCAACTGAACTTACATTGCAACTATAAAAAACTTACTTGTGATAAAAACGGAAACAGAAGATATGGTCGTTAGAGCTGTTTTAAGTGCAAACTGGTATGTTCCATTATAACTTTCATTAACTTTGTTTAAAATCAATGTTGCTGGCTTTCGTATTTCAATCCCAAGCAATTTTTTGGTAACTATTTTTGGTTTGCCATCATTTTGTATTTCTGCTAGTGATTGTATTGATCCATCACTACTTTCAAAAGACCAATCCCTGAAACGAACTTTTGTTATTTCATCACTGAATGACCAAACTATTTCTGCTTTTGACTGGTCAGGTGAAAAGAACAACGTGGTTCCATCTGGTGGTTGTGTGATTACCCCTAAAAAACAAATCTTAAATTTGTAAAATACATTTTCTTTTCAAGGTTGTGTGAAATACTAAACATGTAACCTGAAACGTGTGATTTTGCATGGGAGCATAATAAGAATAACGTTGGTTAATTGGTTCAAAAATGAAACAACTTCATTATAGTTAGAGGGAAGGCTGACATATAACAGTTGTGTTTTATGCACAACTTTCCAACTAAGTTCCGTCTATTACATTTAACACAAGAGCTTTATATATAGCGATATAGCTAATTTAGTTTCGCTAACACTTATTGCATGAGTGGGACATATAAATAAAAAGCTCTTATTGAAGAGGAAATACAGCCGTGGAAACTTCATGAGATGATTGAGATCTTCCACTCAATGAGTTTGAGTGTCAGTGATCTTTTAGAACTTAGAGCAGGCGTTAGTTGTGTATCTCACTATTCTGTGCATATATGGGCTATGTCATATTTCAGTCATTGTTCCAGGAGAACAAGAGAAACTTTATTAAACTATAATAAACCTTCACATGGCAATGAAACAAAGCTGATGCCAAAAGAAATGAAAAAAATAAAGCCAGTCATCTCTACAAAATCATACCTACAAAAAATACAAATACAAATTATTATAATAATAACAATACATATTAATATTCCTTTGCATATATCAGGTTTGATATAGCGACATGTTCATATATAAATATATGTATCCGTGCAATTGCTTGTCGTTTATTTGCCGTCCCTGACCATGTATACGTAATTGATAATAAATTGAATGAATGAACCAGTGGCAGATCCAGGGTAGTCAGAATAAATTACAGAGTTTAATTTTAAATTCAAAACACTTTAATAACAACGCTACTGGTTATGGATTTCAAGGGAATATTTTGAAATAAAAACCAACCAATGTAATCGCGATTTGAAGCTGTAGTAATTTTTCTGACTACACCTAAATCTGCCACTGGAATGAACACCACAATTTTAGCATAGCGGGGACTAAATTTCCAGGCTGGCTAAACTACTGAGTGAATAATTTCAAGCTATACATCATTTAAAATAAAATGGAACATGAAGTGTGATCTAGCAGTGGAATATGAATATTGGAAGCGTGAAACGGGGTCTGGGCACGATAACAAATAGAACAGCCAATACAATTCTACCGAAATACTAACGAGGTTGCATCGATTAAGCAGCTTGTCATTTGCCGAGTCGCCTTTCAAATAGAAGCTATCCTAGCGAAAAGGATACCATTCACGCAGTTAACTGCAGTCTCTACGGTGTCTTCCAGGTCTCAGGATTCTTGTTCAGAAACAATGACTTGCGATCTGAGTGTAACTTGTGATAGAAAATACAACACAAAATCTTATTCATTTTCAAGCCACAATAGCTCAAATTTATATTGTATTACAAACGAGTTATAAAAACTCAGTCTATATATTGTGACAATATTCGAATTCAACACTAGCTAATAAGACAAATGGTCTATACCTGGTACAATTAAGTAGCGTTTCTATGAAATATAATAATAATTTAAAATTTATGTTCTGTTGATAATTTGTACGCCCGGTGTGCAACACTTCCGTCTTTCATCTGAAAATGAAATTTAGTCATTCTATAGGGCTGAGTGATAATGAGTACTTGGTATTCGATACCAGCAATACTGAGGACAGCGGTATTCTAATCCGTGAAACACGTCTACCGACTGTCACTAGCGGCTTATTAGTCATATATCGCCTCCTGTAGATAAATAGTCAGTTAAAGTCGTAGCTCATATCGCACGACAGAACATTAAATCCTCGTTGAAAGCACTAGCCAGGCCTGCCAGGGGTTAGCAGCATTGTCTGGTGTCAGTGGTGTGTCCCGATGATTGCGTGATTGCAAGTCAAGAATTCAACCAAGTGTAGTTCGGAAAAGAGGAGCAATTATCACCAGATTACGTTAACATTATGTATGCTATAGTACATCGAAAATTTTGGCGCATCGCCCAGCATGAGGTTAAGATTTCTACTGCGCACTAATGATCTCTTGACAGGATGAAGTTTCGTAGTTTCCCCAAGAATTCTGGCGGCTGATTGGCTGAATATAAAAAACCTTAGATCACGCGCGTGAAAAACGCTCAGGTTAATGCAAGTTGATATAAACAGGATGGAGCAATGTTGTGCTGCCCACATTGTTCAGAGTTGTTATCAACATTGAACAAGATTGTTGAAACTGAATCGGGTGTAACAATATTGTTCAATATTGATAACAACTCTGAACAATGTGGGCAGCACAACATTGCTCCATCCTGTTTATATCAACTTGCATCAACCTGAGCGTTTTTACGCGTGTACTCAGAACCCCTCTTGCGCACAGCGTACAGAGGTGCGTAAGAAAGGCTCTTATAGAATTAAAACGAGAATGGCGGGTTGCCGGAGGAGCCACGAATTTCGGCGTACCAAAATTTCAGGTATATATATAAATCAGTGACTACATCTGGTTAATCAGAGCACATAATCTGGAGTAGCAAGTCAGTAACGATCTCCTTCGAAAGTTGATCTCTAAACAATAAAATCAGTTGTGCGTAATACAAGGCCTAGTGGCTCTGACACACGTAACAATTTACGACTAACCATTTACATGGTTTCCGGCGAAAAAGGCCCTTATTAAGCAATAATACAAGGCTTAGCTATATAAGCTGACTTCTAACATCAAGTTAAGGATTGATAATTGTTCCCCTCATCTCTGGATGTGTTCAGTTCTGTGTAAGTAGAGTTATCACCCTTATCTCCAACGTTGTTTCTTGCAGCAGCATTCCCAGCCAACGATTGATAATTCTCTTCTATGTTCATTTTTCTCAGATCCAATTCTTGATAAGTTGAATCAACACGAGATGTTGTATTTGGGGACTCTGGGCTTGATTGTGTTTTTCTACTTTGAATTTTTCGACGGGAATGATAGATAATGAAAGAGAAAATACATCCAATGGTAAATCCGGTCAGCAATAAAACCAAAATAATATACCACGCAGCTGTTATCTCTGAAAATCAAAAAGGACGCAAATCTTGCCGTACTAAATAAATTTCACTATTACGGTAATTTAACTGGGGAAGAGAAGGTTGCCAATCATCAGATCAAATGATGAATGAATGTTCATGATCTCATGAAAATTTGCTGACAAAAGCCGTGTTTACACTGCAAGCCTGAGCCTGGCCTAGGCCAGGCTTTGGCCTAGATCTTCCTAGTGTAAACACACTTTGGCCTGGCCCAGGCCTGGCCTACGCCAGGAAATCTAGGCCCATCATAACAGGTGGCCTAGGCCAGGCCCAAGCCTGGCTTTTTGGCGGGAAAAGCAAATAAACATGGAATTTGAATTTGAACTGGACAGATGAGGAAACTGAAGCTTTGCTAAACCTTTGGGGTGAAGAAAATGTCCAGAACGGATTGGACAACTACAGTATTCGTAACAACGTGATTTATGGTAAACTTTCAGCTGCCTTGTCGGACTAGGGGATTTTACGTACTGCTAAACAGTGCAACAACAAACTAAAACATCTTCGGGAAAAATACAGAGAATATAAAGAATATAAAGTTTACACAAAGTAAAAAAACTTGTGAAGATCTAGGCCAAAGCCAGGCCTAGGCCAGGCTCAGGCTTGTAGTGTAAACACGGCTAAAGATAAGCATTCTTAGCACTTTTCAAAAGCTTTTTTGACTCTATATCAGAAAACGTTGTTGTATGTGACTATGAAACCGAAAATGCTGTACATTGCCTCATTTAATCAAAGTCGTGAAAATACGTATATTTACATCTGACGCTATTAGAAGTTTCATATTATTTATACATTACTTAATACCTTTGTATAGGTTCACATGCATGCAGCTAATTCATGGACTAGCTAATTCAATTATTTGAGGACTTTTGCCAGGAAATATCACAGAAATCTTCTTTAGGAGATGTATCCATGTTACAACAAGGCCTCCTGGGTGTTTGGAAGATGGTTATGCTATTGATTTATCGTGATTTGTGACAAATAGAATTTTAATGTATATAGTTTCAAAACTTGCAACATATCTAGCAAAATAAAAATAAAAATAAAAAATAATTAATGTATTAGCTAACATTACAGTGGTAAAAAACATGCATCTTAAAAATAGTCTTACTTTAAGGCTTGTTTTTTTCCATTTCCAGGAAATACAGTAATCTTTGAACAATTCATAGCATAAAGCCTGCATGCATATCTTCATCTTATACAATGCCAGTTCCTGTAAAAAATTGAAATATTTACCAGGGTGTACCACTTTTCAATTGCAATATGTGTGGGGGAGAGGAATCTAGATACCAGACCCAGGTCACACAGTACAAATATCGGATTATATTAAAAACGCAAATAACAACATACTAAAATACGATTAAGCTAATTATAAGTCAGTCTTAAGCGTGCGATATTTACTATTGTAAAATGACTAGCATTATTTCATCAATAGCAGAATTTTGAGTTTAGTTCGTAACGAATTTTAGAGTACGTTCGGTTAAATACTATTAGATTGTATCAATACTCAACAAAATTATTACCTTCCAATATCTGCTCGCATTCTTTGACCACACTAGCGATTTGTTCGAGCAAACTTGTCGTTTCTTGATCCATATTAAAACGTATAAATTGAAAAAAATCGATAAAATATCAGCGATCAGTGAGAACGCGTTACACAACAGCGAAGAAAATTTGAAAAGGACGCGCTTCTTCCCACAATGCCTTTAGCTAGCTCTTCGTGACCGTGATCACGCGCGATATGTCGCGCACGCGACGTTATGTTGCATCCATGGTAATTAAAATTCAAAATATCAATCTTGACTTTTGCATTGTAAATCTTACTTTTAGTATATCAAATAATATTGTACATGGGTAGCGAATTAAGGTGGTGTTTTTAGAACAAATAACCAAGCACACCTATTGAAAGGCAAAATGTGACACATTTCTCTCATGATGAAATTTGTTTTTTAAGAGCTTCTATATTATAAAAATTATTTGTACATAAGACTTACCTAGATATAATTTATGAAGGGAGGCGGACATTCGTTCATTGTAAATAACAATAATTCTATTGTATATTTTTTTTTATACCCTATTAGTTCTTGTTTTCTTACTATTTTCTTATTCCAAAAAATTATTTTCTTGAAACGAGGATCAGATAAGGCAAGCTTTCTTATTTTAAGAAATATTTGGGAAATTGCTCAAGATTAATTTTCTCATATTGAGAATTTCAGAAGTTAAGATAATCTTTCTTATATCAAGATATAATTTTCTCAGTTTTAGAAAAAAATTTCAAATTCATAAGAATATAATTTCTTGTGTTAAAATCTGTAAATCTGTGCCGGGCTGACGACTTTCTTATTTTAAGAAATTACTTTCTAATAAACGAGATTTTATATCCTAGAGTTATAAAAAAATTCTCGGTTTAAGAAAAATTTTCTTTACATAAGAAAAAAATTCTTAAGATAAGACATATTTTCTCGATAAGAAAATGATTTTTTGCTGTGCGCGAAATGATTTGCTGTAAAGCTGTTAGCAGAAATCCCTAGAATAAAACTGCACAATGGGGATTTCTTCATTACATGCACTATGTTATGAATACGTCACCTTTTGCAGAAGCTTTTGACTTCGTATCAGGAATCTTCGTTGTTGGTAACTCTGTAAATTAAAATGCTGACTTGTGAGAGCATGCCTGGAAAATACTGTGATAGCTTTCCTGTATTCTAAAATATCTAAAACAGATTTAGCCTACATCCCTACTAAAAGTTTCACGCCTCTTCACGTCTTCACGTGACTTTCATCAGGCAAGTATACCTATGGGACTACAGGCTCAAATGCAATGATATATCTTACCAACAACAGACAAATTGAAGGCCTGTGAACTATTTCCAAATTGATTTGTTGCAATGCATTTGTAGGACCCAGCCTGACTGTATTTTAAAACTGTTATAATATACGTCTTGTGGGTACTGACGACCACAGTATCGTTATGGATTATGGTGTATCTTGGTAGAGGAACAGCAAGAGCTTCGCATGTTATTACAACTGATTCTCCAAGTAAAGTCTTTTTTGGAATTGATGTGAAACTTATAACTGTTGGTGGAATCGGATCTAAAAGGAGGATAATACTATACCACTATATGACCAGTTTCTTATAGACAGAACTCGTACAATCCCGGAAAATCAGATTTGGCTTCTCTGAAATATATAAGTATGAATTAAGGTGATGTAAAAATAATCAGCAGGGGCGACAAACAATTTTTTTTCTTGCGAATTTGTTACCTCAGTGATAGTCAAAATGGAAACCAGGTCTAACTGAAAAGAAAGCTTTGGTCTGTAATTTACAGTGATACAAAATTCAATAAAAATATTCAACCTTACCTACTACGGTTAAACTGGCAGACCCTGAATGACTTCCAAGTTTATTTCTTGCATCGCATCTATATATCCCAGCATGTTTCCACTCTACTTTTGGGATCCTGTATGGCATTTTTGAACTGACCAGAGAACCATTAAGGAATATGGAATAAACTGGTTCAGGAAGACCATTTGATACACATGAAACGACAAATGGTTTACCAAGAACAGCTTCTTCTGTTTCGAATATGACAGATGTAACATTTGGTTTATCTGTTAAAACAAAACCTCTCAGCTATAAATAACAGCAAGTACAGGAGCGGACTGGCCTATACATGATTTACCAAGAAAACTAAAAATGGGGGCGCCATTTTTAGCTCTAACATGAGCAACAGTTATTGAAAATTCGTGTTGCTGCCATGTTGCGTTTAAAATTTGACCGCTATACAATCTTGAGTTTCAAACTGATACATGATTTATATCAGATTATCTTTCCTGTGTTTTACTTCAATGGTTTTATCATTTCCTCCATAATTCCCTCCAAAATGGGGCGCCAAACGGCATGTAAACCAGGGCACGTACATACATGCAGTAAAAAGACTCATATTATAACTGGATGCATTTGAATTCCTTCATACTTTTGCTATTTGCCGTACCTGTTGATTACAAAAGTGAACCCTAACTCTAACTTCGCCGGTTATACAAAATATCAGGAAATAACACATTTAAAAGGAGACGCTCTTTGAATAAAACACGAGTGTCGACCTCGGGGGATGGGTATATCGGGGGATGGGTATATCGGGGGATGGGTATATCGAGGACTGGGTATATCGGGGAATATTCTGTATAGTTTTCAAATTCTGCCGGGGTGTAAAGTTTTACTAGTAATCGACATTCTATATTTGCGCCTTTTTATGAAGTAAATTTGTATAAGTATAATTATATTATTCTGAATACCTACGGTAATGGAATTCCGTTTTCAGGCCCAGCACTATGTGAAATTTAAATGAAATCAAATTTGCTGGTCATGCGTGATTGACACCTGCTTTCAATGGGATTCACAAAATTGAAAAAAGATGACATAAAAATGATGTAAAACACTGAAAATACTGTATACTTACAATTTAGTATTACCATTACTTCGATTGATATGTTATTTGACAAAGTGTGACTTCGGGCCATACATTTATAGGTTCCACTGTCCTTTCCACTAACATTTTTAAGAATGAGTGTTTGCTCACTGTACGCATGAACTAACTGTACTTCATTTTCATTATACCAAGTGACACTGGCTGGAGGGTTACCATTTTCAGCTCTGCATGAACATGCGAAGTTGCTTTCTTGATTTAGTTTGACCGGACTAGAACGATTCAGTTTCGCTGTTGGTCTTTCTGAAATATCAGAAACCAGTTAAAATGCTGGGAAAGGATTTAAAACTACATTCATTTTTTTGATAACAAACACTTTTTCTATCTTCAACTTGTAATGTCTTAGGATTCGTGAAAGCCCCTTTTACACTACACTTAATGGCACGGCTGAATTTGGTATACGCGTGCCACTTCAACTGTATTGTAGTGAACCGTAGCGTATTCCTTTGTTTCAAAGTCAATAGCCCTATCTGAGTGCCCAGGAAAGAATGATATACGCTACGTGTCGCTACGATACCGTTGAGGTGGAAAAAAGGCCTAAAAGCCCCGTGCTCGGACTACCAATATAAGAGTAAATACAATGCATAGTCGAGCACAGAATGATAAACTTGGTACGTGTGTCGATTTGTACAACTTGATTAGGCAGTAATTTCATTTGGCGTGGATACCTGGCGCAGCTGTCAACAATTGCAAAATGAAGGAAAATGAATATATTTAATTTTCCTTCGCGGAAAAGCAATGCCAATGGCAATGAGTGGCTGAGAATCACAGACCTGTATTTCACCAAAAGTGTCGTCAGGCTTATATTATAATTATAGTCATACATAATTATTCACATGCATTATTCAGAATAAAGTTTATTAGGTTTATATTTACATTAATTGTCAATGTATATATATAAAAGTTATCAGGGCCTACTTACTATAAGTTATCACTCACATTTTAGAACCTTACCTGCAATGAATATAGCAACATCAGACCTTTCAGGATCAAAAACACCAGTTACTTTAAGAATCAAGTAATATGTTCCATTATAGTTTTTATCAACATTAGTTAATACCAATGTTCCTGGATCTTCCACGGTAACACGAGTTAAGCTGCTGCTTTGTAATTGAGCTTCGCCAACAGGATATTTCGTAGCAAGATGTTGTTGAGATGAACCGCCATCACCAGGTATGAAATACAATTCAAGAGTAGACTTTGTTGGATCATCAGTAAATGTCCAATTTATTGACACAGTTGATCCAGGCAATACAACCAAACTGTTTCCGCCAGGTGGCGGATTGATTTTTCCTACAAAAATAGTTAATGTTTTCCATACAGTGAAAAATCGTTACATTCAAATCATCCCATTTTATAAATTTACTCTATTTTGTTAATATAGTTCGTTAAAAAAGTACTCCAATATCACGGTGGTACACAAGTGGAGAACTGATTACTGATACTCGCTTTTAAATAAAGCATTAATTTTGGCGCAGGCACATATATGTAGACAGAGTAAGGAAAGACTAAAAAAATTACCTTCACATTGAAATGAGAGGAAAACTAGACCAAAAAAAGGAGTTAAACCATAGCTAGCCATCTTATGGAAACTCTGGACAGAAAAGAAATCTATTGATTAGGAATTTATACAAATATAACTGGCGTGTTTATAACTCAACAACTTTTAATTTAGATGAATCTCCATAAATTATAGCGTGAGAAGCAGCGGAACTTTAAAGTGTGACGTGATTGACGTGAACCGTGATTTGACGTGATCGGTAAGGTAGATTTTCATATATACATGCAGTAGAGATAGTATTAAATCATCGAACCATACCGTAAAATCATGAGCGCGCGTTCGGAAGTGTCATGTTCGGCTATTATTGCAGCACTACAAGAGCACGATCTAGCCTTATTTAATAACTTCATTCAAGTTGGTAGTTATATTTGTTTGGTATCGCCTCACTTCTCAGTTTAAAAACGATTTCTTTACACCATATATGATCATGAATATATCATTCGAGCCTGATAAAACGTGTAATACTACTGCATGAGCCATTGACTCGTCAAAGTATGAAACTTGCTTAGGAATTGAAACGTTAATAATTTACGTATATACAAGCACAAAATTTAGCATATCAATACCTCTATGTTTGCAAATTTCCTCATAACGAATAATTTTTAGTTCATAGTAAATATACAGGTATACACATATCTGTTATTATATAGTTGTGTTCATGATTTGTAGCAATGTTCTTCCGCCTTCAAAACATTATTGCAATGCTTCCGCCTCCTCATGAGTGATGCAAATAAATGCATGCATTGTGTTATATTTATGCATAATTTGAAAAATTTACTTAAAGAGCTATATTTCATTAATTTCTTTCTTTAACTCTACCGCTTTTACTTTTAGAAATATCGTGTACCTTATTGATACGGTACATCAAATATTTTTATAACTTCCTTGAATTTCATAAACGGGGGGATAATTTTGAGAAATTTAAGCGAGTCTCTCGCGCATGGGTCCATCACGGAAACATTTGGTTTTCTTTTTAATCCAAGGATGTGCACGGCCAAGAAATAGTTAAAGGGGCAGTTTAAATTAAGATCGATAAGGCTAACGAGCGAAATCGTGAAGCTGTATAGTTCTAGCCTAGTTCTATCCCGATAGGAATGAGTTCTGCATATATCAGAAACGTCGTTTTAAGCTCTGGGGAGATGTAATGCAGAATGTAATTTTCACGAGACTTCATTTCATATTGACAGTAGGTGTACCAGAGCAGCGGCTGTGAGGAGCAAATATTTTGTGCTAAACGAAGATCCGAACTATTCTAATCCTGGCGAATGCGAAGTATAAAGGGTACTACGGTGTGCGGCCAGGAGCTACAATTAACATGAATATGCCCTTTAATGATTATTGAGGACTGTACTCATTTGCTACAGTATAGTGTCTATTACACTGTGAATTTTTCAGTTGAAGAAACTTTCAACTTTGTTTTGTATACCTCGTCTTCAGCGAAGTTTAGGAGCTCCAGTAACTGCTGTAAGTCGCTGCAGAGACATGCACAAATTCAAAATTTAAATATTCCAGCTTCAAGTTAAAGATTGATAGGTTTTCTCCGCTTCTCTGGTTTGGTTAAGCTCTGTATAATTGGAGCCATCTTCGTTTCTATTGTCATTTTTTGCAGGCTGATTAACAGACAGTGACTGGTAATTTTCTTCTTTGTTCATTTTTGTGAGATCAAGTTCTTGATAAGTTTTATCAGCTTGAGGTTTTGGAGGTTCAGGGTTTGGTTGTTCAGGGTTATTAGAAATGAATTTACGACGAGAGCAAGAGACGATGTAGGAAAGGAAACATCCAATGACCACGCCCGAAATTAATTTCTGGATAAATTAATTTCTGGAAGCAAAATTTGGAATATATAATCTATGGACGCCAGAGCAGTCAAAATGTATTATCGTTAAGTAATCTACAAGAATATTATGATAGTTTACAATTTATTTGCTTTTGGAAAATCAAAAACTTCGAAAAATCGCGCCGCGTTGCCAAATCACGTCCGGTCTGTTTGGGCCTTTATCTGTTCGAGCGATCAAATTCGCCTAGAACCGGCTTTACGCGCGTTTTTTTAATAATGACTGTAATGTAACAAAAAATAAAACAAAGTTTGACAATGTTCGGTGGCAGTGCAACCGGAAAAATTGCCATGAGGGGAGAAGGCCCCCACTACCCTTCGACAGCACCATTGTTGCGGGTTGAAATACAATTTATTTGGCTATAGAGATCAGTCATTCCGGCAAAGAACAAGAACAACTAATGGGCGTAGACAAGGGCCAATCCCTATCAAATTATTGGAAAAACCATGTTTTTGGAAACGTAGAACTCCAGGTGGGAATAATACTATATAACAGTGATCATTATTTCCCCCCGCGCAGGAATGATGCCCGACTCTCTTTAATTACGACCGCCCCCTCGTCAGGGTCTAGGCTACGCCCTAGGGTTTAATACATGGAGAACTACTCAGAAAAGAAAAGAAGTTATTAATTGAATCAGCATTATTAATTGAATACTGCGACCTTTTTTTTTGCTGGAAAAAAATTATGCGAGGGAAACTTTACTAAAATATATTCCACCTTCACACGGCAATGAAACAAAGATGATGCCAAAAAAAATGAAAAAAATAAAGCTTTGTAAACATTCGAAATCTTTTTTATCTGCCTTTTCTTTTACATACTGTAATGTATGACAAAAATCACTCTCACGCGATGAGTTGTGGATATGAGAAATTCTAAATTGTTTATAGACCCATTGCCCTCCAAATGCTTTCTGGTCTTATGGAAGAGAATTATCGTACGAGTGCGGTGAAGGCTCATGTGGCTGAAATAAACCATTAACTAGAAGCAAATACAAGCTTTTTCACTAGTTAATTTATATTTCTTTAAATGTTTGATTAAATGTAATATTTCTTTAATGATTGTGTCTGTTCTAGGACTAAGCGTGCCCCAAGACAGACTAGCTCTTGATCTGCATGTTTGGTGTGACATGGTGTAATTTTTGGTGCGTTGTAGAGCATCTATATGGGAAGATGTTCGTTCTAATCCGTGAGACACGTCTACAGACTGTCACTAACGGCTTATTAGTCATGTATCAGTGACTACATCTAGTTAATCAAAGCACGTAATCTGGAGTAGCAAGACAGTAACGATCTCCTTCGAAAGTTGATCTCTAAACAACAAAATCAGTTGTGTATAATACAAGGCATAGACATAGTGGCTTAATTGGACACACGTAACAATTTACGACTAACCATTTACATGGTTTCCGGCGAAAAAGGCCCTTGTTAAGCAATATTACAAGGCTTAGCTAAGCTGGAAACTCCATTTTACTTCTAACATGAAGTTAAAGATTGATAATTGTTCCCCTCATCTCTGGATGTGTTCAGCTCCGTGTAAGTTGAGTTATCACATTCATCTCCAACTTTGTTTCTTGCAGCAGCATTCCCAGCCAACGATTGATAATTCTCTTCTGTGTTCATTTTTCTCAGATCCAGTTCTTGATAAGTTGAATCAACGCGAGATATTGTAGTTGGGGACTCTGGGCTTGATTGCGTTTTTCTACTTTGAATTTTTCGACGGGAATGATAGATAATGAAAGAGAAAATACATCCAATGATAAATCCGGTCAGCAATAAAACCAAAATAATATACCACGCAGCTGTTATCTCTGAAAATCAAAAAGGACGCAAATCTTGCCGTACTAAATAAATTTCACTATTACGGTAATTTAACTGGGGAAGAGAAGGTTGCCAATCATCAGATCAAATGATGAATGAATGTTCATGATCTCATGAAAATTTGCTGACAAAAGCCGTGTTTACACTGCAAGCCTGAGCCTGGCCTAGGCCAGGCTTTGGCCTAGATCTTCCTAGTGTAAACACACTTTGGCCTGGCCCAGGCCTGGCCTACGCCAGGAAATCTAGGCCCATCATAACAGGTGGCCTAGGCCAGGCCCAAGCCTGGCTTTTTGGCGGGAAAAGCAAATAAACATGGAATTTGAATTTGAACTGGACAGATGAGGAAACTGAAGCTTTGCTAAACCTTTGGGGTGAAGAAAATGTCCAGAACGGATTGGACAACTACAGTATTCGTAACAACGTGATTTATGGTAAACTTTCAGCTGCCTTGTCGGACTAGGGGATTTTACGTACTGCTAAACAGTGCAACAACAAACTAAAACATCTTCGGGAAAAATACAGAGAATATAAAGAATATAAAGTTTACACAAAGTAAAAAAACTTGTGAAGATCTAGGCCAAAGCCAGGCCTAGGCCAGGCTCAGGCTTGTAGTGTAAACACAAAGCTAAAGATAAGCATTCTTAGCACTTTTCAAAAGCTTTTTTGACTCTATATCAGAAAACGTTGTTGTATGTGACTATGAAACCGAAAATGCTGTACATTGCCTCATTTAATCAAAGTCGTGAAAATACGTATATTTACATCTGACGCTATTAGAAGTTTCATATTATTTATACATTACTTAATACCTTTGTATAGGTTCACATGCATGCAGCTAATTCATGGACTAGCTAATTCAATTATTTGAGGACTTTTGCCAGGAAATATCACAGAAATCTTCTTTAGGAGATGTATCATGTTACAACAAGCCTCCTGGGTGTTTGGAAGATGGTTATGCTATTGATTTTATCGTGATTTGTGACAAATAGAATTTTAATGTATATAGTTTCAAAACTTGCAACATATCTAGCAAAAATAAAAATAAAAATAAAAAATAATTAATGTATTAGCTAACATTACAGTGGTAAAAAACATGCATCTTAAAAATAGTCTTACTTTTAAGGCTTGTTTTTTCCATTTCCAGGAAATACAGTATATCTTTGAACAATTCATAGCATAAAGCCTGCATGCATATCTTCATCTTATACAATGCCAGTTCCTGTAAAAATTTGAAATATTTACCAGGGTGTACCACTTTTCAATTGCAATATGTGTGGGGGAGAGGAATCTAGATACCAGACCCAAGGTCACACAGTACAAATATCGGATTATATTAAAAACGCAAATAACAACATACTAAAATACGATTAAGCTATTTATAAGACAATAAGTCAGTCTTAAGCGTGCGATATTTACTATTTGTAAAATGGGACTTAGCATTATTTCATCAATAGCAGAATTTTGATTTTAGTTCGTAACGAATTTAGAGTACGTTCGGTTTACTATTAAATTGTAGCAATACTCAACAAAATTAATACCTTCCAATATTTGCTCGCATTCTTTGACCACAGTAGCGATTTGTTCAAGCAAACTTGTCGTTTCTTGATCCATATTAAAACGTATAAATTGAAAACAATCGATAAAATATCAGCGATCAGTGATTACGCGTTACACAACAGCGAAGAAAATTTGAAAAGGACGCGCTTCGTACCCACAATCTGCCTTTAGTTTAGGCTTTTAGCGTTCTTTCGTGGAACCGTGCGATCACGCGCGATGTGTCGCGCACGCGACGTTAGGTTGCAATCCATGATAATCAAATTCAAAATATCAATCTTTGACCTTCGCATTGTAAATCTTACTTTAAGTATATCAAATATTATTGTACATGGGTAGCGAATTAAGGTTGTGTTTTTAGTTCAATAACCAAGCACACCTATTAAAAGGCAAAATGTGACACATTTTTCTGATGATGAAATTTGTTTCTAAATAGCTTCTATATTGTAAAAATTGTTTGTACATAAGACTTAGCTAGATATAATTTATGAAGGAAGGCGGAAATTTGTTCATTGTAAATAATAATAATTCTATTGTATAGTGTTTTTTTAGTATACCCCATTTAGCTTTTGTTTTCTTATTATCTTCTTATTCCAAGAAATTATTTTCTTGAAACGAGGTCAGATAAGGCAAGCTTTCCTATTTTAAGAAATATTTGGGATATTGCTCAAGATTATTTTTCTCATATTGAGAATTTCAGAAGTTAAGATACTCTTTCTTATATGAAGAAACTATTTTCTCAATCTAAGAAAAAAATTTCCAATTCATAAGAATATAACTTCTTGTGTTAAAATCTGTAAATCTGTGGGCTGACGACTTTCTTATTTTAAGAAATTACTTTCTAATAAACGAGATTTTATATCCTAGAGTTATAAAAAAATTCTCAGTTTAAGAAAAATTTTCTTTACATAAGAAAAACATTCTTAAGATAAGATATATTTTCTCGATAAGAAAATGATTTTTTGCTGTGCGCGAAATGATTTGCTGTAAAGCTGTTAGCAGAAATCCCTAGAATAAAACTGCACAATGGGGATTTCTTCATTACATGCACTATGTTATGAATACGTCACCTTTTGCAGAAGCTTTTGACTTCGTATCAGGAATCTTCGTTGTTGGTAACTCTGTAAATTAAAATGCTGACATTGTGAGAGCATGCCTGGAAAATACTGTGATAGCTTTCCTGTATTCTAAAATATCTAAAACAGATTTAGCCTACATCCCTACTAAAAGTTTCACGCCTCTTCACGTCTTCACGTGACTTTCATCAGGCAAGTATACCTATGGGACTACAGGCTCAAATGCAATGATATATCTTACCAACAACAGACAAATTGAAGGCCTGTGAACTATTTCCAAATTGATTTGTTGCAATGCATTTGTAGGACCCAGCCTGACTGTATTTTAAAACTGTTATAATATACGTCTTGTGGGTACTGACGACCACAGTATCGTTATGGATTATGGTGTATCTTGGTAGAGGAACAGCAAGAGCTTCGCATGTTATTACAACTGATTCTCCAAGTAAAGTCTTTTTTGGAATTGATGTGAAACTTATAACTGTAGGTGGAATCGGATCTAAAAGGAGTATAATACTATACCACTATATGACCAGTTTCTTTTAGACAGAACTCGTACAATTCCGGAAAATCAGATTTGGCTTCTCTGAAATATATGAGTATGAATTAAGGTGATGTAAAAATAATCAGCAGGTGTCGACAAACAATTTTTCTTCTTGGCTTTAAGATCAGTGATAGTCAAACGCTCTATATAAATGGTCAGGTTATATTATATACATGGACATAAAAAACCCCCTAGCAAAAACTGCGTATAAACTTAAGCGCGTTGGCACTTACCTTCCAGGGAATCTACACATGCAGTAGTGAGTGGTTTAATACTATCTATAAGTCGAAGCACATCAGTACGATACTATAACTAACACAAAAATCCGAAAACTAGGCGCTGCCAGGTTAGTGTTTAGCAACCGAGAAAGGCCTGAGGTGCAAATGAAAATCATTTTCGCGTGCGATTGATTCCATAATAATTATTTGCATTTTGCTAACATCCCTGCAGTGACTGCATGAGTTCAACAGCAAACCTGGTTATAAACGATGCCTGTTTCTTTGAGGATTACGAAAGAACTTTATATTTTATAACCGCATGACGGAAAAAAAACAACTCCAAATTAGCTGCCGCATATATGCTTGAATTAATGACATGTGATAATATTTTGTTACCTGTTCCGTTATCACCAATGGTTGCTGTGGTTGCTGTGGTTGTTGATGGGTTCGTAGGTTTGGTCGTTGTTCCTTTTGCTATTTTTACAAAAATAAAATTTCCTTAAAGGCTTCTTTCCACTTACGCGTTTCTCATACGCGCGTACACGCACGTAAAAGTCGAAATCCTTATATGTCATATAGTGGAAAAGCTATATAAATATAGTGAATAAATCGAAACATATTTTAAGTATACATTTATGGACCCACGCATTAAATAATAAAAATTTAGAAGCATTTAAAATTTTCCGCGTAAAAAAACGCGTAAGTGGAAAGCAACCCTTAGTAGAATTTTTCCAAAAGAGGTATAATAAGGTATTGCTATCAAGCATTGGCCATTGGCATGTTGCTACATTTAGCACGCGACATTTAATATAACACGAGATAGTTGCAAATCTATAAAATTACATTGTTCAGTATACATAGTAGACTTTTTTGCTTTAATCATGACATATTAAATAATTCTCCATGCGAGTATGCGCGTGCACGACATTATGGGAAAAGCTTGGTTTCTATTTGTCTGTATTGTCGTGATAGGTCATTTTGATCGATCAGAAATAGTCCGGATGTTTACATTTGTTTTATTTCTATATTCTAATAAGCCATTATTGACTACGTAGAATTATTTCATCACATCAACCACCTTGACATGTTCACGACAATTTCGGCTAAATGGAAACCAGGTCTAACTGAAAGGAAAGCTTTGGTCTATAATTACATACAAAATTTAAAAAAAATTCAACCTTACCTACTACGGTTAAATTGGCAGACCCTGAATGACTCCCAAGTTTATTCCTTGCATTGCATGTATATATCCCAGCATGTTTCCACTCTACTTCTGGGATCTTGTATGGTCCTCCTGAACTGACCAGAGAACCATTATGGAATATGGAATAAACTGGTTCAGGAAGACCATTTGATACACATGATACGACAAGTGGTTTACCAAGAACAGCCTCTTCTGTTTCGAACATGACAGATGTAACATTTGGTTTATCTGTTAAAAGTTAAAACAAAACCTCTCAGCTATGAATAACAGCACGTACAGGGGCGGACTGGCCTATATATACATGATTTACCGGGAAAACTAAACTAGGGATCCAAGGATAGTGCAAAGTTTTCATGCCCTGTAATACCTAAGCAACCAGACGTTTGTCCCAGCATAAACATTTGACTTATGCCAGTAAAAATATAAAAATCAAAAGGAAATTACTCAAAGTACTCAAGTTACGTTAGCCGCGGATACTCAATACTGTCACTATTAAATTATAATTTTAGTTGCCCATGTAAACCGGCCTAACCGGACGCGATTTTCTCAGTTTAGTCTCTTTTCTTCGTCAAACAACTGTGACAACATTCACTACATTTATATGATGGCAACAATTTATCCGTCACTTCATAAGAATAGTCAAAATAGTTGCATTGTAAATAATGTAAATAAACCGCGGTGCATATATTATGTCTATGATGTGGATACTTCGACGCGTAAATCGATACAAAACATATATACTTATAATCAATACTGTATAATGCCAAAATGATTTGATCACTGCAGAAAATGTCCGTTTTGTATAGTATCATTTATGTACTGTATGCAGAATATCAGGACGGACTTGCTATCGACATAATATATATTCGTGTAAGAGATCTATCAAATTATCAATACTTAATATACAATCTTCGTGCATTGGCCTAAATCTACTCACGCGATTGGTCAAAATCAATCACGTGGTTTCTTGTTGCCTGGCGACAGATCATGAAAATCGTGGTTTATTCGCAATAACCCACGAAAATCGTGGTTTATTCGCAATAACCCATGAAAATCGTGGTTTATTCAAAAATGACAGCCTGCAGCGAAGCTTAAATCTTCAATGCAGCAATCAATGAACTCAGATTGTATATTAAAAGTGTTAGAGACTTTATGTTCGTGTTTTGTTTACAAATAAACGCACTTGCTGACCATACAATGAACTCGAAATGTCAATATTGCACTCGGCCTACGGCCTCGTGCAATATTGAAATTTCTCGTTCATTGTATGGTCAGCGCGTGCGTTTATTTGTCAACAAAACACTCACAACAGTCTCTAACCCTTAAATAAACAACACAGCGTCATTTCTTCCTAACCTCTTCGCTCTATTTATGGAATAAACCTTCCAAATTATATTTGTGTTGAATTGAATGCTCGTAATTCATAACATAAGTTGATAAATTGCGTAGATTCTCAAAGAATTGCTCGATTTTCACGCCCGGAATGTTTTGAAGCAATGCTCGTCGCTCCTGGTTTCTTTACATCGTGGAATAATGTTTAAGTCTCGACGGCACATGCGCAGTTGCGACGTATAAGAAAAATCGGGTGTTCCGGGGGGAAATTCTGCGCATATCCTTTAAAACAAAACCGAAACCGCGGAAAAGCAATGCTTCAAAATTTACGGTAACCGTCAAAATTCCTCAATATTTTGGTGAACTTTGCAAAAGGGATATAGTGCATTAATACATAAAGCAATTTAAACTAATTTAAAAACTTTAAATTACTGATCATCATCATATACACAAAAAGTTACCATACGCATAAATATATCTACCCCCCGTAAAGTTTACACTATGACTGACTGTCTGACTGACTGACTCGTTTGAATTTTCGCCATCCATCACAATACTGCAAAGTTTCTCAAACTTTGCACTAAAAAGGGGGCGCCATTTTTAACTCTGACATGAGCAACAGTTATTGAAAATGCGTGGCTGCCATGTTGCGTTACATGATTTATATCAGATTATCTTTCCTGTGTTTCAATGGTTTTATCATTTCCTCCATAATTTTCTCCAAAATGGGGCGCCAAACGGCATGTAAACCAGGGGCGCACCGGGAAATTTCCCGGTGTCCCTGTGGGCCAGTCCGCCCCTGAGCACGTACATACATGCAGTAAAAAGACTCATATTAACTGGATGCATTTTTTTATACTTTTGCCATTTGCCGTATAGAGTACCTGCATGTTGATTACAAAAGTAAACTCTAACCCTAACTTCGCGGGTTATACAAAATATCAGGAAATAACACATTTAAAAGGAGACGCTCTTTGAATAAAACACGAGCGTCGACCTCGGGGAATGGGTATATCGGGGAATATTCTGTATATAGTTTTCAAATTCTGCCGGGGTGTAAAGTTTTACTAGTAATCGACATTCTATATTTGCGCCTTTTTATAAAGTAAATTTGTATAAATATGTTTATATTATTCTGAATACCTAGTGATGGATTCCGTTTTTCCCAGCAGTGAAATTTAAATGAAATCAAATTTGCTGGTCATGCGTAAGCGACACCTGTTTCAATGTGGTTCACAAAATCAAAGAAAAAAGATGACATAAAAATGATATAAAAAACTGAAAATACTGTATACTTACAATTTAGTATTACCATTACTTCAATTGATTTGTTATTTGACAAAGTGTGACTTCGGGCCACACATTTATAGGTTCCACTGTCCTTTCCACTAACATTTTTAAGAATGAGTGTTTGCTCATCGTACCCATGAACTAACTGTACTTCATCTTCATTATACCAAGTGACACTGGCTGGAGGGTTACCATTTTCAGCTCTGCATGAACATGCGAAGTTGCTTTCTTCATATAGATTGACCGGACTGGAACAATTCAGTCTCGCTGTTGGACTTTCTGAAATATCGGAAAACCAGCTAGTTGAAATGCTGAGAAAGGATTTAAAACTATATTCAATTTTATGTTAACAAACACTTTTCTACTTCAACACTCAATGTCTTATAGGATTCGTGTAAGCCCCGTTTTACACTACACTTAATTGCACGGCTAAATTTGGTATAAGCGTACCACTTCAACCGTATCGTAGTGAACTGTAGCGTATTTCTTTATTTCAAAGTCATTAGTTTGAGTGGACAGGAAAGAATGATATACGTTAAGTGTCGCTACGATATCGTTGAGGTGGAAACAGGCCTAATTTATCCGTGCTCGGACTACTAATAATAGTAATTATTATATACCCAAGCGCCAGATATGAGGTATGCTGCAATTTCATTTGTTGGCTACTAGACAGATATTAGCTCATATCTGTCTAGTAGAGAAAGTAAACAAAATGGCTGAAAGATTTGGGGAGTAGTTGAGTGAAATAGAAATCCAAGCTTTATTTGATAATAGCACACCAAAATGCACCGAAATGGCGACAAAGTTTGTGTATATAATAAAACTACGTGCCTCGTCGGCTATCAGCTCATATACGACTCGAGTTCACAGAATAACTGTTAAATACAATGCATGGTCGAGCACAGATGAACTTGGTAGGGGTACAGTGGCGTAGCCAGCCTTACGATTTTGTCCCGCTATGTAAATTTTGAGTTATTGTAATTATTCATGTCTTTAGAAATGTATTGTTTTCACAGTCAGTGAACACCAAAATATTAGCATAGCGGGACAAATCGACAGGCTGGCTACGCTACTGTAGGGGTATCGATTTGTATATACAACTTGATTATGCAATAATTTCATGGAGCAGCTGTCAACAATTGCAAGATGAAGGAAAATAAATATATTTAATTTGCCTTCGCGGAAAAGCAATGCCAATGGCAATGAACGGCTGAGAATCACAGGGCTGTATTTCACCAAAATTGTCGTCAGGCTTATATTATAATTATAGTCATACATAGTTATTTGCATTATTCAGAATAAGTTAATAGGGATTGAAACATTTCGTTTAGGTTTATATTTCAGTTACTGGCTGGGACTAAAAAAGCAATGACATTGTCAATATTGTAAAATTGTATATATATATATATATATATATATATATATATATATATATATATATATATATATATATATATATATATATATATATATTATATGTGTATAGAGATTTATGCACAGCAGAATGATGAAATAAAAATCGTATTTATTTAGGGATTGAAACATTTCGTTTAGGTTTATATTTCAGTTACTGGCTGGGACTAAAAAAGCAATGACATTGTCAATATTGTAAAATTGTATATATAATATATATATATATATATATTATATATATATATATATATATTATATGTGTATAGAGATTTATGCACAGCAGAATGATGAAATAAAAATCGTATTTCACTGTGTAAATTAATTTCATGCAATTTGATTGGACGTACGATGTTTTTCACGTGTGAAAAAATGCCATACACGGCTTTTGATTGGACGTACGATATTCTTCACACGTAAAAAATTGTCTCTATACACATTTAATAAACAAATTACTTCATGGTTGGCTCATTTGTACGATTTTTATTATGCACTCGTTGCGAAGGATCGCAAACTCACTCGTTCGCTGCGCTCACTCGTTCGTATTGCGATCCTTCACAACTCGTGCATAAAAATCGTACGTACTCGCCAACCAGAAAGTAATCTCTCTCTCTCTCTTTCTCTCTCTCTCTCTCTCTCTATATATATATATATTACCTTACCTTCAATGAATACAGCGACTTCAGACCTTTCAAAGTTAACAACACCAATTACTTTAAGAACCAACTTATATGTTCCATTATAGTTTTGATCAACTTTAGTTAATACCAATGTTGCTGGATCTTCCACGGTAACACGAGTTAAGCTGCTGCTTAGTAATTGAGCTTTACTATTAGGAAATTTTGCAGCAAGAAGCTCTTGAGATGAACCATCACCAGGTTCAAAATACCATTCAAGAGTAGACTTAGTTGGATCATCAGTAAATGTCCAATTTATTGACACAGTTGATCCAGGTAACACAACCAAACTGTTTCCGCCTGGTGGTAGATTGATTTTTCCTACAAAAATAGTTAATGTTTTCAATACAATGAAAAATCGTAACATTCAAATCATTCCATTTTATTAATTTACTCCTATTTCGCTATTTGTTAATATACAGGGTGTCTTAAACATGTACATGTTAAGCTGTATAATGTATAAGTTGCATTAAAATACCCAAGGGCTAAAACTCATGAACACAGCAGTCAAATTTTAACACTGGGTGATTTCGATAGTTTTCGGTTTTTTTGAGACACCCTGTAGTTCGTTAAAAAGGTACTCCAATATCACGGTTGTGCAGTGGCGTAGCCAGCCTGACGATTTTGTCCCGCTATGTAAATTTCATGTTATTATAATTATTCATTATAATTATTAAAAATTTATTGTTTTTCACAGTCAATGAACACCAAACATTAGCATAGCGGGACAAATCGTCAGGCTGGCTACGCTGGTTGTACACAAGTGGAGAACTGATTACTGATACGCGCTTTTAAATAAAGCAATTATGCACGCACATAGGCAAAGTAAGGGAAGACTAAAAAATTTACCTTCACATTGAAATGAGAGGAAAACTAGACCAAAAAATGGAGTTAACGTTAAACCATAGCTGGCCATCTCATGGAAACTCTGGACAGAAAAGAAATCTATTGATGAGGAATTAATACATAATATTAATACATGAGAAGTTATCAACATGCACAATTGGCGGTGCGAAACCTATATAAGCATACTATAGTTGTGAAGTATCGCCTAATGCAACTATGCAAGCCGGTTAAGGACGGCCTAAAACTCTAAACACCCTTTTTGCTAAACTCGTTCAATCACAATGATCTTAGATTGTTCTCTTCAAATCATGAATTGCCATACTTAGTGGAAACTGTTTTAGATGAATCCCCATAAATTTTATAATGTGAGAAGCAACGGAACTTTGAAGTGTGACGTGATTGACGTGAACCGTGATTTGACGTGAATCGGTAAGGTAGATTTTCATATGTACAGTATAGACAGTATTGAATCATCGAACGTATACCATAAGATTATAAGCGCGCGTTCGAAAGTGTCATGTTCGGCTATTATTGTAGCACTACAAGAGCACGATCTAGCCTAATCAACTTCATTCAAGCTGGTTGTTATATTTGTTTGGTATCGCCTCACTACTCAGTTTGAAAACGATTTCTTTACGCCATATGATCATGAATATATGACCCACACTATCGCGCCAAGATTCGAGCCTAATAAAACGTGTATTACTGAACCATTGACTCCGTCAAAGACAAAGTATGAAATTTGCTTAGGAATTGAAACGTCAATAATTTACGTATATACAAGCACAAAATTTAGCATATCTGTACCTCTATGTTTGCAAATTTCCTCATAACCATTATTTTTCAGTTCATAGTAAATGCACACGTATACACATACCTGTTATGACTCCAGTAGGATATTTTACCATGCACCTTGATATCTATATAGTTGTGTTCATGATTTGTACATAACAATGTTCTTCCGCCTTCAAAATATTATCGCAATGCTTCCGCCTCCTCATGAGTGATGCAAATAAATGCATGTGGCTGCCTCGTGTGCATGCATAGTGTCATAGGCTATATTTATGCATAATTTGACTTTACATAAAGAACTAGATTTCATTAATTTCTTTCCTCAACTCTACCGCTTTTACCTTTAAAAATATTGTGTACCTTGATATGGATGAAATATGAAACCGATATTTCGGCTGGTGTTAAATTCATCAAATATTTTTATAACTTTCTTGAATTTCATAAACGGCGGGACAATTTTGAGAAATTTAAGCGAGTCTTTCGCGCATGGATCCATAACGGAAACATTTGGTTTTCTTTTTAATCCAAGGATGTGCATGGCCAAGAAATAATTAAAGGGACGGTTTAAATTAAGATCGATAAGACTAACGAGCGAAATCGTGAAGCTATATAGTTCTAGTCTAGTTCTATCCCGATAGGAATGAGTGCTGCCATGCATACATCAGAAACGTCGCTTTACGCTACGAGACTTAATTTCATATTGACAGTAGGTGTACCAGAGCAGCGGGTGTGAGGTAAACACGAATTGCGAATATGCAAATCATCGTAGCATTACAGGATATTTCGTTTACGTCAAGTTAACATAAAGTTTACAAAATTTGTTAACTTCGTCGTTTAAATTCTAAGTGACAAAGGTTTGATTTCTTTGCGTGCCTTTATTCTAACGATAACTAGATAAGAACTTGTTCGTGTCCGAACGAAGATCCGAACTATTCTATCCTGGCGAATGCGAAGTATAAAGGGTACTGCGGTGTGCAGCCAGGAGCTACAATTAACATGAATATAGTTAAACATTGAAGAAACTTCTCGCTTTGTTTTGTATATCTCGTCTTCGCTGCAGTTTAGGAGCTCCAGTAACTGCTGTAAGTCGCTGCAGAGACATGCACCAATTCAAAATTTAAATATTCCAGCTTCAAGTTAAAGATTGATAGGTTTTCTCCGGTTCTCTGGTTTGGCTAAGCTCTGCATAATTTGAATCATCTTCGTTTCTATTGTCATTTTTTGCAGGCTGATTCACAGTCAGTGACTGGTAATTTTCTTCTTTGTTCATTTTTGTGAGATCAAGTTCTTGATAAGTTTTATCAACCTCAGGGTTTGGTTGTTTAGGGTATTTAGAAATGAATTTACGACGAGACCATGAGACGATGTAGGAAAGGAGACATCCAATGACCACGCCCGAAATTAATGAAACGACGATATGCCATACTACAATATTATCACCTACATCACGGTCTTCTTTCTTAGAAGATGTGGCCTCTCCTAAAACCAAGTTGAGTTTCAAAATCAACTAACTTTTATGAAAAGAAATTGAGATATCATCGGAAATGTAAGGTTTTACATCAAACTTCCATCAAAGAATGTGTGGACAGTTTAAGTCCAATATCTATTATACAAGTGTTATGAACTCCTAGTTTAAACGTTGCAAAAATAACGGGTCAATAGTGTCCCAGTTTAAACTAATCTTACCTAAGACGGTCAGGCAATAACACTTTGAATTACTGCCAAGTTTGTTCTTCGCAATACATTGGTATAATCCACTATCTCGCCACTGCACTTGTGGTATGTTGTATGTCTTTTCTGCAATAATCTCGGATTCATTGTGAGTTATAATGAAACTTGGTTCAGGCTGACCTTCTGATTCACAGGTAATGTTTATTGCTTCACCAATTTCAGCTTTTCTTTGTGATGACGTAATGTTTATCTTCCGAGGTCGAACTAGAAAGCAAAAAACATTTTAATGCTCAAAGTAAGGAAAGAATAGATCATTTTCTCAATGGATAAATGCCTTAAACAAACACACTTCCTTTCGATTATAGACTATAAATGAATGAATGAACTGTCTCAATGTTGATATCCATCATTAGCGTAACGTTGGTTTAACGTGTTTCGACGTTGGACGAACGTTAGTTGAAAGTTACACTAACGTCGGGTTCTATCTAACGCCTGGGTCAGCCTCGTACCCAGGCGCTTTAATAGTAAAATATATAACGTTGCATTCAGTTATTGTACAGAGATCAGCTGAAAAAAGGCAAGCGCGCGAGGGTGCTAGGGCTCTATACAATAACTAAATGCAACGTTATATATTTTACTATTTAAGCGCCTGGGTACGAGGCTGCGCCTGAGTTATCTGAACGTTGGGTCGAACGTTCAAGGCACGTTGTATTAGCGTCAGGATGTAAAGTTATCCGGGTGTAAAGTAACCACAGTGCGAGTTACAAAAAAAGGATGAACCAACGTCAAGAAATAACGTTAGGCGAACGTTAATATACATCCTCTGTGTATTGACGTAGATATTAAACTTATTCACTTCCCGAACTTATACAATGCTGTGAAGTGATTCCTGCTAACTCAATTATAATTGAGTTTATACTTACAGTTGAGTCGAACATCTACTTGGACTGTTTTTTCATCTATATAACTATCATCTGAAAAACTTTCAGTCACACACTTGTAACTTCCACTGTCTGTTCCATCAACGTTAGTTAGATTTAATGTGTTTTCTCCAATTTTTTTCTCACCAATCTGTTTGATATTCTTATCAAACCACACAACACTTGCTGGAGGGTTGCCATTATCAGCTCGACAGACACATGAACCATCTTCACCCTCGTTTATTATCAAGGGACTGCAACAGACAGTCACAGTTGGCTTTTCTTAAATGAAATAATATAAAGTAAAAATATCGCTTGAAGTTGAGTGCAGGTGTAGGGTGGTATGTAATCATTTTCAGTCCTTATATTATATTTAAAGATATTCACACACCAAACAAGGTGGCGAATGATAAAAGTTTAGTCTTCATTCAGGCACAGGATGCGTCTCAACTATATTTACACATGATACAGCATAAATGATAAATAAAAAACATGATTGTTTCGTTAAATTAAAATTAAAAATATTAAGATGGATTCTCAATGGTTTTCTCCTCTTCCTTCTTCCCTAGGTAAATTTCCAATTCAAATTAAATACCTTAATAACAACGCTTTTGCGTACTTATTTCTAAAGAATACTTTTACAAAAAAATCTACCGATATGATTGCAAGTTATAGAGCTGTGGTAATATATTCTGACCTACCCTGGATCCGCCATTGGTTTGAGCAGCCCTGTTGTATCAGTAGTTACAACCGGCATTGATTAAATAAATCTTTTTCATCGAATTTTAGTCATGAGATCATTATTTATGTGTTAAGTAACTGTATAGCTACTTGTATACAAAACTGTGTCAATATATAATCGGCAGCATAAATCTAAAAGGGTTTCAAATATTAGATTTTTGAAGCTCGTATTTCATTCCTAAATAGAGTAAATTTAATTATATATAAATATTATTAAGTGTATTACTAACAAGCGCTTTAGAAACTTACCTGCAATTAATACATGGACTAAAGACTTTGCATTGTTGGACACACCAGCTACTTTAGTAACAAACTTATATGTTCCATTATAGTTTTGATCAACATTAGTTAATACCAATGTCCCTGAATCTTTCACGGTAACACGAGTTAAGCTGCTGCTGGTTTCTAATTGAGCTTTACTACGAGGATATTTTACAGCAAGAAGCTCTTGAAATGAACCATCACCAGGTATGAAATACCATTCAAGAGTAGACCTAGTTGGATCATCAGTAAATGTCCAGTTTATTGACACAGTTGACCCAGGCAACACAACCAAACTGTTTCCGCCAGGTGGTGGATTGATTTTTCCTACAAAAATAGTTAATGTTTTCAATACAATGAAAAATCGTAACATTCAAATCATTCCATTTTATAAATTTACTCTATTTTGTTAATATAGTTCGTTAAAAAATTACTTCAATATCACGGTTGTACACAAGTGGAGAACTGATTACTGATACTCGCTTTTAAATAAAGCATTAATTTTGGCGCACGCACATAGGCAAAGTAAGGAAAGACAAAAAAAATTACCTTCACATTGAAATGACAGAAAAACTAGACCAAAAAAAGGAACTAAACCATAGCTGGCCATCTTATGGAAACTCTGGACAGAAAAGAATTCTATTGATTAGGAATTTATACATAATATAAGGCATGTTTATCACTGAGAAGTCATCAACACAATTAGTGGCGTGAAACCTATATAAGCATACTATAGTCGTGAAAGTATCGCCGAATGCAAGTCGGTTAAGGACGGCCTAAAACTCTCAACAACCTTTTTGCTACACTCGTTTAATCGCAATGATCTAAGATTGTTCTCTTCAAATCATGAATTGCCATACTTAGTGGAAACTGGTTTAGATGAATCTCCATAAATTTTATAATGTGAGAAGCAGCGGAACTTTGAAGTTTGACGTGGGTGACTTGAACCGTGATTTGACGTGAATCGGTAAGGTAGATTTTCATATGTAAAGTATAGACAGTATTAAATCATCGAACGTATACCATAAGATCATGAGCGCGCGTTTGGAAGTGTCATGTTCGGCTATTATTGTAGCATTATACAAGAGCACGATCTAGCCTTATTTAATAACTTCATTCAAGCTGGTAGTTTATTTGTTTGGTATCGCCTCACTACTCAGTTTGAAAACGATTTCTTTACACCATATGATCATGAATATATGACACACACTATCGCGCCAAGATTCGAGCATGATAAAACGTGTAATACTGAACCATTGACTCGTCAAAGTATGAAATTTGCTTAGGAATTGAAACGTTAATAATTTACGTATACACAAGCACAAAATCTAGCATATCAGTACCACTACGTTTGCAAATTTCCTCATAACGAATATTTTTTAGTTAATCGTAAATGTACAGGTATACACATACATGTTATTATGACTCCAGTAGGATATTTCACCATGCAACTTGATATTTATGTTGTGTTCATGATTTGTGGGAATGTTTCTTCCGCCTTCAAAATATTATTGCAATGCTTCCGCCTCTTCATGAGTGATGCAAATAAATGCATGTGGCTGTCTCGTGTGCATGCATAGTGTTATATTTATGCATAATTTGACTTTACATAAAGAACTAGATTTCATTACTGATTTCTTTCTTCAACTCTACCGCTTTTACCTTTAGAAATATTGTGTACCTTGATATGGATGCAATATGAAACTGATATTTTTTATAACTTCCTTGAACTTCATAAAGCGGGATAATTTTGAGAAATTTAATCACGGAAACATTTGGTTTTTCTTTTAATCCAAGGATGGACACGGTCAAGAAATAATTAAAGGGGCAGTTTAAATTAAGATCGATAAGGCTAACGAGCGAAATCGTGAAGCTAGTTCTAGCCTAGTTTAGTATCCTGATAGGAATAAGTGCTGCCATATATAAGAAACGTCGCTTTATGCTCTGGGGAGATGTAATGTAGAATATAATTTTCATTGTATGTATTCTTGGTAAGTTACAATTATGATTTTTTTTGGGGGGGGGGGTGGTGGGAAATGTCTGCTACATGAATAATTGAATGAAGTGAGAACGTTCTAATCATTCATTACTCATGGACGACTCCGTTAATGATTACTGAGAACTGTACTCATTTGCTATAGTGTCACACTGAGAATTACACTGAGAATTTTACAGTTGAAGAAACTTCTCACTTTGTTTTGTATACCTCTTCTTCGCTGCAGTTTAGGAGCTCCAGTAACTGCTGTGAGTCGCTGCAGAGACATGTACAAATTCAAAATTTAAATATTCCAGCTTCAAGTTAAAGATTGATAGGTTTTCTCCGGTTCTCTGGTTTGGCTAAGTTCTGTATAATTTAAATCATCTTCGTTTCTATTGTCATTTTTTGCAGGCTGATTAACAGTCAGTGACTGGTAATTTTCTTCTTTGTTCATTTTTGTGAAATCAAGTTCCTGGTACGTTTTATTAACCTCAGCTTTTGGAGGTTCAGGGTTTGATTGTCGTGGCTTACGACGAGAACATGAGACGATGTAGGAAAGGAGACATCCAATGACCACGCCCGAAATTGATGAAACCACGATATGCCATACTACAACAGTATCGCCCGTATCACGGTCTTCTTTCTTGGAAGATGTGGCCTCTCCTAAAATCAAGTTGAGTTTCAAAATCAAACAACTTTCATGTTAAGAAATTGAAAGGATACTATCGGAAATGTTAGATTTTACATCAAATTCCATCAAAGAATGTGTGGACAGTTTAAGTCTAATATCTATTATACAAAGTGTTAAGCACCTAGTTTAACGTGGCAAAAATAGTGGGTCAACAGTGGCCCTTTCAAAACTAATCTTACCTAAGACGGTCAGGCAATAACACTTTGAATTACTGCCAAGTTTGTTCTTCGCAATACATTGGTATAATCCACTATCTCTCCACTTCACTTGTGGTATGTTGTATGTACTTTCAGCAATAATCTCGGATTCATTGTGAGTTACAATAAAGCTGGGTTCAGGCTGACCTATTGATTCACAGGTTATGTTTATTGCTTCGCCAATTTTAGCTTTTCTTTGTGAGGATGTAATGTTTATCTTCCGAGGTGGAACTAGAAAGCAAAAAACATTTTAATGATGAAAGTAAGGAAAGTGTAGATAATTTCTCAATGGATAAATGCCTTAAATAAACACAACTTCCTTCCGATTCTAGATTATAAATGAATGAATGAAATCTGGTATCGGTAGTCCCCCCCTGGCTCGCTCATGCTAAGTAATATGTACATTAAAAAGATATGCATATAGCCTACAATTAACTACAATTCCAAGTGCTTTTCTATCTTGGTAATCTTCATTTGGATAGCTTTCAGCCAAACACTTGTAGATCCCTCTGTCTGTATTATCAACATCTCTGAGAGTCAATAATTCATTTTTCTTTCTTGTTTTACTAATCTTCTTGTCGTCTTTATACCAGCTGACATAAGCTGGTGGATTTCCATTTTCACTTTTACACAAACAGCTGAAGTCATCACCTTCACTTAGCGTGGTGGTACTAGAGCAGTTTAGTGTCGCTGTTGGCTTTTCTGGAATGAAATTTTGAACCGTGTCATTGCTGGCTTTAGTGCATGAAGAACAAATGCAAATGTTGTTTTGACATGAAGCAAAACGTGACAAATTGATACACTCCGTTCACATATTGACAAACCGTTCAAATATAGGAGATCGTATGCATTGAAACAATTCAACAATATTTCGATAAAGTTCCTCTTTATAAATACTTACCGGCAATAAAAATGTTAACATAAGAAGTGATAAAGGTTCCATCAACTAAAATAAGCTCAAATTCATATTTTCCATTAAAACTTTCATCAACTTTCTTAAAAATTAATGTTGCTGGTTTAATAACACTAGCTCCTGGTAAAGTTTGGTTGAATATTTTAATTTCACCAGATCTAAATATGAAAGCAATCGTTCTCTTTCCTGTAGTGTTTCTACGTGTAAAAATCCAGCTCACGCGATGAGCTGTGCCATTGTATGTCCACTTTATTTCTTTAGGTAATCCATCTGGCAAAAGCGTCAAGTTGGTTCCACTAGGTGGATAAATTGCAGCTCCTAAATAATAAAATTAAAAATTAACGAGTGAGTAGTTACGAATGCTCTGATTATAAGAGAACTTATTTGTTCCTGTATAACTGGCTTTCATAATTTGCATCTTTGAAGGTTCTAAAATGGACCTAACTTTATCGTGGTGAATTAAAGCCTCTGCCACTCACACTACGGACAATTTTGGGTTTGTAGTACGGGTAAAATGCATGGTACGGATAAAGTTTGGACCATCTAGCCTATTTAGCTAGCCCAACTTTCAACGACGTATGGCGCAAAGAGCATGCAGGGAAAGCTGCACATTGGGTGTGCACTGCACATACCTTTCAATGGAATATATAAAAAGACAAAACAAAATAAAACGAGACAAGAATGAGTCATCTTTCATAATCAACCTATGTAAAAAGAAATGTGATAAATCTTCTACATATTGATAAATTTATCTGTTTTTAAAGAATTATTTGTGTGTGCATTTGGATTTGCGAAGTTGGACATGCATAATGCACATAAAGAAATATCAAATAATAAGCAACACCAATATTATGAATAATATCGGTCATTTCACAATACTGAGTATATCATAAGGCTGTATGGTTATGAGACTTGGAAAATTATATGAATCATGGGCTGTTATCGCATTCATTTCTTATTTCTACAAACCCTTTGGAAAGGCTTCATGTCATTTCAACTGATGTAAATCACATGCAGACAAGTCAAGGAATAAGTATTTTCGAGCTGCATGTCTCAACAAATTTAAGCCCTATTCATCACACTAAGCAAACGATCATTCTGGCCCGGCTCAGAGGTTAGTTTTCCAACATTCTGGCCGAGCAATTAGTCATATAATTGTTCCATTTTAAAGCAACCAAAATCTTTATTTGAATTGAATAATTTCTACAAGTGAACCCACTTCACGATCTCGATATGTACCAATACGCATAATAATAGCTATATCTACAGTGAAAGCTCTCCTTTCATCGTACATATGAAGTGTGAATTGACGGCTAACGTAGCATACACGAGTGGATGCCAAATTATGATGAGATAGCCATACACGATGAAATGATACCAAGTATTTCTTTCCGTGAACTATATTATTAATTAAATTACTATAGCAAGATATACCTGGCAATACGCGTTTAGCGTGTCAATTTTCTGTACAGCTTAATTTCTTGATACTGCATGCACACTGATAAAGCTATATACTGAAAGTAGGTATATCAAATATATCTGCAGTCCTGAACAGAATATATACCTTAGTATACTTCAATCGACGTCTCCTCCCTTCAATCGAAAAATTCTACATCGTACGGCATGCTATTTACAAGACGTTAATTTCACTGAATAAACAATAAGCTTTGGTGAAAGAAGTAACCGGTGCATGTCCACAGAATTAACTGGGCGAGCAGCGGGTTGTGCTCACGAACGAGAACTTTCCATTGCGATAAAATTATTTTAAAGATGTCTACCATAAGTATCAACCGTGTATTGGTATATACTTTTGCCTTTGTACACAATGCTTCAGCTTGATATCAGCTTTAGTAGATAATAGCAACATAAATTTTAAATTTGTCAGGCATGCAAATACAAGCACTTCTTTTGTTGCACAAAGTCTAAGAGACCAAATATATTTCATAGTTTATATATAGCTACCTGTTCATCAGTTCAAGCAGGTTCAATTCCTGTGAAATAAGCCACTAAACGCCATATTCATATTGACTATGTTGGTCTATGTTGGTCATTGGTCGACACTCACAGTGTATATAGTTCTTCCGCCTTTGTTATAGTATAGAGTTTCAGTCTCAGACTTCGAACATTTCATGTGCCGAGTCGAATGCAAATAAATTTAAACAAAGACTTTAGTTCATTAGCATCAGGTTCTGCATGAAACAAGCTTTATAATCAGCGCTGTACTTTTTGAGTATATATACTTGTAAAATCTTTGTAAACAAAATGCGAAATATTAAGCGTAATTTTAAAATTATAACTTGTAAAAATCGCTACAATTCGTAACGCAAATATATTTTATGTGTTTTGCAAATTATCAAGACTCTGGTGTGAGGTCGACATTATCTACAGCCAAGATAAAAATGTTTCTCAATTCTGGGGGCTATACCCAATTGTAAATCAACTAGGGTGTGGGTTTGTTCCGTCTTGAGAAGGACGATTACAGATTTTTGTGTGACAGATTTTATGTGAAAGAGCGAGTTAAGTCGCAGATCAACAGCGTTGTCAGGATTTCTTTTCCAAAGTTCAAGTCAAAGATTGATAGTTTTCCTCTATATCTCTGGTTTTACTCAGCTCAGTGTAAGTTGAGTCATCTTCTCTTACACTTTCATTACTTGCTGCAGCGCCGGGAACCGCTGTCAATGTCTGATAATTCTCTCCTGTGTTCATTTTTGTAAGATCTAATTCCTGATAAGTTTTATCAACTTGAGATTTTGGACTTTCACGGTTTGGTTGAGGCTTCCTACTTCCGAATTTACAACGAAAGTAGAAAACAGTGCAGGTTATGAGAATTCCTATGATGAATGTGGTCACGGATGATACCAAAACGATGTACCATTCAGTTCCACTTTTGCAAATCTGGGATCCCTTAAATTCTGGTTTCTCTGCAAGAAATTAGAAGTGCATGTTCACAACAGCAACGGTTCCACTGATTCTAATATTAAACAAATTTCAGTATCCAATGTCATCCTGTATAGCCCAAACATAATGAACCAATCTGTACGAATTAATGCATGATAACCAACACTTACCTGTTCCGACACCTTTTGAACTTGGAGTATTTGTTTTTCGTATTTCTGGAATAGAAATGACATTGTACATTCTTCTTTATCAAATAAACTAACATGTAATTTTATCACGAATCTTACCGACGACAGACAAATTAAAAGCCTTTGAACTTTTTCCTAGTTGATTTATAGCAATACATTCATATGAGCCAGCATCGTTGTATTTCAAAAGCGTTATAATATACGTCTTGCGAGTACTGACGACTTTAGTATCATTATGAATTATTGTATAACTTGGTAAGGGAACAGCTATAGCTTCACATGTTATTACAACTGATTCACCAATTACAACATCTTCTGGGGTAGTCGTAAGACTTATAACTGCAGGTAAAACTGGGTCTGCAATGAAAACAAACTTATTGAATTATATGAATAGATGAATATTCCTTATTAACAAGTTTTCTTTCACTTACAATATACCATTACTTCAATTGATTTTTCGTCTGTTAAGGTGTAGCTTCGGGCTATGCATTTGTATATTGCACTATCTTCTTTAACGACATTGTTTAGATTTAATAATTGTCTATTTTTTTCCGATTCAGCGATCTGGACGCTATCTTTATACCATGTCACGTTAGCTGGAGGATTACCACCTTTTGCCTGGCAGATACATGTGATATTATCACCCTCAATTGTTACGATTGGGCTGGAACAACTAAGTGTTACTGCTGGCTTTTCTAAAATGTATTGAACGCAAGCAAATCAGTAAATCTACAATATTGATTAGTATAATTTGGCTTTCACTGGTAAACGATCATGTCACCACATTGAGAACTAAGACAGAGACTATACGCTATGAAATGTTATGAAATGCATGATCCCTGCCTGCAATGAAAACCCTGACTTCAGAATATATAGAACTTTTAACCAAAAACTTGTAGAATCCTTGGTAGCTTTTATTTACGTTGTACAGAACCAATGTTGCTGGCTTTATAATGCTAAAACTGGGTATGACATCCTCTCTTGTTGAAAGCTTAATATCAAACGATATAACTGCAAACGGCTCTGGTTTCGAGGTCTGGTTAGGTCTAAAATACCAATGCAAGACCCATGCAGATGGATCATCGTCAAATGTCCATGATATGTTGTTCGTTGTTCCAGGTAAAAATGTATATTGTGTCCCATCAGGAGGCGAAGTGATTTTTCCTAAAGTAAACAAATTAGGCAATGCCAAAGGCCAGTCAGTTCAGGTGAGGCTCATATGGCTCGTCTTATAATAAAGTTGAAGTTCGAAGAAGAAATGAAGTTGAAGGTCGTCCGTTATCGTAACATATGAATGGCGAAGCTATCTCCTTTGTGTCAAAGTTTATATGATTTGTCTCAAGTATAAACACCGCTGACAATAGTCAAAGGTCACTAGATCAGGGCTCTGCATGTTACTGCACCGTGTTATTATAAAACATGCTGAACACATTATGGGGCTTACCTTCGCATTGGTAAAAGATGAAGTGTAGATAAGATATAGCACCATATATGAGAGCAAACCCACTCGGCATCTTAATGAACGGACGTCCGGACAAACCTACACTGACGATGACATGCATGCATAAACAAGATCAATATTGATATGAGTTGTTGTATGCGGCTTTCTGAATCTAGCACGATTTAAACACGTAGGTATTAACTTGGTACGTGAAACAAATAGCTAGATACAATCCCAAACGATATTGAAATGCATAAACCTTTAGACAATTTGAATCACAAATTCAGTCGCAGCTATTAAAACTATAGTTATGTCATGCGCAAATGTTGCTGGTACTTCAATCGCATTGTAGTTTACCCCTCATTTCCAAACAAGCCAATATGCTGGTTTCCCAACTTGAAAATATAGATCTGAAAACCAAATTTGACGTACCACGCTACTATCAAGTCAAATATGCATCCGGTAAATTATTCTGTTTCTATAACATAAAATATATTTCTTTTCATGCTGCAAATGTTTCTTTGGATGTTTCTCTCCCTCGATTACGAATCATTTCTTCCGGCTTTAATTTAAGAAGCTGCGGAACTTTCTTGTCACGTGATAGCATGTATGTAAATATATGTTATGGGCTTGGTATGGTTGGGAATATCTGTAATTAAGTACTTATACATTTGAATTACGATTATACTATATTTTACAGCGTTCACATTGAAAGTGATTCCGATTTTTTATGAAAGTTTTCTCAAACGATCCAATGTCGCCGGAAAACGTTTGATGGATGTTTTGTAGTAAACACAGCAAATGAACAAAAGCAAATGACGTAATGCTTTTACGAATCAGCAGACTATGTTCCATTTGTCCAAAGTATATTGGATTAGAAAATTTCGACCTTGTCAATAAACCAAATATAGTTCTTCCGCCTTTGGTCTAGTATAGGGTTTCAGTCTCAGACTTCGAACTTTTCATGTGCCGAGTCGAATGCAAATACAAATATTTTAGTTCATCAACATCAGGTTCTGCATGAAACAAGCTTTAATCAGCCCTGTACTTTTTGAGTATATATATACAGTATATACTTGTAAAATCTTTGTAAACAAAATGCGAAATATGAAGCGTAGTTTTGTAAGCGTACTTGTAAAACTGAATCGCTACCATCCGTAACGCAAATATATTTTGTGTGTTTTGTAAATTATCAAACATTATATCAAGATAAAAAACCCTGGTATGAGGTTGACATTATCTACAGCCAAGATAAAAATGTTTCTCAATTCTGGGGGCTATATCCAATGGTAAATCGACTATTGGGTGTGGGTTTGTTCGTCTTGAGAAGGACGATTACAAATTTTGTCTAAGAGATTTTATGTGAAACAGCGAGTTACGTCGCAGATCAACAGCGTTGACAGGATTTCTTTTCCAATGTTCAAGTCAAAGATTGATAGTTTTCCTCTATATCTCTGGTTTTACTCAGCTCAGTGTAAGTAGAGTCATCTTCTCTTACACTTTCATTACTTGCTGCAGCGCCGGGAACCGCTGTCAATGTCTGATAATTCTCTCCTGTGTTCATTTTTGTAAGATCTAATTCCTGATAAGTTTTATCAACTTGAGATTTTGGACTTTCATGGTTTTGTTGACGCTTTCTACTTCTGTGTTTACAACGAAAGTAAAAAACAACGCAGGAAACGAGAATTCCTATGATGAATGTCGTCACAGATGATACCAAAACGATGTACCATTCAGTTCCACTTTGGCAATTCTGGGATTCCTGTAATTCTGGTTTGTCTGCAAGAAATTAGAAGTGCTTCTTCACAATAACCACGATTCCACTGATTATAATATTAAACAAATTTCAGTATCCAATGTCATCTGGTATTTTGCCAAAAGATAATGAACCAATCTGTGTGAATTAATGCATGATAACCAACAATTACCTGTTCCGACACCTTTCGAACTTGGGGTATTCGTTTTTCGTATTTCTAGAATAGAAATGACATTGTACATTCTTCTTTATCGAATAAACTAACAGAAGAAATCATATACGCGTAATTTTATCATGAATCTTACCGACGACAGACAAATTAAAAGTCTTTGAACTTTTTCCAAGTTGATTTGTAGCAATACATTCATATGAGCCAGCATCGTTGTATTTCAAAATAGTTATAATATACGTCTTGCGAGTACTGACGACTTTAGTATCATTATGGATTATTGTATAACTTGGTAAGGGAACAGCTATAGCTTCGCATGTTATTACAACTGATTCACCAATTACGACATCTTCTGGGGTGGTCGTAAGACTTAAAATAGCAGGTGAGACTGGGTCTGTAATGAAACAAACTTTTTAAATCAATAGACCAATTGCGAAACTTAGTAACCGCGCCTTCGCATAACATGGAAGCGAGGCTTATTATGCAAAAAACAATATTTGTATTTTTTGCAGTACAAAGCTATCCGCCGAGTTATATCCCGGTTTTCGCCTTTGGTTTACATATTTTTCGATACCTTTAAAGCTCGGTTTCATCGTTGTTATCATAGTTCTCAGGTGAGGGAATTTTGCCTTTCATTTGAGGCGTTTTTGTGATGTTTTCATTAATTTTTCCGGCTGCTTTCGTCGGGGAAATATGGAAAAGGCCGACACAAACTCAGGTAAAAATTCAGTTTTTTCCAAACTATTTCGTCTCAAGTTTTGAAAATTTATTTCATTTTTCTTCCTCTTATTTGTGCAAAATTTGGCGATATATATTTGGTGCAAAATCTATGTTTTTGTGACAAAAATTATTGAAAAGTCACGGTCGAACGACCACCATGTTTACATTTCTCATTTAAAATTATTTTACACCAATTTTATCGATCGATAAGCTGTAATTTTACAGCTCAGGAAAAAATTAGCAGAAATCTGTTGACAGAAACAATCGGAGATAAAATATACAACGGAGTTTTTTGGTTTATTTTCCCTGTGTATATAGACTACAGTACATGTGATGTCATGCCGACTCAAAAGCAAAACAACTCTTCAACTTGGCACACATGCATGACATGGATAGTAAAATACTTATTACCAAGACATAATATCATTCTCTATTTTGAATTGCCATTTAATATTCCTTTTCCCACAATATTATACTATAAAGGTAGCCACAATGGCAATGCGAGCAGCAGCGTTTTTTAAGATATACCTTTACATGATGGCAAAGCCCGAAGGCGAAAAAAATATACAACCCGAAGTTCGGAAGTGTTTTCCGTTTTATAATGCGATGGTGAACGGAATCCTTTCCTTTTAAAGTATTCCTCGTTAACCCTTATTTAAAACATCTATTGCATGGTAGTAGATAGAAAGAATAGGGTTTTGTAGTGACACAAAATATACAGAACGTCAGATGCGTTCGAATTCGACTTTTAAATAAAATTCGGCCTTCATGTCGGTATGCAAGCCATGCATTGTCTGTACTTTTTTAAAACGAAATAAACAAAAACATTTCAGTTAGTTACTTTTTGCCATTTTCACAGTATTACTCTGGTATAAAGATAAAAAATATAGTGATATTTGTGAATAAATTTGAACCATTTCAGTCATTAGGTGTGAAATTATAAAATCTGACTGTCACTTTTCATTTAGTTTTCAATAATTTTTGTCACAAAAACATAGATTTTGCACCAAATATATATCGCCAAATTTTGCACAAATAAGAGGAAGAAAAATGAAATAAATTTTCAAAACTTGAGACGAAATAGTTTGGAAAAAACTGAATTTTTACCTGAGTTTGTGTCGGCCTTTTCCATATTTCCCCGACGAAAGCAGCCGAAAAAATTAATGAAAACATCACAAAAACGCCTCAAATGAAAGGCAAAACTCCCTCACCTGAAAACTATGATAACAACGATGAAACCAAGCTTAAAGGTTTCGAAAAACATGTAAACCAAAGGCGAAAACCGGGATATAACTCGGCGGATAGCTTTGTACTGCAAAAAATACAAATATTGTTTTTTGCACAATAAGCCTCGCTTCCATGTTATGCGAAGGCGCGGTTACTAAGTTTCGCAATTGGTCTATTGAACAGATAAATATTCCTTATTAATAAGTTTTCTTTCACTTACAATATACCATTACTTCAATTGATTTTTCGTCTGCTAAGGTGTAGCTTCGGGCTATACATTTGTATATTCCACTATCTTTTTTATCGACATTGTTTAGGTTTAATATTTGTCTATTTTTTTCCGATTTAGTGATCTGAACGCCATCTTTATACCATGTCACGTTAGCTGGAGGATTACCATCCTTTGCCTGGCAGATACATGTGATATTATCACCCTCAATTGTTGCGATGGGACTGGAACAACTGAGTGTTACTGCTGGCTTGCCTAAATATACAGATTGCAAGCAAATCATCTTGACGATGCAATCATTTGTCTATAGTTGTAGCACTTCAAAGGCATATGTGCAGAAGCACGCCTTCCTCACTACTGTTTACAGAGTCATTACATGCATCATCATTTTACTCGTTATAGTCAGTCAAGACACATCTTTACAACAAACGATTTGTCGGACCGATATAGCTGATTGCCATAAGTGTATTCGTAATTTGTCGTAAAGAAAAGTTTTTTGTAAGAATTCGAACGATTTTCCTCCGTTGTTAAGCTTTGCTTAAAGACTTACTTGCGACAAAAACTACAACATTAGATTGATACGGGCCAAGGAAAAACTGATATATTCCATTATGACTTTCATTAACATTTTGTATCACCAGTGTTGCGTTTCCTTCTATTGCGTAACCAGGTGCGAGAAAACTTGGCACTGAATCATCATCGATGATTTGTGCAAGTAACTTTGCTTTTCCATCTAAGGTTTTTCGTCGATACCAAGCACGAAAACTGCCAGAAGACAGATCGTCGTCAAATGACCACCGTATTTTCCCATCTGTTCCAGGCAAAAATGTTAATTCAGTGCCTTCAGGTGGCGGAAAGATCTTCCCTAAGATTAAGAGAGCAATGTATGGTTGACAAGCTAGTAGATTAGACTCACGCCATCAGCAAAAACACTGGCATGTGAGCAATGACAATTCTACCAATAATGGATTCCCCTGGCGCCATAATAAAAGCGAGTTTAAGATGCAGCAAATGAACGACACGGACGTGACATGAAAACTCCAACTAGTGAGAGGAAACCAGCATTACTTTTTTTACACACGGCTCTGGCTTTGTTTATCAAAAGGAGTCTATAATTTCCATCCCTGCTGGGAAACAGTGGAAATTAGAGCAGTATAACCTCATCACGTCCGCTAAATTAAGCGCATCTTAAACTCACTAATGCCTCACACGAGGGTTGTGCTGCGAGGAAGGATACTTTCATATACTACATCATACACACATAGCTACTATATCCTACCTTCGCATTGGGAAAGCATAAAAGCAAGACAAACTATAGAAAGAAATGCCAAATCACTCATTTTTGAAGATACAACCTATGTAAGAGAATTTTCATCAAATATTATTATAATATTGTTATTTGGTAGGATTCGATAAAAATTTGCTCAACTAACCCTAGATACAAATGTTTCTTGCTACTGCCACATCCGGAGTCCACATGCATACAGATTTAGAGGCTGTTACAGGAGCCGGGTTATACCCGAGATTCGACGAAGCGTGAGAGGACTTTGAGGTATTGAAATAAGTCTTTATGACACCAAACAAGCACATGCTATTGTTGTGGTGCTGCCAGGATCATGTTATTTGCTCATTTCAATACCTCAAAATCATCTCACGCTTCGTTGAATCTCGGGTAACTGGGTTCATGTAAACAGCCCCTTAATGTTGTTTCTAAACAGGAAAATTGCTCTAATATAGGACCAAACGGAAATGCACGATGTTATATATGAGAACATTTAACACAAATAATTTTGTCAAACGACCAAACACACCTGTCTCATATTGACAAATTTCGCCGGCAAATTCAGTCACATATAGACACTTGTGATATTATGGTTCAGTGTATTTTGCTGCATACTTTAATATATTATTCTACACTTACCACAAGAAAATCGTATGCTGTCGTTGATCGCATATTCATTTCTGGTATCTCAGTAAAAGGCGTTACCACAGATTCATACAGAAATCAGAGAAAATTTCGTGTTAATATATCTTAGTATTCTCGCCTTGGATATTTAATTTGTCGATATTAATCCTTCCTTCCGGCTTAAACATTACAGAAGCCAGCATGAATTCTGTCATGTGATAATTTGTAATATATGGATGTATTCTGCATGCATAGTCTTGGGGGTAACTCCGTAAAATATAAAAGTTATGAATGGAAGAGAACTCGTACATACACTTCCAAAATATTTTACCTGTTACAATCAAAGTAGCAGATTTTGAATCACTTCCAATAGAATTCTTTGCAACACAAACGTATGTTCCAGAATCTTCATTTTTCACCACTTTAATAGTATGCATCTTGCTTGTGAAGACAGTATCGCTTCCACTTATAAATACCACAATTATAGATCTGTGTATGTAAATATATGTTATGGGCTTGGCATGGTTGAGGAATGATATCTGTAATTAAATACCTATACATTCGAATTACGATTATACTATATTTTACGGCGTTCACATTGAAAGTGATTCCGATTTTTTATGAAAGTCTTCTCAAACGATCCAATGACGCCGGAAAACGTTTGATGGATGTTTTGTAGTAAACACAGCAAATGAACAAAAGCAAATGACGTAATGCTTTTACGAATCAGCAGACTATGTTCCATTTGTCCAAAGTATATTGGATTAGAAAATTTCGACCTTGCCAATAAACCAAATTTACATTGTAGGTCATATAGTAGGTAAAAAAATGGCCAGCTACAATTGTCTTTCGGAAAAATATACCTTCTTTGGTCATCGAGTTATATTATAGCTCGATGTTGTCAAAAAAAAGGATTCCCTGATCCTTATATATTTGTAAATTCTTTCGATATTTCACAATCAAGCAAAGAAGCGGCCAGTATTAATTAAAAATAATGAAATATTCCATCTTCAAGTTAAAGACTGATAGGTTTTCTCCGCTTCTCTGGTTTGACTCAGCTCTGTATAATTGGAGCCATCTTCGTTTCTATTGTCATTTTTTGCAGGCTGATTCACAGTCAGTGACTGGTAATTTTCTTCTTTGTTCATTTTTGTGAGATCAAGTTCTTGATAAGTTTTATCAACCTCAGGTTTTGAGGGTTCAGGGTTTGGTTGTCGTGGCTTTTTACTTGTAAATTTACGACGAGAACATGAGACGATGTAGGAAAGGAGACATCCAATGACGATGCCCAATATCAATGAAACCACGATATGCCATACTACAATATTATCGGCAACATCACGGTCTACTTTCGTAGAAGACGAGGCCCCTCCTGAAAAAACACATTGAGGTTAATAATTTATTGGTTGGAAAATTACCTAAAAGAATATTCAAACTTCCATCAAAGTCAAACAAGGAAGTGTAAAAAGCAATTACGTAGTAACACATCTGGTGCAAACTTTATTCGTCTAGCTCAAACATTTCAGAAATAGTGGATCAAGAGTAGTTCAGACTAAACTAATCGTACCAAGAACGGTCAAACAATGGCACTTTGAGCCAATTCCAAATTTACTCTTCGCAATACATTCGTATAATCCACCGTCGCTCCACTTCACTTGTGGTATGTTGTACGTCTTACCAGCAATAACCTCGGTGTTATTGTGAGTTATGGTAAAACGTGGTTCAGGAACACCTTCTGACTCACATGTTATGTTTATTGGTTCGCCAATTTTAGCTTTTCCTTGTGAAAATATAACGTTTATCTTTTGAGGTCGAACTAGAAAGAAAAAAAACCGGATGTGGGAAGACCTGCACAAATCGTAAAAAAAATGCCAATCATGAAATTTCATGCCAATCATAAACTTCATGCCTACCCCCACCCATCCCTCCCCTACTTCTCACCTTGTAATGAGTCCGGCATGGTATATACTCCCCCTACCTTCCGTAAGTGAAAGAGATTCTAAGGGTCTTAAACCAAAATGTCTAGAAGTTTTCTTGTATGTGTTGGGTGGTTGCTTAATAACCCATTAGACCTATTATAACCTATATATTATTAAGAAATTATTGCTATCATACAATTAACTATCATTCTTATTATTTTTTCATCTTTATAATTTTTGTCTGGGTAGCTTTCAGCTAGACACTTGTACGTTCCGCTGTTTGCTTTGTCGACGCTAAAAAGAGTCAATAATTGTTCTTTTTTCCCTGTTTCACCAATCTTCTTGTCATCTTTAAACCAGGTAACGTTAGCAGGTGGATTCCCATCTTCACCTTTACATAAACAGCTGAAGTCATCACCCTCTTTTAGCGTCGTGACATTAGAGCAATTGAACGTTACTGTCGGCTTTTCTGAAGCGTAGAAAAAAGCAATATGCAGTAGTGTTTGCACCTGTCATTTTGGAGCTCTAACGAAAGAATGCAACATGCAGAGACTGTTCCGCAATATCTTTTCAACCAATACACAAAATGTAATTAAAATATTTAGGAAATCAATGTAATTATTACACTATAATATATGTGCTGAAAACGTACTTGCGACATAGACTGTTACATCAGATTTAAGATTGAAACCAGTTCGTGGCCACATTTCAAACCGGTAAACACCGTTATAACTGTCATTTACGTTGTTTAAAATCAAAGTCGCTGGTTTCTCTATTTCGACCGTGAGCAAATTTCTTGCAAAATATTCGGGCTCATTGTCATCAACTATCCTTGCAATAACGTTTATGGAGCCATTCCTGCTTATGAAAGTCCAATATCGAGTATCCCCAAATACTATAGTACCATTTAGCGACCACTCAATCCTGGCATTCAGTGTACCGGGAAAAAAAGTCAACGTTTTTCCACCTGGTGGCAGGCTGAGTCGTCCTATATACAAATGACATAAAACATGTTTGAGCCAAACCGTTTCCTGCAAAACTCTATGATTAGAAAAGTCTAAATTTCATATATAATACAGGTCAATTGAATCGCTTTAAATAATATAGAGGAAGTGATATAAACACATTCCTTATAACCATAATTCCGCCACTACATGCATGCATATAAAATTATATTATGAAACATATTGAACAAAATTGGTGAACTCGCGGTACCTTGGCAGTGATGCAAGCTAAAGTGAAGACAAGATAGGCCATAATATATGAGAGCAAATCTACTCATCTTAATCAGTGGACACAAGTCTTGAGAAACCTACACAGACAAAAGCATAATTCCGTTGGCCGGCTTACACTGTTCTAAATCCAAACCTAAGACTAAGTATAGGACATGCAATTTAAACATGTAATGATGTAATGATCAAGAAACATAATATTGAATACAATCCCCAACGCTGGCAAAATACACACCTCTCTATATTGCTAAATTTCGCCTGCAAATTCAGTCACATATAGACACTTTTGATGTTTAACATCAAGATAGTCGCGTATATTGGTATTTCAGTAAGGCGTTACCACAGTTCCATACAGAAATCAGAGAAAATTCCCTGTTAATATATCCTAGTATTCTCGCCTTGGATATTTAATTTGTCGATATTAATCCTTCCTTCCGGCTTAAACATTACAAAGCCAGCATGAATTCTGTCATGTGATAGTTTGTAATATATGTGGATGTATTCTGCATGGTTGGAGTCGTAAGGTAACTGCCTAACTGGTAATTAAAAGGTGCTAACTTATTGCGTTCGACGAAGGAGAATGCTTCCTAGCCGTGTCATATCGAGTTTTGCGATGTCAAATTTGCCTCGTTCTGATGTGTCGTCATAGTAACTGAAGACCATGTGCTCGCTCTATTTTGACATTTTGTTGTTAATTAAAGCATAAGAGCCATCACTTTTGTTAAGTTACTCATTTTGCGGGTAACGTTTTGAATCACATACGCTGTGAGCCTGTGAAGTTATAATGTTAACATTTTTGTTAATGACCGTTAACCGGTCATTGATCTATCTAGAAGCATTCAGTTTAACCTAATATAGGTCAGTGTTCAGTGCTCATGATTCCGATATTTTCATGTCCGTCTGTTTTGATATATATTCTTCATACGAGGCTGTATAAATCATCTTCAATCAAAATCGAAATTTCATCAACCCATAATAAGGACAGTGGGTTAGTATTGCAAAGTTGGTGGAAGTAAGATATCAAGACTTTAGGACCACCTTGCCACGCAGAAAATTACAACTTCTATAGTACAAGCAGTAATCACAGATTAGTCTAGAATAGGTCAGTGATACGGATAATGACTGAATGCTTCGCTATATATTTTTAAATTTATTAACTAATATTTTCTTATAAGCCATGCTTGGTTTCATGTATAGATATTACATATTTTACACCTATACATACTACATGACTACACATCACCATATAGACTCGAACATGGTACACTGCATGTTTATACTTTTACGGATTTTAGAAAATACAATTAAGAGTACTGGAATAATCCCGCTGTTACCAATGACAACAAAGCGATTTTCCATCCCGTTTTTAGAGCACATGCTGATGATTTTTTAGATGTATGATTAGTGCCTGTGGGTCCAGTGGTTGGCTCTGCATGAAAAAAAGTTGTGTGGTTAGCAGAACTAACAGTAGGGAAAAAAAATACTTTAAACGAGTTGCTTCTCCGTAAAATATAAAAGTTATGAATGGAAGAGAACTCGTGCATGCACTCCCAAAGTATTTTACCTGTTACAATCAAAGTATCAGATTTTGAATCACTTCCAATAGAATTCTTTGCAACACAAACGTATGTTCCAGCATCATCCTTTTTCACATCTTGAATAGTGTGCATCTTGCTGTCTGCGATGCTGCTATTGCTACCACTTTTTTCTATTTTTATATCTGGTACCGGAAGACCATCAAATTCGCACGTGATGTTTACCAATTCACCAATTTTAGCTGTCTTTGGTGCGATGTTTATCGCTGTGATGATAGGCTTGTCTGAATGAGAAAATACAAAAAGTCCGAGAATGTAGTCTTTAGATTGAGGATATTGAGCTAAGTTAAATTAAACTTGAAGTTATGCTTACAATGAACTATTATTTCTATGGATTTTTCTTCATCACTGACAAGGTTTTTGGCTTCACATCTGTACGTTCCACTGTCCTTTTTTTCAATATTACTAATACTCAATGTTTGTCTTTCCCTCCGTTGGTTACTAATCTGTTTGCCATCTTTATACCAAGTCACAGTGGCTGGAGGATTGCTACCTTGTTCCGTACAAACACACGTGAAATTATCACCTTCTTTCACAATGACCTGGCTGGAACAGCTGACAGTCACTGCTGGCTTCACTGAAACGTAACAAAAACGTGCAACTGGTTGTCCAAGAGAAAATTAAAACAGTCTATTGTTAGAATTGGAATGCTTCGGTACCCCGCATGGAACACATCAATGGATAAGGGTAATTCACACATGACTAGATTCTAGAAAACTAAAATCAACCTGCAGTTACCTGCAATAAGAACTACAACTTCAGACTGAGTTGCTTTTCCGTAAAATATAAAAGTTATGAATTGAAGTGAACTCGTACATGCACTTCCAAAGTATTTTACCTGTTACAATCAAAGTAGCAGATTTTGAATCACTTCCAATCGAATTATTTGCAACACAAACGTATTCTCCAGCATCATCCTTTTTCACATCTTCAATAGTATGCATCTTGCTTCTGAAGACAGTATCGCTACCACTTTTTTCTATTTTTATATTTGGTTCTGGAAGACCATTGAATTCGCACGTGATGTTTACCGTTCCACCAACCCCAACTGTCTTTGGTGCGATGGTTATCGCTGTGATGATAGGCTTGTCTGAATGAGAAAACACAAAAAGTCCAAGAATTCAGTCTTTAGATTGAGGATATTGAGCTAAGTTAAATTAAACTTGAAGTTATGCTTACAATGAACTATTATTTCGATTGATTTTCTGTCGGTGTAGTGACTTTTCGCCACACATTCGTACGTTCCGGTGTCCTTTCTCATAACATTACGAAAACTCAAAGCTTGTCTTTCCTTTCCTTGCTCACTAATACTTCTGTTGTTCTTATACCAAATCACAGTGGCTGGAGGATTGCTGCCTTGTTCCGTACAAACACACGTGAAATGATCACCTTCTTTTACAATGAACGGGCTGGAACAGCTGACAGTCACCGCTGGCTTCACTGAAACGTAACAAAATCGTGCAACTGGTTGTCCAAGAGAAAATTAAAACAGGCTATTGCTATAATTGGAATGCTTCAGTACCCCGCATGGAACACATCAATGGATAAGGGTAATTCACACATGCCTAGATTCTAGAAAACTGAAAACCCCCTGTTTACCTGCAATAAGAACTACAACATCAGACTGACCGCATCCATCAGATGTTACGAGTGTAAATTTGTACGTTCCATTTTGAATCTGACTGACGTTATTCAAAACTAAAGTCGCTGGCTTTTCTATTTTGAAGTCGAGCGCGTTGCTTCTGTTCTCGACGGTACCGTCATCAATTATTCTCGCTAGTTGTACGGCCTTCTTCGAGCCCTCACCGCTAGTAAACGACCAAGACCGAAAACGCACGTTCGTCACATTGTCGTTGAACGACCATTCCAGTTTGGCCGTTGATCTCTTTACGAAAATCAGCCTGTTGCCAACAGGTGGTAGACGTATTTGTGCTCCTATTGGAAGCAGGTTTTGTAGGTTTTGTACTATACTGGGGGGCTGTGGGGATACATTCGTATAATACTGGGGGTTGTGGAATACATTCGTACAATACTGGGGGATTCTGGGGATACATTCGTACTATACTGGCTGAGGGGTTGAGGGATACATTTCCAAATAATTGAGGAGCCGTGTGGCAGCGTATTCGATCAACTTTTTACGAAATGTGAATGGTTAAGTAAATAACCTTAAATATATATGATATCTAACGTTTTATACCTTCGCTTGAAGTTGATAGAAAATTAAGAACGAATAGTCCAGTTATACCAAAGATGAAGTTTGCCATTTTGTAAGCCTTCGATCTGAAGATGAAGATGAAAGTGCTATAATTATAATAATAATGCAATAAAACGTTTTTATCACTACTCCAAACATTTTCGAAATCTTTCTTCGACAATTCTGACACGCCTAATTTGTATTTGCGATATAGATCAGATCATATTTCACATCCTGTTTTACGGTAATTCCGGCCACTGAAATTCTAGCTGAGTTCTGACTTCTCGTCGCAATATTGCATTGCCATTGATCATTACTACAGGCACGGCATATATTGGCCTGTATACAACGGCTTGAAAAATAATATTTCTCAATTAGAGATGACGTTGCAGTTTAATTTCGGTTTATTTAATCACGGGATCGATATCTTTGTCAAGCATCAAAAATGGCGTCTGAGGGCTACTGTTTATAATATTTGAGAAGAAGTGTCAGTACCTTTATCTGTCGGTATAGCCCGGTTGAGCAAATATGTGGCATAAATGTTATTGAGATACACATAACGAGCGTATAATGTCATCTGATAGACTGAAAATCACGTTTGCATGACGACAGAGTCTCGTTTGCATGACGACCGTTGTCTATAATAAACTGGCCCCATTGACAAAATATAAAGTAAGATTTGCCAACTGTCCAATTATGATCTTTAGTCTGAACTTGTGTTAGAACATTCGTTAGTTACAATAGCCAGTGAATTGCCAGTCAATACAAGGCATGAAATATGCTGATACACTGATATGTCAAATCGGTTACTGATAAACATAGGCTCGATGACATGGATATAGTCGATAGCATAATACTAATCATCATATTACAACTAACAAGTATAGTTTGTATTCGATAGATATGCGATATTCGAGAATAACAATACCTGAAGTAGTATGCTCCTGTGTGATCCAACAAACGGACAATATTTATCAGTTTTCGTTTATCCCTATATGATAGGTATTAAATCTTCTTTCACTTTCAATATTAAAATCATTTGTATTAAATGTAGTTAGTATGCGGTCCATGCAAACAACTCGATTGCGGTGTGGTCGACCGCCATATTTTTAAATGGGCGTCAATGTGTCCTTCATAGATATGGTGTGAATGTCGTTATTGAAGTGTGAGAAATATGATTGTTAGTTTGTTCGCATCATACTGGGCTTTAGCCCCACCAATAATTTTTCCGTAATTAGTCTTTAATTTTGAATATTTTTTAGTTAGCTCAAATTTACAAGCTAAAATTTACAAGCAATACAAGCGCCAAAGTGAGTCCAAACATGCTGGAAACCGGCTTTACATTGGACAAGCATTAGACCGTTAAAACAGCGTGGTTATCCATGTCAAAATATTTGACATCATAACCAAAGCATGGTTATATTGTTTAATGTTTGTATATGAGCGCCAAACATGCTGGAAACTTTGCATAGCGCAAGCATTTGACCATTAAAACAGCGTGGTTATCCATGTCAAAATATTTGACATCATAATTCATAACCAAAGCATGGTTATATTGTTTAATGTTTGTATATGAGCGCCAAACATGCTGGAAATTTTACATAGGACAAGCATTTGACCATTAAAACAGCGTGGTTATCCATGTCAAAATATTTGACATCATAACCAAAGCATGGTTATATTGTTTAATGTCTGTATATGAACGCCAAACATGCTGGAAACTTTACATAGGACAAGCTTTTGACCATTAAAATAGCGTGGTTATCCATGTCAAAATATTTGACATCATAACCAAAGCATGGTTATATTGTTTAATGTTTGTACATGAGCGCCAAACATGCTGGAAACCTTACATAGGACAAGCTTTTGACCATTAAAACAGCGTGGTTATCCATGTCAAAATATTTGACATCATAACCAAAGCATGGTTATAATGTTTAATGTTTGTATATGAACGCCAAACATGCTGGAAACTTTACATAGGAGAAGCATTTGACCATTAAAACAGCGTGGTTATCCATGTCAAAATATTTGACATCATAATCAAAGCATGCATGGTTATATTGTTTAATGTTTGTATGAGCGCCAAATATGCTGGAAACTTTACATTGGACAAGCATTTGACCATCAAAACAGCGTGGTTATTCATGTCAAAACATTTGACATCATAACCAAAGCATTGTTATATTGTTTAATGTTTGTATATGAGCGCCAAACATGCTGGAAACTTTACATAGGACAAGCATTTGACCATTAAAACAGCGTGGTTATCCATGTCAAAATATTTGACATCATAACCAAAGCATGGTTATATTGTTTAATGTTTGTACATGAGCGCCAAACATGCTGGAAACCTTTACATAGGACAAGCTTTTGACTATTAAAACAGCGTGGTTATCCATGTCAAAATATTTGACATCATAACCAAAGCATGGTTATATTGTTTAATGTTTGTATATTAACGCCAAACATGCTGGAAACTTTACATAGGACAAGCATTTGACCATTAAAACAGCGTGGTTATCCATGTCAAAATATTTGACATCATAACCAAAGCATGGTTATATTGTTTACTGTTTGTACATGAGCGCCAAATATGCTGAAAACTTTACATTGGACAAGCATTTGACCATTAAAACAGCGTGGTTATCCATGTCAAAATATTTGACATCATAACCAAAGCATGGTTATATTGTTTAATGTTTGTATATGAGCGCCAAACATGCTGGAAACTTTACATAGGACAAGCATTTGACCATTAAAACAGCGTGGTTATCCATGTCACAATATTTGACATCATAACCAAAGCATGGTTATATTGTAGAAAATAAATCAACACAGCCAGACATGAAAATATCGGAATCGTGAGCCAATCGCTGAATCGCTGTTGCAACGCTGGTTACCAGAAGTTCATGTATTTTTCTTTCTAGTTTTCTTCGCGTGAAAAAGTACGAAGGTCGAAGGCGCAGTTCAAAACAGCACGCATGTAGTATTCCAAGGGAATGAGTGATAATGCTTGACCACTGAGTGCTTCGTTTTATATTTCTAAATTTATTAACTGATATATTTCTTATAGGCTATATAGAGAACTTTCAAGGTTTCATGCATATTATATATTTTGTACCTATTACCTATATCTCTTTTTCAAAACAAATTATTATAGACACACCGCTATATATAACGAACACGGTACACTGAGATATATTACAGTACACTGCGGTATATTACATGCAGTTATAGAAGATACAATTAAGAGTACGAGAATAATCCCACTGCCACCAATGACAGCAAAGCGATGTTCCATTCTGTTCTTGGACGATATGCTGATGCTGTAGTTGGGGTTGTGGTTGGCGCTGGAAAAAAATAGCAGAACTAACATAGGGAAACAAAAAATACTTTACTATAACGAGTTGCTTCTCCGTAAAATATAAAAGTGATGAATGGAAGAGAACTCCTACATGCACCAAAATATTTTACCTGTTACCATCAAAGTAGCAGATTTTGAATCACTTCCAATAGAATTCGTTGCAACACAAACGTATGTTCCAGCATCATCACTTTCCACATCTTTAATAGTGTGCATCTTGCTTGTGAAGACAGTATCGCTACCACTTTTTTCTATTTTTATATTTGGTTCAGGAAGACCATCAAATTTGCACGTGATGTTTACCGTTTCACCAACTTTAGCTGTCTTTGGTGCGATGGTTATCGCTGTGATGATAGGCTTGTCTGAATTCAATTTAAACATGTATGTAAAAGAATGTGTATGTGTCTACATGTATGTAAGAAACATAATATTGAATACAATCCCGAACGCTGGCAAAATACACATTTCTCTATATTGATAGATTTCGCCTGCAAATTCAGACATTGTAAGCATTGTAAGGGGGGAAGAAACGTTGAGAGGGTGGAACATGAGACCTGAACTTCCTCGTTGAAGGAAGGTTCGACACTCTCATTAGGGAGAGAAATAACTGGAACTTGCCCCTTGAAATTTAGATCCCGAGATCTCTTTGTTTAAGGCGACGAACCCTCGACCTAGGGTAGGGGACGAGCTCTGACAATGATCTGCTTCCGCATGCTGGCTCACCTGAAGCATTTGAATACTTCTGTCACATATAGACACTTGTGATGTTTAGCATCAAGAAAGTCGTATGTCGGCGTTGGTCGCAATTTCTGGTATTTCAGTAAAAGGCGCGTTACCACAGATTCATACAAAAATCAGAGAAAATTTCCTGTTAATATATCCTAGTATTCTCGCTTTGGATATTTAATTTGTTGATATCAATCCTTCCTTCCAGCTTAAACATTACAGAATTATGCCAGCAGAATTCTGTCATGTGATAGTTTGTAATATATGGATATATTCTGCATGGTTGCCTTGGTTGGAGTCTTGGAGGTAACCGATAATTAATAGGTGCTAACTTATACCATAGAAGCTGTAATTTTCTGCGTGGCAAAGTAGTACTATAAAGTTTTGATATCTTACTTCCACCAACTTTGCAATACTAACCCACTGTTCTTATTATGGTTTGATGAAATTTCGATTTTGATTGAAGATGATTTACTACAGCCTCGTATATGAAGAATAAAAAAAAAAAAAAAAAAAAATATATATATATATATATATATCAACAAAGCCGGACATGAAAATATCGGAATCATGATCCAATCGCTGTTGCAACTCTGGTTACCAGAGGCTTATGTCTTTTTCTTTCTAGTTTTCTCCACGTGAAATAAGTACGAAAATAATCACAGTTCAAACCACGCGTGACGTATTCCAAGGGAATATTGACCATTCTTTATATATTAATATAGATCACTGACCTATATTAGACTGAATGCTTCTAGATTGATCACTGACCTACATAGTCTAGTATAGGTCAGTGATATAGATAATGACTGAGTGCTTCACTATATATTTTTAAATTTATTAACTAATATTTTCTGATAAGCCATGCTTGGTTTCATGTATAGATATTATATATTTTACACCTATACATACTACATGACTACACATCGTCATATAGACTCGAACATGGTACACTGCATGTTTATACTTTTATATTTTATAAAATACAATTAAGAGTACTGGAATAATCCCGCTGTTACCAATGACAACAAAGCGATTTTCCATTCCGTTTTCAGAGCACATGCTGATGCTTTTAATGTACTATTAGTGCTTGTGGGTCCAGTGGTTGGCTGTGTGGTTGTGGTTAGCAGAACTAACAGTAGGGAAACAAAAAATACTTTACTATAACGAGTTGCTTTTCCGTAAAATATAAAAGTTATGAATTTAAGAGAACTCGTGCATGCACTACCAAAGTATTTTACCTGTTACAGTCAAAGTAGCAGATTTTGAATCACTTCCAATAGAATTCTTTGCAACACAAACGTATTCTCCAGTATCATTCTTTTTCACATTTTGAATAGTATGCATCTTGCTGTCTGCGATGCTGCTATTGCTGCCACTTTTTTCTATTTTTATATCTGGTTCAGGAAGACCATCAAATTCGCACGTGATGTTTACCATTACGCCAACTTTAACTGTCTTTGGTGCGATGGTTATCGCTGTGATGGTAGGCTTGTCTGAATGAGAAAATACAAAAAGTCCGAGAATGCAGTCTTTAGATTTAGGATATTGAGCTAAGTTAAATTAAACTTGAAGTTATGCTTACAATGAACTATTATTTCGATCGATTTTTTATCATTACTGACGGTGTTTTTGGCTTCACATCTGTACATTCCACTGTCCTTTTTCTCAATATTACTGATACTCAATGTTTGTCTTTCCTCCCGTTGGTCACTTATCTGTTTGCCATCTTTATACCAAGCCACAGTGGCTGGAGGATTGCTACCTTGTTCCGTACAAACACACGTGAAATGATCACCTTCTTTTACAATGACCGGGCTGGAACAGCTGACAGTCACCGTTGGCTTCACTGAAACGTAACAAAATCGGGCAACTGGTCGTCGAAGAGAAATTAAAATAGTCTGATTGTTATAATTGGAATGCTTCAGTACCCCGCATGGAACATATCAATGAATAAGGGTAATTCACACATGCCTAGATTCTAGAAAACTGAAAACTACCTGTTTACCTGCAATAAGAACTACAACATCATACTGAGTTGCATTTCCGTAAAATATAAAAGTTATGAATGAAAGAAAACTTGTGCATGCACTACCAAAATATTTTACCTGTTACAATCAAAGTAGCAGATTTTGAATCACTTCCAATAGAATTATTTGCAACACAAACGTATGTTCCAGCATCATCCTTTTTCACATCTTTAATAGTATGCATCTTGCTTGTGAAGACAATATCGCTACCACTTTTTTCTATCTTTATATCTGGTTCAGGAAGACCATCAAATTTGCACGTGATGTTTACCGTTCCACCAATCCCAACTGTCTTTGGTACGATGTTTATAGCTGTGATGATAGGCTTGTCTGAATGAGAAAATACAAAAAGTCCGAGAATGCAGTCTTTAGATTGAGGATATTGAGCTAAGTTAAATTAAACTTGAAGTTATGCTTACAATGAACCATTATTTCGATCGATTTTTCATCATTACTGACGGTGTTTTTGGCTTCACATCTGTACATTCCACTGTTCTTTTTTTCAATATTACTGAAACTTAATGTTTGTCTTTCCTTCCGTTTGTCACTTATCAGTTTGCCATCTTTATACCAAGCCACAGTAGCTGGAGGATTGCTACCTTGTTCCGTACAAACACACGTGAAACGATCACCTTCTTTTACAATGACCAGGATGGAACAGCTGACAGTCACCGTTGGCTTCACTGAAACGTAACAAAATCGTGCAACTGGTTGTCCAAGAGAAAATTAAAACAGTCTATTGTTAGAATTGGAATGCTTCAGTGGGGTCCCCGCAAGGAACACATCAATGGATAAGGGTAATTCAGACATGCCTAGATTCTAGAAAACTAAAAACCACCTAAACACCTGCAATAAGAACTACAACATCATACTGAGTTGCATTTCCGTAAAATATAAAAGTTATGAATGAAAGAGAACTCGTGCATGCACTACCAAAGTATTTTACCTGTTACAGTCAAATTATCAGATTTTGAATCACTTCCAATATAATTCTCTGCAACACAAACGTATGTTCCAGCATCATCCTTTTTCACATCTTTAATAGTATGCATCTTGCTTCTGAAGACAATATCGCTTCCACTTTTTTCTATTTTTATATTTGGTTCAGGAAGACCATCAAATTTGCACGTGATGTTTACCGTTCCACCAACCCCGATTGTCTTTGGTGCGATGGTTATCGCCGTGATGATAGGCTTGTCTGAATGAGAAAATACAAAAAGTCCGAGAACGCAGTCTTTAGATTGGAGATATTGAGCTAAGTTGAATTAAACTTGAAGTTATGCTTACAATGAACTATTATTTCGATTGATTTTCTGTCAGTGAAGCGACTTTTGGCAACACATTCGTACGTTCCAGCGTCCTTTCTCATAACATTATGAAAACTCAAAGCTTGTCTTTCCTTTCCTTCCTCACTAATATTTTTGTTGTTCTTATACCAAATCACAGTGGCTGGAGGATTGCTACCTTGTTCCGTACAAACACACGTGAAATGACTACCTTCTTTTATAACGAACGGGCTGGAACAGCTGACAGTCACTGCTGGCTTCGCTAAAACGTATAACAAAATCGTGCAACTGCATGGTTGTCCAAGAGAAAATTAAAACAGTCTATTGCTATAATTGGAATGCTTCAGTACCCCGCAAGGAACACATCAATGGATAAGGGTAATTCACACATGACTAGATTCTAGAAAACTAAAAACTACCTGTTTACCTGCAATAGAAGCTACAACTTCAGACTGACCGCATCCATCAGATGTTACGAGTGTAAATTTGTACGTTCCATTTTGAATTTGACTGACGTTATTCAAAACTAAAGTCGCTGGCTTTTCTATTTTGAAGTCGAGCGCGTTGCTTCTGTTCTCGACGGTACCGTCATGAATTATTCTCGCTAGTTGTACGGCCTTCTTCGAGCCCTCACCGCTAGTAAACGACCAAGACCGAAAACGCACGTTCGTCACATTGTCGTTGAACGACCACTCCAGTTTGGCCGTTGATCTCTTTACGAAAATCAGCCTGTTGCCAACAGGTGGTAGACGTATTTGTGCTCCTATTGAAAGCAGGTTTTGTAGGTTTTGTACTATACTGGGGGGTTGTGGGGATACATTCGTACAATACTGGGGGTTGTGGAATACATTCGTACAATACTAGGGGGTTCTGGGGATACATTCGTACTATACTGGCTGGGGGGTTGAGGGATACATTTCCAAATAACTGAGGAGCCGTGTGACAGCGTCTTCGATCAACTTTTTACGAAATGTGAATGGTTTAACTAAATAACCAGAAATATTTGATCTAACGTTTTATACCTTCGCTTGAAGCTGATAGAAAATTAAGAACGAATAGTCCAGTAATACCAAAGATGAAGTTTGCCATTTTGTAAGCCTTCGATCTGAAGATGAAGATGAAGATGAAAATGCAATGATATAATTATAATAATAATGATTAATGTAATAAAATGTTTTTATCACTACTCCAAACATTTTCGAAATCTTTCTTCGGCAAGTCGGACACGCCTAATTTGTACTTGCGATAGTTCAGATCATATTTATTTTCACTCTTTTGTTTACGGTTATTCCCATCAATAACTATGTTCCCATGCACTAAAATTCTAGCTGATTGCTGAGTTCTCGTCGCAATATTGCATTGCCATTGATCATTACTACAGGCACGGCATATATTGGCCTGTATACAACGGCTTGAAAAATAATATTTCTCAATTACAGATGCCGTTGCAGTTTAATTTCGGTTTATTTAATCACGGGATCGATATCTTTGTCAGACATTAAAAAAGGCGTCTGAAGTCTGCTTTTTAGAATATTTGAAAAGCAGTGTCAGTTCCTTTATTTGTCTGTATATGCCCGGTTGGGCAAATATGTGGCATAAATGTTATTGAGATATATATAGCGAGCGTATAATGTCATCTGATAGACTGAAAATCACGTTCGCATGACGAACAGAGTCTCGTTTGCATGACGACCGTAGTCTGTAATAAACTGACCCCATTGACAAAATATAAAGTAAGATTTGCCAACTGTCCAATTATGATCTTTAGTCTGAACTTGTATTAGAATATTCGTTAGTTACAATAGCCAGTGAATTGCCAGTTAAAACAGGGCATGAAATATGCTGATACATTGATATGACTCATATGTCAAGTCGGTGTTATCAACATAGGCTCGATAACATGGATTTTTTCGAAGCATAATACTAAATCTATAAATCATCATAACAACTAACAAGTATAGTCCGTATTCAATAGATATGCGATATTCGAGAATAACAATACCTGAAGTAGTATGCTCCTGTGTGATCCAACAAACGGACAATATTTATCAGTTTTCGTTTATCCCTATATGAAAGGTATTAAATCTTCTTTAACTTTCAATATTAAAATAATTTTGTATTGAATTTAGTTCGTATGCAAATCAACCCGACAGTGGTGTGGTGACTGTGGTCGACCGCAATGTTTTTAAATGGGGTCAATGTGTCGTTCATAGATATGGTGTGATTTACTAAATGTCGTTATTGAAGTGTGAGAAATATGATTGCGGTGCCCGCGCCAAGTTTGGCACCGCATTATATTCTGCGTCACTGCGTGTGAGTTAGTTTGTTAGTTTTTCGCATCAATACGTTTCTAAATTTCATATATAATACAGGTCAATTGAATCGCTTTAAATAATATAGAGGAAGTGATATAAACACATTCCTTATAACCATAATTCCGCCACTACATGCATGCATAAAATTATATTATGAAACATATTGAACAAAATTGGTGAGCTCGCGGTACCTTGGCAGTGATGCAAGCTAAAGTGAAGACAAGATAAAGCACCATAATATATGAGAGCAAATCTACTCATCTTAATCAGTGGACACAAGTCTTGAGAAACCTACACAGACAAAAGTATAACCTCTCTATATTGATAAATTTCGCCTGCAAATTCAGTCTCATATAGACACTTGTGATGTTTAACATCAAGAAGTCGTATGTTGGCGTTGGTCGCAATTTCTGGTATTTCAGTAAAAGGCGTTACCACAGATTCATACATAGCCTGTGCACATCCTGTAGTATTACGCTGTACTACAGGTACAGCGTAATACTACAGGACGTGCACAGGCTAATTCATACAAAAATCAGAGAAAATCTCCTGTTGATATATCCTAGTAATATTAATCTTTTCTTCCGGCTTAAACATTACAGAATTAAGCCAGCATGAAAGGAGGTAACTGATAAATAATAGGTGCTAATTTATACTATAGAAGACTCCAGTAATTTTCTGCGTGGCAAGGTGGTCCTAAAGTTTTGAAATATTACTTCCACCAACTTTGCAATACTAACCCTCTGTTCTTATTATGGGTTGATGAAATTTCGATTTTGATTGAAGATGATTTATACAGCCTCGTATGAAGAAATATATCAACAAAGCCGGACATGAAAATATCGGAATCATGAGGCAATCGCTGTTGCAACTCTGGTTACCAGAAGTTCATGTATTTTTCTTGCTAGTTTTCTTCGCGTGAAATAAATACGAAAATAATCACAGTTCAAAACAGCACGCGTGCATGTAATATTCCAAGGGAATGTGTGCATGATAATGCTTGACTACTGACCACTGACACTGCTTCGTTTTATATTTGTAAATTTAGTAACTGATATATTTCTTATAGGCTATATATATAGAGAACTTGCAAGGTTTCATGTATATTATATATTTTATACCTATTACCTATATCTCTTTTTCAAAACAAATTATTATAGACACACCGCCATATATAACGAACAGGGTACACTGAGATATATTACGGTACACTGCGGTATATTACAGTTATAGAAGATACAATTAAGAGTACGAGAATAATCCCACTGCCACCAATGACAGCAAAGCGATGTTCCATTCTGTTCTTGGACGATATGCTGATGCTGTAGTTGTGGTTGTGGTTGGCGCTGGAAAAAAATAGCAGAACTAACATAGGGAAACAAAAAATACTTTACTATAACGAGTTGCTTCTCCGTAAAATATAAAAGTGATGAATGGAAGAGAACTCGTACATGCACTTCCAAAATATTTTACCTGTTACAATCAAAGTAGCAGATTTTGAATCACTTCCAATAGAATTCTCTGCAACACAAACGTATGTTCCAGCATCATCACTTTCCACATCTTTAATAGTATGCATCTTGTTTGTGAAGACGACATCGCTACCACTTTTTTTTATTTTTATATTTGGTTTAGGAAGACCATCAAATTCGCACGTGATGTTTACCAATTCACCAACTTTAGCTGTCTTTGGTGCAATGGTTATCACTGTGATGGTGGGCTTGTCTGAATGAGAAAATACAAAAAGCTCAAGAATGCAGTCTTTAGATTGATGATATTGAGCTAAATTGAATTAAACTTGAAGTTATGCTTACAATGAACTATTATTTCGATTGATTTTCTGTCAGTTAAGTGACTTTTGCATGGCTACACATTCGTACGTTCCAGCGTCCTTTCTCATGACATTATGAAAACTCAAAGCTTGTCTCTCCTTTCCTTGCTCACTAATATTTTTGTTGTTCTTATACCAAATCACAGTGGCTGGAGGATTGCTGCCTTGTTCCGTACAAACACACGTGAAATTATCACCTTCTTTTACAACGACCGGGCTGGGACAGCTGACAGTCACCGTTGGCTTCACTGAAACGTAACAAAATCGTGCAACTGGTTGTCCAAGAGAAAATTAAAACAGTCTATTGTTAGAATTGGAATGCTTCCGTACCCCGCAAGGAACACATCAATGGATAAAGGTAATTCATACATAACTAGATTCTAGAAAACTAAAAACCACCTGTTTACCTGCAATAAGAACTACAACATCAGACTGACCGCATCCATCAGATGTTACGAGTATAAACTTGTACGTTCCATTCTGAATCTGACTGACGTTATTCAAAACTAAAGTCGCTGGCTTTTCTATTTCGAAGTCGAGCGCGTTGCTTTTGTTCTCGACGGTACCGTCATCAATTATTCTCGCTAGTTCTACGGCCTTCATCGAGCCGTTACCGCTAGTAAACGACCAAGACCGAAAACGCACGTTCGTCACATTGTCGTCGAACGACCACTCCAGTTCGGCCGTTGATCCGTTTACGAAAATCAGCCTGTTGCCATCAGGTGGGAGACGTATTTGTGCTCCTATTGAAAGCAGATGAAAGATAAAATAAGAATGTGGAAACATTAATCTCTTGCACTTTTCGCTGATCAAAAACTGAAAAGGATACATGAAGCTTGCGTATTCCACACCGGATTTGAGCGAAACGAAAAGACCGTGGCATGGTTAAGTAAATATGTTCGACATTCTAACCACACTATAGCAACAAGCTAAACAAGTCGTATCGAAGAAGTTGTTTGAACAAAATAGCGATTTCCCCCCTCAGAATTTATGCCCTTAGAAAACGAAAACGCAGCTAAGGTTTTGTATTATACTGGGAGGTTGTGGTGATACATTCGTACAATACTGGGGGATTATCCCCATGCAGACTGTGGGGGTACATTTCCAAATAACCGAGGAGCCGTGTGGCAGTGTTTTGGATCAACGTTTTACAAAATGTGAATGGTTTAAGTAAATAACCATAAATATATGATATCTAACGTTATATACCTTCGATTGAAGCTGATAGAAAATTAAGAACGAATAGTCCAGTTATACCAAAGATGAAGTTTGCCATTTTGTAAGCCTTTGATCTGAAGATGAAGGTGAAAATGCAATGATATAATTATAATAATAATGTAATAAAACGTTTTTATCACTACTCCAAACATTTGCGAAATCTTTCTTCGACAATTCTGACACGCCTAATTTGTACTTGCGATATAGATCAGATCATATTTCACATCCTGTTTTACGGTAATTTCCACTAAAATTCTAGCTGAGTTCTCGTCTGCATTGAAATTTGAGATTACTTTCAGTGCCCACGCTTTCACTGGAAGAGAATTTTCGGCATTTCACACAAAGACAAACTTTATCGTGCATTTTTAGCATGCCAAACAATTACTTGAGCAATTTAAACAATCAATTTTGCATTGGCATTGATATCAAGTATTCTATTATGATACCTAAGACAATATCTCTCCATGAACATATTAAATACACCGCGTATCAATCGTGATGTCGCGAAGACGCTGGCGGTATTTTCATTTGCTTATTAAACACGCTTTCTTATCTACGCAAATATGTAGAGCGTCTTTGTTAAGAATTACATAAAAAAATTAAGAAAAGGCAAGATATCCTTGGTATTATCAATGCAGTGAAAGTTAACAAGCGTCTCACCTATAAATATATAGGCTATATTCGAATCGCAGACGATCATCAAATGCAAATATATTAGTACCACTACCGGCCTTGTCTTGGAACCATTACTACAGGCACGGCATATATTGGCCTGTATACAACGGCTTGAAAAATAATATTTCTCAATTAGAGATGCCGTTGCAGTTTAATTTCGGTTTATTTAATGATTTTAATCACGGGATCGATATCTTTGTCAAGCATTAAAAATGGCGTCTGAGGGCCACAGTTTATAATATTTGAGAAGCAGTGTCAGTTCCTTTATCTGTCTGTATATGCCCGGTTGGGCAAATATGTGGCATAAATTTTATTGAGATGTATGCACGAGCGTATAATGTCATCATAGACTGAGTCACACCGCGAACGTGCTAGCGCGCTATTAAACAAGTCTCGTTTGCATGACGACTGTAGTCTATATAATAAACTGACCCCATTGATAAAATATAAAGCAAGATTTGCCAACTGTCCAATTATGATCTTTAGTCTGAACTTGTATCAGAACATTCGTTAGTTACAATAGCCAGTGAATTGCCAGTTAAAACAGGGCATGAAATATGCTGATACATTGATATGTCAAGTCGGTGTTATCAACATAGCCATAGGCTCGATAACATGGATATAGTCGATAGCAAGATACTATCATCATAACAACTAACAAGTATAGTCTGTATTCGATAGCTATGCGATATACGAGAATAACAATACCTGAAGTAGTATGCTCCTGTATGATCCAACAAACGGACAATATTTATCAGTTTTCGCCTTTATCCTTGCTATCCTTTCGTTTATGATACGTAAGCTTCTTTCGCTTTCAATATTTAAAAAATTTTGTATTGAATGTAATTAGTATGCAAATCAACCCCAACACTCCGACAGTGGTGTTACCATCGACCGCCATGTTTTTAAATGACCCTTAAATGGGGGTCAATGTGTCGTTCATAGATATGGTGTGAGTGTCGTTATTGAAGTGTGAGAAATATGATTTTTTAATAATCAACAAATTTGCAACGCAGGGTCGAAGCAAAATCTGTTAGGAAGCGCATCGGTCACTAGCTATATCCTTTCCCGGATGGTAAGCCGTGAGCGTTGACAATAATATAAAAACAGTGCTGAAAAACCCTCAATGCTAGAAAGAAGTCATGGAGAGAACGATAATATAAGAACGATAAAATCTTTACAAGGCAAAACAGTTAATACCAGTATTTATTTATTATTTATATAATCAGCATAACCATCCACATAATCATCATTTTGTTGATCAGTCCATCTTGCATGTAGAGATCATCGGTAGTAAACAATCAAGACCGGCCCTCGTTTCTGGCTAAGAGTGATTCATAAGGGTTATCAGGGTCTCTTCTTCGGCTCAAAGACGCGTAGGCGGGGTCGGGTGCAGCAGGTATTTCTGGTCCAGGTTCTGGTTCGTTTCGCGGTTCTCGTTCGTTTCGCGGTTCCGGTTCGTTTCGCTCCACGAGTTCGTAATCTTCGTTTAAAGGAGCTTGTGGGACTTCGTACTCACCCACGCCTGCATGTAAGATCAAATCGAATGGTTAAATATTCAGTTGGTCTTACGTAGCAATATTTCTCCATGAAATATTTCTAACATATGCAGCATGCTCTCAACAAACCTCTAAGTTCTTTAAGGCTTTTATATCAAAAACGAGTATGAAAGATCCCACATAACTTGGCTATATGTTTTGAAATCATGGCTGTGTGTGTATGACTTACGTGAATTAATATTGTGATGGTACTACCCTGTATTCCCATAGTGGGATTCGAACCCGAGCCTTTTGGCTCACTTAGTCCAATGCTCAATCAACATTGACCTAGTGAACTTAAACTTTTTTAGGTCTTGAAACATTCATCAGCTGGTAGTTTCCTTAGCTGGAGATGAATCGACTGACTCGAAATTGCAGATCTAAAATTATCTGAATGGCTTCAACTAATTTATATGTTAATTCTTGTGTGGCAAAAATTTGTGAATATACTTCGTTGATTTACCGGGCTGTCCTCTTTGACGATTATCTTTGTCCTTTTTCTTCCCCCGAATACATCTCCCAGATCGACGAAGATAATAAATGATACAACAGATGGCAACAAACAAGAAACCTATTACTGACGGTGTAATAATATAAACCATGCGAACTTTGTCTTCGGCGGCCGATTGAATTTGTCTATCTGAAACCAAATTTCTGGTATTAGTCTCTTGTGCAATATAACTTGTAGTCGCGTAATGGATAATAATATTTACTGATATATCTTTTATTCTACATTATATATGATATTTACAATGGAATCGAAGTCCATTACTAGCTAATAACACAATGGTTAGCAATGATTGGTGCATGTAAATGGGTGTATGGTCGCTATATCCAGTTGTTATTAGAACAAAGATGATCAAATGAATCCCATGTTCCAGTGTTTTACCTGCAAGAGCCAAAGAAGCAGATTTTGAGTCAATTCCATGTTTATTCTCTGCTACGCATCTATATGTTGCTGCGTCGCGTTTGTTCACATCACGAATGGTATGTTCCTTGCTTGTAAAGACAACATTGGTACCATTTTTCTCTATGGTAAATACTGGTTCAGGGTGAGCATAGGATTCGCATGTGATGGTAACCGTTCCACCAACTGAAACTGTTGCTGGTTCAATTGTTATGGTAGTATTGGTAGGTTTATCTGCATTGTGGGTGACAAAAAAGTTCTACTATAGTTATATGACTATACGTTGCAGAGAGAATTTCAGGTAGTTAAACATATTGAAGTTGTTTATGCTTACACTGAACTATTATTTCTATGGATTCTTCTTCATCACTGACGAGGTGTTTGGCTTCACATCTGTACGTTCCATTGTCGTCTCTTTCAATATTACTGAGACTCAATGTTTGTCTTTCCTTTTGTTGGTCAGTAATCTGTTTGCCATCTTTATACCAAGTCAGAGTGGCTGGAGGATTGCTACCTTGTTCCGTACAAACACACGTGATATTATCACCTTCTTTTGCAATGACCTGGCTGGAACAGCTGACAGTCACTGTTGGTAAAACTAGAACATAATAAAATGACTGATTGTCCCAAAAAAATTTAAAAATCTTTTTTTTTCATTTTTAATTAACACACATTTAGAATTAGAGCAGAAATGCAGATATTTTTCAGACTACTTAATAGTATAAATTCTACTAATTAATATGTGCATGATTGTAAAACTTTAACATGGCACACACCTCTGAATTGAACGATATAGTTTGTTAGATTTCTGTTTTATATTATGTTTTTAGGTGATAGCCTGTCAATTTACCTGCAATACGAACCAGCACGTCCGACTGACCACAGTCTTCAGATGTGACAAGTATAAACCTGAACTCTCCATTATAATTCTGACTGACGTTTTTTAACACTAACGTCGCTGGCTTTTCTATTTCAAAGTCAAGCGGGCTGTTTTGATTCACGACAACGCCATCATCAACTATTCTCGCCAGTTCTACAGCATTTTGCGAGCCGTCGCCGCTTGAAAAGGCCCAATAGCGAAACTGCTCTTCTGATAAGCCATCGCTGACTGACCACTGTATTTTTGCTGTGGATCCATTTACGAAAACCAAGTTGTCGCCGTCGAGTGGTGGACTTAATTTGCCTAAACAGAACGCAAAACAAAAGTCTAAAAAGATAGTTAGGACGCGTTGTTCCAAAAACATTAACCTTTAATCTTTGGCGTTTTTGGCGAAAGCTAAATTCAGGGGAGCAAAAACCGCGGCTAGCTCTTTCTTATATATAACCCCCAGTGGCAGTGACGGCTTTTCGCCCGCCAGTGAAGGTCCGCCCTTCCCAACTAATAACTCTTAAAAGAAGACAGAAAGGATGATATAAAGGTTGCATATAACGTCAGTTTTGATTTGAGCGAAGGCCGCTATAGGTTGTTAATTATTAAAATCACGTCAAGCGTTGTAAGCCAAATTAGGCAACATCCAGTGTTAAGAGAATTGCTTTGCCTTCGAAAACATTTACCACATTCATGATTCATATCTCGCGAGAATATACCTTTGCACGAAGCTATTAGAACATTTAGAACAATTAAGGCGGCAATTCCGAAGATGAAGTTTGCCATTACGTGAAGAGTTCAAACTAAAAAAGAAGTGAAAATACAATATGTTTATCCGGTATAATACATATAATAAAATATTAATTATATATTATGAATCTTGGCCGGAGCACTTCTCTTGCATGATCGTTCATCGTCTTCATACAATTTTGACACTCCCAATTTGTAATCGCCGTATGCTATGTTTTATATCCTTTTCAAAAACATCCACACATGATATTTTCACGGTGAAATACTGCCCACACTCACTTGAACTAAATTATCCCTTCTCATATTGCATCAGCCTGCGTCTCTGGATCAAACAAAAGGTGGATCGCAACAAATAACACAGACACAGTATTCCGGGAAAATTTCTACTTTTCGCAATAACAGTACAAACTTTCGTACTATTTATATGTGTTAATTCATAACTACATGCAGCATATAGAAGCTGGGGAAATTCAGTACTTCTCAAACACGACACCAAGAATTCAATAATCCTGTTCAATTTCCATTTTGTTCACCACAGTCTGAGTCGGCTGAGTCGCAGCAAAATCGCACACAATTCGACCGTTTTTCGTCGGTTTAGCAAATAAATCTGTGGCAATATATGCATTAGAATTGAAGGGTATTAGAATTCTATGGTGGAGCATATGTCTAATGGCATTATAACACATATTGACAGAAATTAAAATGCAAAGTTTGCAAACACTTCGCATAACAAGTTGACTTAGATCATATACACATAAACCACTTTGCTAGATCAAAAAACAAAAGTCCTCGCTTAGCCGTGTCTAAATTATTTAGTCTGAGCTCGTTATGAAATACTCTTCACAATGGCCATTCGGTGAAAGTATAGATAGGAAGGAAATCTATTATTCTACTATTTCTTTCATTCAAGGAAATGAAAGAAATAGTCATAATATGCTGATGCAATTTCAAATAAGCTTCAATCACAGACAATTAAGTGCAATACAAAACCAATAGCTGTATATTGAAGTAGACCTATACCTGGTACTTCGAAGTAGTTTATTAATACTCCCACGAGGTCCACCAAACGTAACAATGACCAATATTCATCAATTCTCGTTTATATGATCTAAGCTTCTTTCACTTTCTGTTTTGATTTGAATATATATAATATATCATTCTGACTCGCGCGGTTTCCCGCGTGGTTTTGCATTTAGTTTAGGAAAATGCATAAGCGACAGGAGAAGAAAACAGGCTAAAATCCCAATTGATATCACCTCGATTTCGTCTGTGACGTACTCGATTTTGGAATGTACATATTCTCTCAAATTCTTACGCATGCAGGATGCGACCACTTGAGTTTTGCTATTTCTGAACTTTAACTCTAGCACAAGTTGTTCACATTTTGTTCAGCAGTCTTTCTGCAATCGTAATTTTTTTTCAATGTTTTGTTATTCGCCTTAAAGACACTTGAACCTAGCCTTGGTACATATTCTCTCAAATTCTTACGCATGCAGGATGCGACCACTTGAGTT